AGGTGTGGTGGTGTGTGTGGGGGGGGGGGTGGTTGATGTTTGTACGGGGAGCAGGACGGGAGGGAAGGGGTGTACTCGGGGGAAGGGTTGGGAGGGTTCGGCGCCCACTGGCTCCGGCTGGTTGTCGGGAGTGATGAGGGAGACTCGTGGCGCCGCCTTGCTGCCAATCCTTTTCGGCCTGCTCCAGCCATTCTAGCGAGCCGCCCCTCCGCCAGACTGCACGTGCCTGCATCTGCATGGCCCCTTCCCTCGCAGCGAATGCCAGCAATGGCCCAATTCCCCACCCCTCTGGCGCCCCACGCCTCACCGCCCCCACCACTGCACAGAAAACCCCGCCAGCACCACGCTGCCCGACATCCAGATCGCCTGGGAGGAGTGGAACCTGGAGGCCGGGCTACGGGAGGACAAGTTCTTCGTCCCCGCCGTCGTGGCGCCGGCCCAGCTGCCCAAGGAGGCGGCCGAGGCGCTCCGCAGCCCAGAGGTCGTGCCACGCGCCGTGCTGGCCCACGCCGTGGACTCTGGCAACTTTTACCACCTGCTCACCGAGGTGGCGGCCACCAACTTTGCCAACCAGTGCGGCGTGCTGGGGCTGTGCGACGCCGCCAGCCGCGCAGGGCTGCAGGTGGTTTTGTGTGTGGGGGGGAGAGATGGGGAATGGGTGGGGGCACAGGATTTGCGGGGAGCTGTGTAGCGGGGGCAGTGACTGGATGGCGATGGTGCCTTCTCCCACCTCCAACCACAAGCATCTTACCCCTCCCATCCCACCTCCAGCCCTGACCTCCCCCCACCACACACACAACACCTCCGCCCCCAACAGCTGCTCTTCATCCAGCCCGACCCGCGGCGCCGCTTCGCGATGCCGCACGCCCCGCGCGGCGGCTTCGAGTGCCTGGGCGGCGGCTCCTTCCGCTACATGCGCTTTCCCCCCGTGTCCAGCCAGGTGCGGACGGCGGGCAGCGTGTGCGGGAGGGGTGTGGTGCTGGGGCGGGGGGTGTTCAGGCATGGAGCGTGAAGCGAGGTTTGCCACGGTGTGGGGCAAACGGGCGGCTGTGCGAGCATCCCTCGACCAGGCAGCCTCCTCCCCGACACAGCACCTGACCCGCCGGTCAGCGCCAGGCAGGCGTGGCAAGTCTCGTGTCCTCACCCCTTCCCTTCCTCCCCTCCCGCTGCAGGCCCTGGTCATCAAGCACGGTGTGGTGGGCATCGGGCCCTACATGCGCGCGTACGAGCGGCAGGAGTACTTTGCGGGGTTCAAGGACCCTCCCCCTGGCGTTATGCCCCAGGCAAGAATGTTGTGCTGAGGAGGGACGGTGGCCTGTGTGCTAGGTATGCGAGGGAGGGGCAGGTGGCTGTGAAGGACGGCCGTGGCGTGCAAGGCGCAGGAGCCATCCACGGCAGGCATGCGCGGTGCACCCCCCGCCGACCGGACCCCCCTCCCATCCCCCTCCTCCACGACTGCCAGTGGAGCAAGCTGCTTGGGGAGTGCACCGGGACCGGGTTCCACACCACCCCGGCCCCCCTGGCCCCCCTGCGCGTCGTCTTCGTCAACCGCCCCTGGTCCCAGGGCCGGTCCCTGCTCAACCTGCCGGAGACCCTGGACTGGTTGCGCGGGGAGTGGGCGCCCTCCCGCTCCTTCGGCGCGCCCCTGGCCTTCGAGGCGGTCAGCGTGTCGGCCGCCACCGAGCTGCGCGACCAGATCGCCGTCTTCCAGCGCGCCTCGGTGCTGGTGTACCCGCACGGCGCCACCATGGCACACGCCCAGTTCCTGCCGCGCAACGCCGCCGTGCTGGAGGTCATCCCCTGGAAGAACGTGACGGAGCCCCACGGCTGGCTCCTGGTGCGCACGCTGGGGTGTGGGTGGGGGGAGGGGGCGATGCGAAGGGGATGGGGACGCCGTGCTGGATGGGTGGGCGGCCAAGGGTGTGAGCCCAGGCCAGCGTGACTGCTGGGCACGGTCCCAGTCTGTGTCGATCCCCCGCCCCCCCGCCAGCCCCCTCCGCAACACCGCCCCGCACACAGTCCATCAAGCGGCAGATGCAGCTGGACACCCTGGAGGTGGGGCTGATGGTGAATGACGACCGCGCCAACCTCGTGCTCAACTGGCATGTGAGCGGCCGGGTGTCGGTGGCCAGGGCGGTGGTCGTGTGTGTGCATGGGTCCGAGCACCGGGGTGGGAATGCGGTGGATTGCAGGGGAACGGGAGTGAAGGAGGCAGCCAAAGCACAGCCCACCCATGCCTGGCCAGGGGATGGGTGGCGCAGCCCCGGCAGGGATGCTGGTTTGGATGCCTCCGACTCGAGCTGGCTGCTCTTCACCTGACCCACTTCAGCGGCCCTCGCCCCACCCCCCTCCTGCACGGCCAGGCGCTGTCCAAGGACCCGGTGTGGAGGGCGCTGCCGGCCGAGCAGAAGGTAGACCTGCAGGAGAACGGGGAGTGCCCCCCCGACCACAAGCCCGAATGCTTCTTCGACTGGCTCCACTGGCGCAGCAACCTGGTGCTCGACCGCGACCGGCTGGCGTCGTCCCTGGAGCCCCTCATCCGCGGCGTGCTGGCCAGGGGGAAGGCCACGCAGGCGGCCGCCACGCGGTGAGGCCCGGAGGATGGTGGCCGAGGCCCCTGGCACGTCGTGGCCCCTGGCAGGTTGCGGCCAAGATGATGAAAAGATGGCAACTGCCCTGGGATGCAAAGTGAGCATCATGTACCGGCTCTCCAGAATGGCACGTGGATGTCATTGCAACATCACATGGGTGTGGTGGGGTAGAGTGAGAGCACAGGCACGCACACCGGATATTGGGAGGGGTGAGGAGGACCAGGGGTAGTACAGCCTGGGGACCCCATGGCACGGGAGGGGTGTGCGGTTGTCGCCGAATGCCCCAGGAGCAGGTGCCAGGCAGACTGCACACGCGCTTTGCCGGCCCTAGGGCGTCGGGGGCGCGCCGTCGTCGGAACCCGGCACAAAGTCACCCGCCTCGATCGCGATGGCCGTGGTGACGTAGGCCAGCCGCCCCACGCACCGAGTGATGTACAGCACGGCAAAGGAGGTGCCCAGCAGGGCCCCTCCCACAACATCGGCGGGGTGGTGACGGTAGTCGATGACGCGGCTGATCGCGACGCCCCTGCACAGCAGGGAGGTTGGTGGGGGGATGGGGTGGGTGTCCATGCGATGGGGACGGCGTGGGGGCGTCGGCGGCGCGATCTACGCGCCCACTCTGCCTGTACAATCACAGAGGGTTCCCACGCCAGTCCAGAGCGCGTGCGCTCACCAGGCAAAGGAGAGCTGGGCCAGGAGCCAGAGGAGGCCCAGAGCGGCCACAAGGGCGTCTGTGAGCCGGTGGCCCACGCCCCTTCGCATCACCTCCAGCCGCGTCACACGGTCCCTGGGCAGGAGGGGGGAAAGGAGAGGGAATGATGTGGGTGCAAGCGGTGTCCATCGGGATTGGTGGCGGCCAGGGGTGCAAAGCGGTCTGCCTCTACCCACTCGGACCCCCCTGCCCGCCCCCCCAAACACACCGGTGGTACAGGACCCAGATGCCATAGCCTACGGAGTAGACTGCGAAGACAAAGGCGGTGCTGGAGTGGCCGGAGGGGAAGCTGTAGTGCCCGTCCCGCAGCTCGTCGGCGGTGAGCGGGGAGTCGCAGGCCGGGTTGGCACTGGCTGCCAGGCCCCACTGCACGGTCAGCTGGGCCGGGGCAGTGGGGTTGCACCGTGCCAGGAAGTCGGGGCGCAGCCGCCCCACCAGGACCTTGCCCACCTGGGTGACCTGGGCCGTGACCACAAAGGCAAAGATGCCGTCCAGGACCAGGTGCAGGATGGAGGCGGTGGCCCTCTTGACCCCGGGTCTGCCCCCCACGCGCCAGGCCTCGCCCGCGGCGATGCTGATGAGGAGGCAGAGGAAGGGCACCAGCACCGCCACCCAGTAGGGGATGCTGTCCCTGCATTGCATTGCGTGGTGGGAGAAGGTTGGGATGCAGGCTCCACGGGGGGAGATACAAGGGAGGGGAACAGCGACGAGGTACAGGAACCGACCAACCTAGCACTCACGGGTTGTGGGGGTAGCTGATGGTGGCGTCGTACAGGGAGAACGGCCTGCATGTGAAAGAATGGAGCTGTTCTGGGGATAATCTACGCTGGGACCACAACGAGCCGCTGCTCTCCTATGGAAATTCTCTGGCAAAGTTGGTGAGCAGCTCCCTACCCCCTTGACGCCACACGCCTCACCGCTGCCTCGGCTCGTCGGCTACTCTGACGGTGATGATCAGCGCTATAATGAGGAGTACATTGATAATGATGGTTCCCCAGTCCTGGGCGCGCAGCACCCCGGCCCAGGTCAGGTGGCCATCCCCCCGGACTTTGCTGGTCTCCTCACGGTCAGAAATCTGGAGCGAGAGCTGTCGCGGGTCCCTCATGACTGCCTGCCCCTCAAATTACAGCTAGATCCCTGCGAATGTATCAGGAAGATGGAGTCCTGCTCCTGGAGTAACACTTGACAGGTAAAGGGATGTTCAAGTTTGTTTTCACCGCGTCGCGTCCCGGAATCCGATGGGCTTCCGCAGGGGGCGCGATGTATACAGGTTGCCCCCTTTTCCACAAGACACCCACCCAACTAAGCTTTTCCTATATACAAATGCTTGAGGTGTGATTTCATAATCGTAGGACTAGCGCTGCGGGTTTGTTGGTGTGGCCTTGACGGCTAGGGTTGCCGCGGTGCGACACGGCACCCTCGTACCAAGTCCTGGCGCAGGCCACATGGCGCTGTGCCAAGCAGTACGTCGACGGGCCGTGCAGCTCACTCTTCAGCTCCGAGGGGCGTCCTCCCTGCCAAAGTATCTCGGGCCGGAGGGCGTTGTTGGCTCGCACACCCCCGTCACCAAGGAGCTCTGGAGTGGGCAGCACCGTAGCTGGAGCAGGGAGGAGCTGGAGGCAGCGTACCCTCCCACCAACCCGCAGCCGAAGCCACCAATCGTCACCACAATCAACTACCCCTTCAGTGCCAACCTCTTCCTGCGGGAGCAGGTGGGCGGAGGGCTCTTGTGAAGCGAGCGGGAGCCGTAACCACGCTTGCCGCATGCTGAATCATGGAACCCGCCCCCTGGTGCTGTGACTTGATCCCATCCAATCACCATCACCTGCCCATGCAGTATCGAAATCCCTGGGACGAGGTCAGGCTGGGCAGACTCCTGGAGGATCTGGACTCGCTGGCAGGCTTCATCGCCTTCAACCACTGGTAGGGTGCAAGGGGAGCTGGTCCAGCCGGGGCATGCCATGCAGGGACTGCATGATCTTGTCCTGGACAGGTTGGTGGTCCATCACTGGCCCCAGCCCGATCGGCCCACTGTGCATCCCTGCAGCAAGGTGGATGACCCAGTGGCACGCCCCCCCCTCTGCGTGACGGCGGCGGTGGAAGCCATCGAGCTACGCACCAAGCGCATAGATTTGACGGAGGACATGCAGGTGGGGTCATTTGGATCTGGCGCATGGGAGTTCGAGCTCATTCAGGGCACAGCGGGTTCCTGCTGAGCAGAGGCAGGCCCATGTGCCTGCACCCGAGCCCCCCACTGGGATTATGGCGCTCACCCTCATCGGCCCGGGCAGGCCCCCGACCATGACTCCTCCCTCCCTCGCCGCAGATGAGCGGCAGAGTGGCCTGGACGGGATCCTCCTCCATGGATGTGTGCATGGAGCTGCTCCAGGTGCGGTCTGCCTGTGGCCCTGCCTGCACCTGGTCATTGTTCCAGGCTTCGATTCTCAGGTCTGCAGGCCCATGTCCGCCTCCCTCTGTTCCCCCCCCCCCCACCAGAGTGGGACCAAGCAGCTGGTGGCCCTCTTCACTTTTGTGGCGCGCGACGCGCTGACCAACGCCGCCCAGCGCATCAGCCCCGTCGTGCCGGAGACGGCGCAGGACAGGGCCCTGTTTGCGCGGCGACAGCAGATCTCCGACGCCAGGCGGGCCGCCCGGGCCCGCTCCTCCGCCGCCGCCACGGGGCTGCACAGCCAAGGTGGGGAAAGGACGGCGAGGGGGGATGAGTCATGGTTGGGTCATGCACACCCCTGAGTACCCATGCTGGAGCGAAAGAGGCTTGTTCCACCTGGCTGCCCTGAGAGTTGACTGCCACCACAGCGTAATCCCCCCCATTCCCCCGCAAGGTTTGACCCCGGAGGCGCAGCGCTGGGCGGCCGCGCTACTGGCGGATGCAAAGCTGCTGGCGACGGCGCCGGCACTGGCGGACCCTCAGGCGCTGCTGGCCTCAGCCACTCGCCTGGATAGCAGCTTCATCTGCATGCCGCAGCAGCGCAACACGTACGGCCGCGTGTTTGGCGGCTTCCTCATGAGGTGCGCTGGCTTGGGAGGAGGAAGGGATGAGGATGGATCAGCGGTGCCAGGGACTTGTCTATTGCAAGGCCACTGGGAGGGGCTCTGTCGATGTAGTATGACCCAAGATATGCATCCACACATTCTGAGTTAATACAAAAGCGCATCTAAACCCGACGGGGTGCACTCTTTTCACTGCAACACACACCCCTTTTTCTTAGCAGGCGAGCATTTGAGCTGGCCACCTGCTCTGCCTACATGCTGTCAGGAACCCGCCCCAAGCTCGGTAAGTCAGTGGCGTAGGGGCCTGGTCTGGATTATTGGCTGGTGCATGCAAGCATCTGCCCCATAGCACCCAAGGTTGCGCCTGCCGGCGCCCCTTCAAGGCGTCTGACCATGAGTACCCCAGCAAGGCCGCCTGATATCCTCCCCTTCGCCCCCATCTCCCGCAGTCGAGGTGGACGAGATCCTCTTCCGGAAGCCTGTGGATGTGGGTGACCTCATCCAGTTCAGTGCCTGTGTCCTCCACACCTGGACCTCTGGCAGGGACCCCACCAAGGCAGGAAGGACTACCCAGGGGTGTGGAGCCATGTGCCGTCAGACTCTGCACCAGCCTGCCTCTGCTCACGATGCAAGTGCTGCTGCACTCTCATCATGCCTAGGTGCTCAGACATCCCCTCCTTCCATGGCCGCCCTTTCTGCAGGGCATGGCTCACGTGCAGGTGGAGGCCTCCGTGACTCGACCGGAGCACGCGCTCACTACCATCACCAACACCTTCAACTTCCAGTTCACGTTTGACTTGAGAAAGGGGCCAGGCGGTGCCTGCCTCCCACCCCGGGTCGTCCTGCCAACCACAGGTGTGGAAGTGCGGGCCCATGGGGTGCACCTGGTGGATCAATGTCTGCTCGGGATCTGCAGGCACCGCTCCATGCGCTCGACGCTGTGTATTCCCATCGGGAAGACAAAATGTTCGTGCCAATGCAGCGGCGCAGGGCCTCTCCTTAACACTGCTTGCCACCTCCTCAACTTTCCCACTGTGCGCAGAGGAACAGGCGTTGGAGGTGGCCAGATTCTTCGGCCCCGGCGCATCTCCCGAGCGCTTCTACAAGATGCTGTGACGTGCTGCACGCTGTGCGCGCTGCGCAGTGTGCGGATGTTGTTCCCCAGCATGCGCCTGGTCCCTGCTGGAACATTACACTGCACCAGGCAGGGAGGTGGTGGCATAATAGATAGGCGCTGTGCTGGGCAGGGGGTGGTGAGGCTTCAGGAGGGGCAGGTGGAAGGAGAGAGCAGGGAGAGAGAATAATGCAAAGTGGCTCCGCCAGGGCCAGCTCCGACCAGATGCTTTCAGGCAAAGCATCCTCAGATCAGGCGCTTCCACCTGCAGTAGACCATGACGCCGGTGAAGATGAATGCCGCGGCGAGGCAGCACACGACCGACACGACGATGAATTGCCAGTAGGGGCCCTGCACGATCCATGGACGGGGAGCGGGGGTTAGGGTGTCTGGGGCGGTCACCTCAAACTACGCCCCGGCACCGCGCCTGGATTTGCCCTTGGATGCAACTCGGAGCTGGGGTTTTGGCAAGCAGTCCGGGCCACTGCCCCTGTCGTGGCTGCCGAGTTCTAGCACGAGGCAAACCCCTGCTCCAAACCCCTGATCCACCGCCCTGCGCCATACCCCTACTTCACGACTTGCCTGGCCCTGCACGCCCGGCGACAGCTCCAGATTCATGGCAAACAGGCTGGTGATGGCGGTGATCAGCGCCACCGAAGCGGTCAGCGCCGTCAGCACCAGGTCCAACTGTAGTGATATGGGGGGAAGGAGGTGAGGGGCCCTTAGGTCAATCGCCAGCTTCCCAATCCCCAGCCGTCACTTTTCACATGATCGACTCCTCACACAGCAAAGCGTGCACCTTGCCTGGACGTGAGACCACGCCGCCGTCCCCTCAAACACATACACACACCCACACACACACTTCTCCCCTCACCCTGATGAGTTCGTTGCGATGGGAGTCCAGCTCGATGTTGATGTAGTCCTCGGTGTCGTCGATGTACTCGCACAGCGTCTGCAGCTTGTTGTAGGTGTTGTCCACCTGCATGAAGTAGGGCTCCAGCAGCATCTCCACCGCGGCCACCTCCTCGTCCACGATGGAAGAGTCGGTGGAGGCGCTGGAGGCCGAGCGCCGAGTGCGTGGTGACATGCCCGCCAGCTCCCCCAGCTCGCCGTCCGCGCCGCCGGAGAGGGTGACGGGGACGTCAAAGGGCGTGCCCGCCACCGAGCCGCGCAGGGAGGTGCGCTGCAGCAGCTGCTCCCGCTCCATGCTCTGGATTGTCGTGAAGGAGAGTGCCAAAGCATGGGGAAGATTGTCGTTGAATCCTGCGAGTCTCCCACTCCGCCACCGGTGTATCACTCACCCACCTACCCGCCCCCAAGGGCCCCGCCCCCCTTTCCCCCACAATCACCCCCTCATGGACCTTGGCGGTGAGGTTCATATCGTGCATGTCTGAGTCGTCGTCCAGGAACTTCTCCAGCACCTCCCGCAGTGTCTCCACGCGCGTGGTCAGGCGCACCATGCGATTCTTGATGCGGCGCACCCGCTCCAGGTGCGGCGTGGTGATGGCCCCGGTCAGCGCGTCGAGGGCGGGATGCGCGGCCGCCTCCAGCTCCCCCGTCGCGCGCTCCAGGTGCGCACTGACCGTGTCCAGCACCGCCTCCAGCGCGCGCAGCTCAAAGGGCATGGCGGGGGGGGCGCCGGCCTTGCCGCCCAGCGCGCGCAGCGCGGCCAGCGTGTAGGGCGGCGCGGGGCCGGGGCCGGCGCGACCGGCGGCGTCGGCCCCCGCCGCCTCGGCCTCGCCCGCCGCCCCCGCGGCCTCGGCCGCCTGCACGGCCAGGCGGCGCTGCAGCTCCTCCACGAAGGCCAGGGTGTTGGGGTCCTCCAGGCTGGTGATGTACACGTGCTCCATGGTGACGATGCACTTGATGAACTCCAGATTGACAACCAGCGCATGCTCGCGAGCCAGGATGGCCGAGGGGTAGCTGGCCGCCAACTGGGGGTCCAGCAGCCTGGGGGGTTGAGGACGAGGGGGGAAGGGCTGAGGTTGGAATGTTGGGGGAGGGGACCTTCCCATGGGTGCCAGGGGTGGTGATCGTGCCCCTGTCATACCTGCAACCAGGCAACCTTCCCTCACCCTGGTCCCGCCCCCCAACACTTCACACACCTCAGATCCCGGAGCTGGACCCCCAGCTGGTGGGTCACGCGCAGCTTTGCTAGCTCCAGGATGCTGGCCTCGCCGTCCGTGCCCACGCTGAGCCACTTGCGGAGGGCGTTGGCCTTGGCCAGCACCTTGGTGGCTGGGTTCTTGCCGGGGGGGCAATGGGCGACAGGGGCCTCTTGGGGACCTTTGAAGGACAGTACATCCGTCAGGGTGGCAGCGCCGGTCACCATGCCGGCCAACCCGCAGTTCACATCGGGCGGGGGGGGGGTGGGGCAGCCTCGGAGGCTCGGAGACCGTACCGCACACCTGTCGAATGCACAGACAGACCGGTGCGACGTGACTGATGTACGTGAATAATTGAAGGCGAATTGGATACCTATGTCTGTCCCCAGCTGTTTCCAAGCTGGGTGGCAAGCCGGAGCATCTACGCCCCGCCCGAGATTCCTGGTGGTGGGGGGGAACCCGGGCCCCCGGGATGATAGCATCATGTGGAAAGATGGCTACACCTGGACCAAACCCTCCTCCACTCACTCGCTCCTTCTGTGGCTATATTCACATCAAAAACACGGCATGGAGTAAATAAAGGAACGTATTTCCAAAGCGAGGCCCTGCATGCGAGCATGCGCGATGGGGCGATGACATGATGTCGGGGGAGGGAGACAGAGTGGAGGGTTGACACCAGCTCCAGCACCAATGACTTAAGAGCAGGGTACGTGCGCTCAGTGCGCGGGGGCGCAGTGTGTACATTTAGAAGAGATTATTCTCTGGAGCGTGAAGGAAGTGGGGGTAGGGGAGGGGAGAGGGACAGCAGCAACTATGGCACAGGTCCCAGAGCAGTGGAAGCAGGTGGCAGGGGCAGGTGATGCGTGGGTAGGATGAGAATGACGTGATGCTAAATCTACCTAGCAGATGGACTTTACTTCTGTGCAGCTGGGCGGCTTGGCGGGGCTGCCCTGCTGCTGGATCTCCAGCATGTGCTTCTCCCAGCTCTCCTGCGAGGTTTCGGGATTTTGTAGGTTCAGTGACAAGAAGTGGGCGGCCCGCTTTGCCTCCCACAAGCGCACACCCTCGAATTCAAGCCTCGCACCGGCCTCACCTCGAACGACTGCTTGAGGAAGTGAGTGAGCCACTGCGCGAGCTTGTTGGTGAAGAGCCGAAGCGTCGGGAGGGTGGAAGGGATGTGCGCCTCTGCCAGGCTGTACTTGCAGCTGCCCAGCCAACGGCCTCCTGCGGCCAGCGGGAGGTCGAGCTGGGCCAGGGGCTCGGTGGTGGTCGGGTGCTTAACCTCGAGGACCACGTCATGGGGTAGGTGCTGCAGGCGAATTCTGTGCGAGTGAGGGAGTGAGGCAGGCCTCAGAGGTCTTGCAACACTGAATCCAAGGTAGCCCTCCAGCACAAGCCAATGAGGCCTCGCAACAGGCTACCTGCGGCAAACCCCGGCAAGGGACTCACATCAGGGACTGCACATGGTCGGAAATGAGGCTGACGGGGAGCACGAGGTTGTCGACGCTGCTCCCGCGCAGGATTAGGCACGAGGCCAAGCTGCAGGCCACGGAGCACAGCCGGTCGCCCCGCATGTCGGAGGCCAGCTGCATGGCGATGCTCTCCTCGAGCTGCGGGGGGCGCAGCGGGGGAGTCGTGGGCACAGACTCACAAGGCGACCAGGCAGGCGTCAGCCCCGCGACCTCAAACCCGGGAACGAAGCCGCACCTCGAAGCTGACACGCGACGTCCCGGGCGTGAACATGGAGTGCATGATGTGAGCTGTGGAGTACACGGACGCGTCCGGCTCTCCATCCGTCTTCGGATGGGACCTCATGCTGGCAAAAGCGGGGCTGGGGGGACGTTGGCCGCAAGTTGGTTTGATCACCGGCGTGAGACAAATTCACAACAAACCAGCGTGAGAAGATCTTTTGCGATAACTTGCCCGCAACGTATCTCGGCGAGTTCTGAATTCTGGTGGCCTCGGTCCCACCGCTTGGTCGGGATGCACTAGGCTGTGTGGCACAGATTCGCCTTGGGGCTCTATTATCCACGAATCGGGTCATTCTAGAAAGTAAGAAATGCCTTGCAAAAAATTTCCCTTACAGGCTCGAGCTGCACGACAAGACGGGAAGAACGTTGTATTGCCAACGATCGTCAGACTGGCATGTGACTTTGTCATTCGTTCCTCGCGTAGGTGGTCGCGATCACCTGGACGGACCGAAGCGGTCCTGTCGGGCAGACCGACGAGTTAAAGCTTCGTGCAAGGAGGGTTGCAGGTTCGTGAAATGAAATTTCGGCTCTCACCATTTTCTAAGTTTTTGCATTACACATAGCATATAAGATTTTTGACACAAGAACCATTTGGATGCAATCTGGTTTGAAAGGAGCCAGTGTGGGATGGAAAACCAAGGTGCAATGCGCTGAAGACATACAAGGGGGCGGCATGATTCGCCCCCATGGTGTCAGGCATCCACCTCGAATCCAGGCAGGGCAGGAGCCGCCGTACTCGGAGGGGGAAAAGAAGGGGGCCCGCCATTGCGGCGGATGTGGAGTTAGGGGAGTGGTTCACTGGAAAAGGCATAGTGTGCAGAATACACCCAGTCCAGTTCCATTGCATTCAAAACTGTCAAAATTGAGCAGTGTACTGACCGCTCCAAGGTAGATTCAAGTACTGCAGCAATAAATTGGCCTGCTTAATTGTTCAGGCGGGCCCAGCTCTCCTCCCAGTGCAGTCCAGAGCTAGCCGTGGAGGATGCCCGCAGCAAAACATTGAGTTCATCAAAACACTCCTGGGGAGTAAAGGAATGGGTTTTAAAGCACGGCCTGGGCACCATATCCCTCCACAACCAACCCTGCCCACATCACCCGTGTGGGGATGACACCCCTTACCAACAGCACACGCTCCATCCAAAGATCACCCACCTCCAGCCTCTGCTTCTTGAGGTGCTCCATCCATCGTTGGAGCTCAGACACGAACTCCTTGCACAGGTGCAGGCGACCAGCGAGGACTCCCTCTGGCGCTGAGAAGACGCAGTGCACGTCTGGAAAGCCTTCCAGGCCGTAGCACACCCTCATGCCATTGGAGGGGCCAGGCTTGACAACGAATGCAATGGCACCGTCCTCAGCAGCTTGGATGCTGCGGGCAGCATGGGGGCCCTCTGCTCAGATCCAATCCCACAGGGCTTCTTACATCCAACCGGCAGCACTAGCACAGACATGTGTCACTCATAATTCAATGTCTTTGGGACTGCCACGAGCCTCTCACCTCAACCCGGTGTCCGGTGGTAGGAAGCTGGTGTCCACCTCCTGTGCGTCCCACTCAGCCCCGTTGTCCAACACGAGGGCCACCGCATGCGCCAGGCAGAGCTGGGGGCACAAATCACTGTATATCTCGGTGCAAAGGCTCTCTTCGTCATCAGACATCTACGCCGGGAGGAGTGGGACCCGAAGGCGGAGTGTCGAGCGTCGGGTTTGCGGGGCCGCATCCTCGAGCGCACACCCCCAGTCAGGGGGTACGAGTACGACCTCTATGTGAAACTCACCGACAAATCCTCCTGCGTCCAGCAAAAGGGAGATGCGAGCCCGGCCCAAGACATGGGTGTTGGGTGACGTGCCGACGTTTCTACGCCCTTCGCAGGGGTCGCGCTGCACACGACGGGCATCGGGCGAGCACGCCCCGGCCCGTAAAGGCCTTGATACACGAAAGTGGCTCGCCGCGGTGCAATTAGGGGCGGCGTATGCTTCGAGCGAGTCGAAGATATGCCGCTACCGGGCTTGCGCCGGTTGCACAGCTGCTTCCCGCGCACGGGATCTGACTGGCGCAGTTGGTTGCCTCTAATGGCGAACCAGAGGGGGTGGGAGGAAAGGAAGGGGAAGCAAGGGGTCCACCAAAAGCTGTGGGACGAAGTGCATTCGCTAAAAAATCTTTGTCAGCATCAGCATGTTGGCCGCTCCGTTCACGTCGCGGTTGACAACGTGGACTTTGCAGCCCTTGTTCGTGCACCGCTTGGTGTCCCACACGTCCACCAGCTTCTCCTCGCCCTTGCGCACCCGCACGTACTGGTGGGCCTGCAGGGTGGCGTGACAGGCGCAACACAGCTTTGATGACCTGTGTTCGTTGACCACCACCATCCTGCACACCCGCCGCAGGCGCCGCAAGAAGCCTATCCAGGGCCCAGGCGGAGTCCCCCGCATGATGCCCCCCCGGTCCTGGGCCGACCAGTTGCCCACGCCGACGATGGTAGTCATGCCTGGGGGGGCGCGGAACTGCTCCGCCAGCCGCGTGATGGCCCGCTCCCTGCCGACGTAGGCCTGGTGGCGCACCTTCCGAAACGGCTTCTCGTGCATGTGCCAGCCCAGGCCCCGTCGCAGGTTTGGGACGATCCTTACGACCCGCGACAGCAGCACCTCGGTGCTGGCTGTCTTGTGGGTCGTGCACCTGCGGGAAGAGGGGGAGTTTGAGGAGGGGGTTTGGTACAGTGGGAGTGATGCGGTGTGTTGTGGACGGAACTGTGCGACACGAAGCGGTGCACCAACAGGGCCTGCAAGGTCAACGTTGTCAACCGCGACGTCAACGGGGCGGTCAACATCCTGATGTTGCTCAAGTGTTTTTTTGAGAATGCACTTCGTCCCACAGCTTTTGGTGGACCCCCTGCTTCGTCTTCTCCCGCATCTCCCACCCCACCCACCCCCTCTGGTTCGCCGATCGAGGCAACCAACTGCGCCAGTCAGATCCCGCTTGCGGGAAGCAGCTGTGCAACCGGCGCAAGCCCAGTAGGGATCTGTGTGCCTAAGCAAAACAGATCTCACACCTGCCTGCCATGTGCTTTGAACAGGAGATTCATTTACAGAAAACTGCAGCAAGCCGGAGTGAAGGCAATGTATGGGCAGAGGCATTGTGGGTAGAGGTTGTATGGCATGTTGATGGCAGGAAGACCCCCTCCCCGGCCCCAGAGGCATGGGACTTCTTTCAGGGTGAGGCGGCGTCTTGCACTGTCGGCTCCTTCCCCTGCCCCGCCGCCCGCTTCCCGGCGTAGTACTCGGCGCGGTGGCGTTCGAAGCGGGAGCTCATGGCCTCCAGCTCGGCGTACATGAAGTGGGTGCGCTTGACGCACACGACGTTGCTCCAGTTGTAGTACTCGTACGCCGGGTCCCAGCACGAGGTCATGCGCGACAGCGTCTGCTTGCCTGCGGTGAGGGGGTGGAAAGCAAGGGGGAAGAGGCTCAGCACCAGTCTGCGATGGAGCGCTGGGTGGTGGGCGAGTGCAGCGGCTCCACCACCTGCGGCCGTTTCAGGGCTGCGGGGCTGGTCAGGCAGGCCCAACCCCGCCCCCCTCTGGCCCCGCTGCCTCACTGTCAAAGTAGCAGACGTAGTCCAGGCCGTCCAGCTTCTCCACCACATCGCGCAGGGCGTACTCGCGCCAGACCCCCACCTCGTGATACTCAAAGGTGAGGAGGGAGACGCGCCCCCGCGCCAGCACCTCCATTGACCCCAGGATGACGGTGGCGTCGAAGCCCTCGGTGTCGATCTTCAGGATGTCGATGGCGGGGATGGCGTAGTCCTTCACCAGCGCGTCCAGCGTGGTGAGGGGGACATAGTCGAAGTCGCGGGGCCTAGTGCCGTCGCTGTTGCCCTGCAGCGAGCACAGCTCGTCCACGCAGCCGCGGGGGAAGTGGGAGACCCCCGTGACGTTGGACACCGCTGCGTTGACGATGTACCACTGCAGGTCGGGGGGGGAGGTGGGCGGGAAGAAGGCGTCCCGCGTCAGGATCAGGTGCGCAAAGTTGCGCATGGACGGCTCCACGCAGAACAGCGTGAGCGGGGCCGAGTGCTTCTTCACCGTGGACTTGACCTGGTGTGGGGGGGGAGGAGGGGGAGGGGGGATGTGTGGGAGAGGGGCGAGCGGCAGTGGATTGAGGGTGGAATACCAGGCCAGGGCTGCCGGGGCCAGTCATGCTGGCAGGCGCGGGCACTCAGACACAGGCAGGGCGTCGTCGAGGAGGCGGCCGGGCCGCGGCATGAGTGTGGGGTGCAGGCGGTGGGCGAGGACGGGAAGTCTGCAAAATGGGCATGGCGCGTTGCAGGAAACAGCCCCAGGGAGGTCAGGGAGTCGCGTCCGGCTTCGTTCATCGCCACATTGACACGTCACCCACCCCCTCTCACCAGTACCTGCTCATTGCAGTCTGCGCAGGTGCCGCAGGGTACCTCGGGGCGCTTGGTGCGGAGCGTGTCTGGGGCGAAGCCCAGCTCCGGGGCCCAGAGGGAGAAGACGTGGGCGGAGGAGTAGCCCTTGTTGCACCCGATGTCCACCACCATGAGGGGCGCAGACGGGGCGAGCTCTGAGGTCGAAGAAGGGCGGAGGAGGGAGGATGGGCCCAGTGCTGTGTGCTGGCTGGCGGCCGGTGGACGGGCAAAGGGGCAGCCAGGCATGCCGCGGCACGCATCCGGGGGGTCCCCATCTTAACAGGGCACGCACGGGAGTCGAGAGCCGCGTGCGCTGGCCAAGCATTCCCCCATGCCAGCCGACCGCCACGCGATCCCCTGACCCCCGCTCACCTTGGAAGCGCTCCAGCCAGCCGCTGCCGGGGCAGGCGGTGTAGAAGGGGACGTCCACGGTCTGGTTGCGGAAGTGCCAGGCCAGCTCGCTGCTGTGCTCGCTGCGGCAGTACTCCCTGATCTCCAGGTCCCCGCTCACGGTAGACATGGTGAGGCCGATGCTGGTCAGGGCGGTGCCGATGTCGGCGCCACCCACCGCACGCAGGCCCTCGTCCAGCAGGTTCCGCCCGCCCGCGGCTTCCACGGCCACGTACAGGATCCCGGCAGCGATCACGACCCCCAGGAGGGGCTTGATGATCCCGCTGGCTGTGGCTGGAGTGCGGGGCCGGCGCAGGGCCCTGCCCGCGGACGACATGGTGTGGGGCGCACACAGGGTGCTGCATGCGTGCAAGGAGTAGAGGATATTGGGATGCGGGCAGTTGGCCTGCCCTCGACGCCCAAACAGTACAGCCAGGCGCCCTGCACGCAGATCGCCAACGCCCGGCGGGGCCCACGCCGACGCGTACGGCGATCTTGCGAGCCAGTGGATTGCATATACACCAATATTTATATGCTTCCGATGCGGCTTGCAGGTTCAAAGCCCACACAGACCCACCCCCACCGTACCGCTGGGCGAGAGTGGTTGCCCCCAACCACCACGGGAATTGGCTCGTTTGCAGCAGTCACCGGGAGCCACTCGATGCTAATGCAACACGAATTGTCGCAATGCTTCTAATCAGGAGTCACTGCGCCTGAGGATGTGGGAGTATGAGTACGCAAATCTGCAAGCGCGCGTCTCCCGCGCTCATCCGGAAGCCATGTTGGACTCCCCCACCAGCAAACTGCGCACCCCTCACATGTCATTCCCTGGCTACCCGGGAGCTTTGTCTCAATAAACATAAGTTGATGCTTGATCAAGGAGAGAAGTTGAGTTTGTGATCCTTATTCTCATCCCCCAGACCGAAACTGCACTGACCATGCCTGAGATACTGTCTTCCCTGGTGGACACATGAGGAGGATGCACAAGTTGCAGTGTGTTCAAAGACAGGAAGTGGGTGCCGATCTACAAAGGTACCTGCCCTGCTCCATCCCTGTACTTGAGGTAGGTCCAGGCTCTCGCAGCAGCATGAAAACTGCAGGTTTATCTAAAGGAGAGCTCATCACTGTCCAAACAAGTAGGTGCAGGATCATATCTTACCGCCAGTGTTTCTATGTTATAGTTGGAAAGGGCAGGCATTGCAGAGACTATCGACTCTTGCTTGCACGGCAAGAGTGCTGCCACGCGGTTGTCAGCCAGATGGTGGAAGCCGCTACACCAAACCCACACGTTCCAATCGCGAGCATGGTGTAGACTCAGGCAAATCGGGCCGCCTGCACAAAACATGATGCATCAAGCTTTGGATGAGGATCGTCGACCCAAACTCACAACAGCACCTCAGGTTGTCGACTCCCTGTGCCAGCGGTGGCCGCCTCTACCCGAAGCAGCAGCTCACTCGATTGGCACTTGTGAGGGTCGACAGCGAATCGGATGGGGCAGCAAGGAGCAGGCTCATTGGCTCAACTGACAGTAGAATCCACATTGAAAGGTCCTATCTAATTCAATCCCTCGTGTGGACTTTGCAATAGCTCCGATTGGAGTACGAGGGTGTCGAGGAGATCAGCATCAGGTCAGGTGTGGCGTTCGTGAAGTTCCAGTAATACGCGCGCGATCTGGAGTGTTTTATCACGATCGCACAATCATCGAGTCTTCTCAGATTCATGGGAGGAATTTCTTGCTGATGACGACAGCTCCATGGGAGGTGTCCCCCAGCTGGGATCTTGACGAGTTGAGAAAGCGCGCCAGAAAATGTAACTCTTGGACGCTCAGGCCCACCCACCTCGCAATTGCAACCGAAGATGAACGCTTTGCGCGTGCAAGGAACTTGTAATAGTAGACTCTCATTTGTGAGACCTCGTTGCCGCGCGGCGCGTCCCGCCCGTCAAGCCTTTAGGGAGCCAGGTGGGTGAGCCTGCATGCAAGCAAATTGCATGGCACATCTGTCGACCGACGTCAGGTACCAATTCTCTGCCTCGATGCAGGCACCGAGTTCCTCATGTCCAACCCCTGCGTTGCGGATGAATTTGCGAGCGGAGCCCGGAGGGTGGAGCTGATCCTGTCTGACGTGGACGGCACCCTCCTGGACCACTCCCAGACCCTCACCCCGGGGGTCAAGGCAGCCGTGGAGGCGGCCTCGGCAGCTGGTGTCCCTCTCATCCTGGCAACCGGCAAGGCTTTGGGCCCCTGGGTGGGCCCGGTTCTGGAGGCCCTGCCCCTCCCCCTGCCGCGCATCCACATGCAGGGGTTGCACATAGTGGACCCGAAGGAGGGCGTGATCTTCGATCGCACCCTGGACGAAGCCATCTTTCACGACACGCTGGCCTTCTGCAGGGAGCATGGTGCGGCAGGGAGGGCTGTCAGATTTCCTCATTTGCTTGGGGAACAAGGGGCGTGGGTTGCTGGATCTAGTGTGGCTGGTCCACCGCAGTGCCGTCTTGGAATGGCGCGAGTGCCGTGCGGTGGGCAGGGACAGTGTGTCTATAGTCCTTTGTCCATTGTAAAGGAGCTGCCTGGAGCCATCTCCGCTGAGCCTGGAACGGTGGCTCCAAACCTCCACCACCGGACCCATCAGGCATCACGCTGACTGGGTACCGCCCGAACAATGTGTACTGCGAGGAGACCAATGAACACACGGACCGGCTCATATTCTACGGCGAGCCCACGCCGGAGGCCATAGGTGAGTGGTGAGCTGTTGTCGGATGCGTGTTGTGCGGCATGGGGGCAAGCGACCCAGAGGAGTCACTCTCGCGAGCTCGCCCGCGCCCTGCCCACACAGCAGCCCGCCACGATGCAGCCGGCACTCTTCCTTGGCTGGCGGACGCCGTCCCAGCGCTCCACCGCCTCGAGTCCTCCCCAGCCCTCCTTCCCGCCCCCCGCCGATGGACCAGGTGCCTGGAATGAGGAGCTGGGGTACTCCTTCAACAAGCTGCTGGTCATGAGCGACCACCCCTCCATGCTGCGCCTGCGCCCCCTGCTGGAGGCCCGCCTGACAGGCCGGGCGGCGCTGACCAGCGCCCTGCCCGGCATGGTGGAGATCCTTCCCCCCGGCGCGTCCAAGGGCGCGGGCGTGGCCTGGCTGCTGCAGCGGCTGGGCGTCGACCCCGGCGCCTGCATGGCGATGGGCGATGGCGAGAACGACGTGGAGATGCTGCGCCTGGTGGGTCTGGGAGTGGCCATGGGCAACGCGGTGGAGGCGGCGAGCGCTGCGGCGGACGCCCACACGGCGCCCAACGACGAGGACGGCGTGGCGCGGGCCATCGAGAAGTACGTCCTGGCGCCCAGGGGGTTGATGGCATGAGGTCATGCAGGCCGATGACCGCGACTTAACTGGGACCCCCACTGGAGGCGGCGCTCCCAGGTCCTGTACCGGGAAGGAACCCTGCCAATGCAGGAAAAACGTGCACATGGCATGATTCTTATGGTCCTTACAGGTATCGTGTGCAAGCTCCCAAGGGCACGCCTGCCTGACCTGACCTGCAAAGATACTGCTGTGGTGTGGTTCACGTGGGCTGGGGCGGGGGGTTTCGACGGAGTGAAGTGTCGGGGTTTCCCCCGTTTCTGGCCCAGACGACCCAGACTCGCCACCACCCCGTCCCCAACCCCGCCGCACGGCATGCTCTGATCGGGTCTCGGGAGGTCTGTGTGTCTTCGCGGCCATCCCCCGGGCAACGGGCGGTCCCGTGACCAGGAGCGATGCAGTTCTCCCGCAAGTCCTTCACCAACCTCCAGGCCCTCGCGGCCGGGGACTTTGGTGGATCGATGTCAGAGCTTGCTGGAGGGGGGCCCCTGTCTGCCTTTCATGCCGGCGGCAAGAAGGGGTCCACCACCTCGATGGATAGCGACTCCATAAACAGGAGGTCGCAGAGGTAGGCTGGCTGGCGGTGGGTCCCGGCCTTGGGACAGATCGCCCAGCACTGACGTGTTCGAAACCCAGTCTCGACCCCTGGTGCACCGCAGGCTGATCTTCGTGTGCAACCAGCTCCCACTCCGGGTGAAGGGCCAGGGCAAGGGGGCCTGGAGCTTCGAGTGGGATGAGGATGCCCTCATCGCCCAGGCTCGAGAGGGGCTTCCTGAGGACATGGAGGCAGTGTATGTCGGGTGCCTGCCCATGGAAGTGGACGGCGCAGACCAGGATGTGAGTGCAGTGGCCTTGGGGGACGGGGCTGGAGGGAGGACTAGAGTTGAGGAAGTGCCAACCTGATGAATCACGCATGCATTGTTTGTGTAGGTGTTCGGTGGTGCCCTTGATGGCCGCTTCACCGGTGGCTGCCCCCTGATGTGTGCAGGAGGTGAGTCAGCATCTACAGACCGAGTTCCAGTGTCATCCGGTCTTCCTCGGGGAAGAGCTTAAGAACAGCTACTACCGACGTGAGGCCCATGGAGGCGGGGATGTGGGGCGGAGGAAGCCATACTCTGCTGGGGCCTTGCATCTCTCACTTCCACGCTTGTGGTAGACGGTCCTGCTGTCTTGAATACCTGTGGGAGGCAGGGGGCCAGAGCTACATGCCCCCCTGAATGGGGTGGTTGATCAATCGCCGCGCTCCTTGTACCCATGCCACAGAGTTCTGCAAGCAGCAGCTCTGGCCCCTCCTGCACTACCTCATCCCCCTCAACCCCACGGGCGTCAACCGCTTCGACCCGGACCTCTGGTCCGCCTATGTCCGTGCCAACATGGTACGGTGGTGGTCGCATGCAGTGGGGGTCCTGGGTGATGTGGATGTCGCGCTGCTGCGGTATTTGCGCTGGCCTGTGACCAGCTGAGCCTGCCCCTCGCCTGGTCGCCGAATACTGTTTACTCACTGCTTGAGGCTGCCTCTCGTATCCCTCGTCCTGACCCATGTCCCCCAACCCACCACCCTTCCAGGTATTTGCCAACAAGCTGGTGGAGGTGCTGGGCTCGCTGGAGGATGACTTCGTGTGGATCCACGACTACCACCTGCTGGTGCTGCCCTCCCTGCTTCGCAAGCGCTTCCACCGCATTAAGTGCGGCATCTTCCTGCACTCCCCCTTCCCCTCCTCGGAGATCTTCCGTACTTTCCCGCGCCGCGAGGAGGTCATGCGCGCCATGCTCAACGCCGACATCATCGGCTTCCACACCTTTGACTATGCGCGGCACTTCCTCTCCTGCTGCTCGCGGATGCTGGGGCTGGAGCACAAGACCAACCGCGGCGCCATCCTCATCGACTACTATGGCCGCGACGTTTGCATAAAGATCATGCCCACCGGTGAGGCAGTGGATGGAGGTTTTTGTATGTGGAGGGTTGGGGCAGAGGAAGATGGATGTGCATGCCCTTGTATATTGGTTTTGGTGGGGTGCTGAGTACGGGTCCCAATGGCCGTAGCTGGGAGGCCTTGTATACGTTACAGTGGCCGCCTTTATTCAATGTACCTGAGCACCTGGTAGTATGCCGGATGCAAGCTTCAGTTCAATCTTTGGTCTCTCGCGGTGTGCAGCAGCGGTGTCCTTGGCCCAACGTACAACCTGCATCCATCTCTCCTTCCTCAGCGTCTCCTCCCCGCCTCTCGGCCCGCAGGCATCAAGCCGGAGCGGCTCCTCGCCGCCTTCGACTGGTCGGACACCCTGTGGCGCCGCGGAGAGCTCTGCGCGCAGTTTGAGGGCAAGACAGTGCTCATGGGCATCGACGACATGGATGTCTTCAAGGGCATCGAGCTGAAGCTGCAGGCCTTCGAGCAGGTGCTGATCCACCACGCCGAGTGGCGCGGCCGCCTGGTCCTCGTCCAGGTCACCTCCGCTGCCAGGTCAGCATTCTGCCTGTTGGTGGGGAGAGGGGAATGGAGGAAGGGGGTGTTTATCCACAAAGGGTCCCCTGAAGGCAGAGACAGGTGCCCAGCGACATGCCCAGCGGCCTCATGCCATCACCCCTTCGTGCAATGAAACGATGATGCCATATTCCCACCTGTCCTACGCCCCAACAGGGCCCCCGGCAAGGACGTGGACGAGCTGCACTCCTTCGTCGTGGCCCTGGTGCGCCGCATCAATGACCGCTTCCGGGCGCCCGGCTACGAGCCGGTGGTCTGGGTGGAACGACCCGTCCCGCTCTACGAGCGCATGGCCCTGCTGTCGGTGGCCGACTGCGTGGTGGTCACCGCCACGCGCGACGGCATGAACCTGCTGCCCTACGAGTACGTGGTGGCGCGGCAGGGCGCGGCGGCGGCCGTGGGCGGCGGTGGGCCCGGGGGGGTCGACGCAGCGGGGGGTGACGCGGCGGGTGGTCTTGCGGGCGGCGCGGCGGCGCCGCAGGCGACGCACAGCATGCTGGTCGTGTCGGAGTTTGTGGGCTGCTCGCCCTCCCTGTCGGGCGCCATCCGCGTCAACCCCTGGTCCATCGAGGCGGTGAGGAAGCCTGGGCATCGATGGGAAAGGGACGGTTGATGGGAGCGGGAAAAGGGAGTGTGGGGTCGGTGGTCAGAGGAGCGGCAGAGGTGCGTTTCAAGGGATGTGCCTGCTTATTCCGCCAAGTCCTTGCAACCTCCATCCGCACGGCGCTGCAGTGATGTTTGTTTCCCCAACCTGCCTGAACCCCTCCCCCCCCGCAGCTGAGGGACGCGATCTACACGGCCATCCGCCTGCCGCTGGAGGACCGTGCCGCGCGGCACGAGAAGCACTGGAAGTATGTGAGCAGCCACACCGTGCAGTACTGGGCCAAGGCGAGTTTGGGGATGGAGGGGTGAAAAGGGGGCCTGCGGCTCTCCGCGTGGCCATGCCTTGTCAGGAGGGTGGTGGTGTCCTTCTTGACTCAGCATGCATGCCTGGGTATGCCTCGCTCCCCTTTGCCTCGCTGCTCAGCTCTGTTGAGTCCCCACCCATCGCCCTGCAGTCGTACCTGGCGGACTTCCAGCGCTTCACCAAGGACCACGCCCGGCTGCAGTGCTTCGACCTGGGCTTTGCACTCAACACCTTCCGCATGGTGCGAGTGTGCTAGGGTGCCAGGGGTATATTGGCTGGGAGGGTCGACGCCTCAGAGGGACAGTATGGCCCAGGAGGGGGGGTGGGAGGTCCATAGCGTGGACCTGCGCCCTCTGCGTGGCCGCAGCGGGCTCTCACCGGGGTGCACAGGAGGCGCCGCATTGATTTCTGAAGTGATCAGCCGTCTTGCAGCATTTCCCTTCCGCATGTTCTGCACCCAGGACCAGCCTGTGAATTCCGATGTGGGTCCAATTTGCTGGATATACAACACCTCAAATCTTAATCCCTTCTCAGGTGGCCCTGACCTCCAACTTCCGGAAGCTGCCGACGGACACCCTGCTTAAGACGTACAGCCGGTCCGGAAAGCGCGTCTTCCTGCTGGACCACGATGGCACGCTGGTGCCCCAGGGTGAGTCCAGCAGCCGACCCGGCGACGCGGTGCTGCGGGTGCTGCAGGGCCTCACCGCCAACCCCGCCAACACCGTCTACGTCATCTCCGGCCGCGCCCGCACCGAGCTGGAGTCCTTCTTCAGCGGCGTGGTGAGCTTGAGGTTCGGTGGAGGGGGTCCCGGGTGATGGATGTATATTTTTGTGTGTCTGTGAGAGGTGGAAGTGGGGTCGCTGGGTATCCGGTGGTGGGTGTGGATGGGGAGGGATGCAGTGGGAGCGGGCGCCAGGAGCGATGCGTCTGAAGGTGAGACAGCATCATCCCTTCCCTCTCTTCAACCCCCTCACAACACATCATCACCCCGCCCCCCTCCACCGCTTCAATCCCAGTCGCGGTTGGGCCTGGCGGCGGAGCACGGCTTCTACTGGCGCCCCCCCGGGTCGGAGGCGTGGTCCACCCAGGACCCCGAGGCGCGCTTCGACTGGCGTGACATTGTCCTGCCCATCCTGCAGGTTTACAAGGAGTCCACGGACGGCTCCTACATTGAGGCCAAGGAGAGCGCGCTGGTGTGGCACTACCACGACGCCGACCCCGACTTTGGCAGCTGGCAGGCCAAGGAGCTGCTGGATCACCTGGAGGGGGTGCTCAGCAACGAGCCCATCGAGGTGGTGCCCGGGCAGTCTATCGTAGAGGTGAAGCCACAGGGCGTGTCGAAAGGGCGGGTGGTCGAGCGCGTGCTCCACGATGCGTTGGAGAGCGGGGAGGCTCCGGATTTTGTGCTCTGCATCGGCAACGACCGATCCGGTGAGGGGAGTGGGAAGAGGGGGAGAGGGGGGGGGAGGGGGGGGCCCTGGGGAGAGGGGAGACTGGGGAGAGCCTCCTGGTCATGACTCATGGACAGGGATGGCAGGGGCGGGGATTTTTATGCAAGTCCCTGAAACAGGAGTTTGGGCGTGTGCAAAGCCTGGGACAGGTCTCAAAGTCTGAACCATGGATGCTGTGTGGCGCCTGGTCGAGGTGCCTGCAAGTCGTCGAGCGGTTGCCGATGGCAGGCTGCCGGTAGTGCTCAGATTGCAACACAGCCATACTCCACCCCACCCTTCCACTCCATACCACAGACGAGGACATGTTTTCAGCAATGGAGAACATGAACTTCTCGCCGCACATACCCACGGAGGTGTGGAGCTTGGCTGAAGGGGGCCTGGAGGGGTGGGGTGTGTACTGGGTGCGGCAGGTGCCCCTCATATTCGTCATCCGCCCATTCCTTTACACACCAGCGGTTCCAGCATGCATGCCGTGCAGCCTACGGCACGCACTCGGACGCCCAGTCCCACCAACCCCCTTCCCCCTCCCTTTACCACTCGCCAGGTGTTTGCATGTACGGTGGGCCAGAAGCCCAGCAAGGCGCCATACTACGTCAACGATCCCGCCGAGGTCCAGGCCACGCTTTCCAAGATTGTGGACGTGGAGGCGGCGGCGCCCGCCGACGCCGCATCCGCGCACCACGTATCCTTTGCTTGAGTGTTCGCAGGGTGGGCGCCCCAGGCCCCCGCTGCGTGGATGAGGTCCTGCCTTCCAGCCCCGCCCTCTGGAACGTGCTCCCCCTGCCAGAATCACCCGCCCTTCCCTTCCTGCCTGTTCACACTGCCGGCTGTGAGTGTCTCTACCGCTCATGTTGAGCACAATCGCACATGCACTCAGCTGGGGCACGGCGGGGTACCAACGGTACGGCGCCTCATCCCAGCGTCACGTTGGCCGTGGCATTGAGACCCACCGCCGTGCCGTTCCAGGGCTGGGCGGGGTCGAAACCGGGCTGGTCCAGGCTGTCCTCCAGCCCCGTCCAGTGGAAGACAAAATGCAGGCCGGTGAGGATGACGGGGTTCCACACCACGAAGAAGCGGATGAGGTCCAGCATCTGCGTCCTGCAGCGGGCCGGTGTGGGGGGAGGTTTAAGAGGGTGGGACTGGTAACCACCTAGCACACGGATGAAATCAAAGCAGACTGGAGTGCACCGTGAAGGTCTGTCCTCTCTGCGCCTCCTTTGTATCTCGCATCGCCTCCCTGTGCTCAAGCTGACCCCCATCATACTCCCCCTGGACATAATGCACTCAAAGTAGTACCACCTCTCGCTCGCTCCCTCACCAGGACATGTTGGTGCTCTCCCAGGGCCTGGAGGCGTACAGCTTCCTCAGGTCCACCTTCTCGTGGCAGGTGGGGCAGGTGTCTTTCTTCCCCACGATGGTCCACCCCCGGATGCAGTCGGAGTGGAAGAGGTGCTTGCAGGACAGCTGCACCGTGCTGCGTCCTGCCCCCGCGACGCCCAGGGCGCCGCTGCCAGCCGCCGCAGCCGTCGGCGCCGCCGCCGGGCCGAGCGCGTCCTCCAGCTCGCCGGCGCAGATGCCGCAGCTGCGTACCGACACCGCCAGGCGGCGGCGCTGGCCTAGTCCCACTGCCATTCGGTCGCTGGCCACCTCGGCCGCGTCACGGGTCAGGATGCCAAAGTACAGGCCATACCTATGTTTGGGGGGAGGAGGGGATGTGGTGGTGGAAGCGGGAAGGAGCTTGAAGGTGCTGGGGGATGCGTAGGGTCTTGAAGGGGCTGTGCGCGGGCATGCAGTCATGGGCAAGAAAGGGGGAATGCATGTGAGCTGCGGCCCAGCGGAGAGCGAGCAGGGCGGCGGAGGGGTGTCTGTCCTACCACCAGCATGGGAGGAGCACCACCACCGATGCAGGACAAGCAGTCCAGGAAAAGCCCTTCTACCCCTTCCGAGATGCACCGCAGCACCACGCTGCTCACCAGAGCACGGAGAGGCAGGTGGAGGGGGACATGAAGGCCCGGAGAAGGGGCCCCGACCCCAGCGCCTCCATGAGCAGGAGGACATAGCCGGCGAGGCCGAGGGCGGAGGAGGCGTGGAAGACCCAGAAGAACCAGCGGTACACCTGGTGGGGCAGGTCCTTGCTGAGCTGGCCCTGGCAGCAGCGGTAGAGGTAGTAACCGGTGACCCCGGTGTAGGCGGCCAGCACAACCAGGAAGCGCCAGAAACCGAGCTGGAAGGAGACGATGGCGGGGATGAGCCAGAGGCCCACCAGCGTCGCCAGGTCGTAGCTGCGCCGGTGCTTCCTACGCCACGCAAACAGGGCGCCCTGGGCGACCAGCATCACCACCTGCCGGATTGGGGGGGTAGGGAATGGGTGGGGTGGCTCGAGACGCTGCCCATGCGGAGCCATACCCCCACGGCACGCCCTGTGCAGTGCAATCGCGCAGCCCTCCCCACCCTCTCTGGCTCCTGGGTGGAATCCCGTACCCACCAGCACGGTGTAGAAGACGATGATGGAGTGCCTCATCTCCTCGGGCGTTACTTGATGCTGGTGGAGGAGGGTGTGATTCCCTGCCGACCCATTGTTGATCCCCACAGAGGTGTTGAAGCCACCCGCAAGTACAGGCGCGGTGGTGTTCGACCCCATGGTGGCCGCGGCCGGCTAAAGGTAGGCTTCGCAAGACATTAGTATCAGCTGAGCGCTTGTATCGAGTTGGGAAGCGTATGCGCCCCGCAGATCGGGTTCGCCCAAGCCGAGCGCCTGCCCTGTCAAGTCCTTGTCCAGGCACACGCCACGGGCGGCGAGCTTGATATACTGATCGAACTTATTTGGCCTCTACAGATCAGATTATCGCAAGGTTTTCCAGGATGTCGTGGGTGATACTTGTTGTGCCCTCTCATCAAGCCAGGGCGCGACATGCGCCACCAGCGATCAGCGCCTTTCACGCTCCCACTTACCGACCCATTAGCAATCAGCAGCGTTCTGCGCAGGTTCAGGGGGATCACACATAACACTGAAATGTAAGCAAGGACTCCTTTCCACTCCTCGAACCGGTTTTGGTGTGTGCCATGCGAGCCTTGGCGTGTCTGGCACAGAGTCGAGGACCCCCAGTTTCACGTCGCGTCGCCACCCGAGCAGCCCCGGCCAGCACCATGGCCTCCCTCCCGGCCAGGACTTTCAAGCCATGCATCATCACCCAGCCCACGCCCCGCAACGAGACCCTGCTCTCCATGTGCCCCTCCCTGTCCGCGCCCTACTCCCTGCCCCTGCCCCTCTGCAATGGGCACGTGGAGACCATCTTCGCCGCCCTTTTCCGCCGCACCCCGGGCGTGGTCTATGACCGGGAGTTGGTGCACATGCCGGACGGGGGCCTGGTCGCTCTGGACGCGCGGGCGACCCCCGCGGGAGAGGACCCCCTGCCCCCCACCGCCCCCGTCCTCCTCCTGCTGCCGGGGCTGACAGGTGGGTCTGAGGATTCCTACGTCCAGCACCAGGTTCACGGCGCCGCCGCGGCCGGCTTCCGGCCCCTGGTCATGAACATGCGGGGCACCAGCCACATGCCCGTCACCACCCCCCGCTTCTTCTCGGCCGAGGACACGGGGGACATCCGGTGGGTGCTGCGCATGGGACAAGGCTTCTGGAGATGAGGAGATGCTGTTTTGAGAAGCACGCCGATCGCATGCACAGTGTCTCGAGGGTGTCCGATGTCGGAGCAAGGGGTTGGGAGGTGCATGTGCTTCTGGTGGGGGGAGTAGCCCGGTCCGCCCTGCCCCTCACTACCAACCCCTCGCTGCACCCCTGTGCAGGAGGATCGTGGCACACATCCGGAACCTGTATCCCCAGAGCATGCTGCTGGCGGCAGGGTGGTCCAACGGGGGCAACATCCTCACCCGCTACCTGGGAGAGGAGGGGGACGCCACGCCCATCACTGCCGCCGCCGTGCTGTGCAACCCCTTCAACATGGTCCGGTGACGAGGGGGTGGGAGGAGCTGGGGTACATTGATGGCTCTGGTCGGCATCTCATGCTTGCCTGAGTGGCCGCATGCCGGTGCGCTGCGCTCCTCAGGCACCCACCGGGCCTCCTTTTACCACCTGCTCCAGTTCCCCCCGAATCCCACCCCCCCACCAACAAAGATACCCACCATCCACGCAGCCCATGTGCCACGAGAACATGAGCTCCGGCTTCAGCCTGCTGTACAACTGGAACCTGGGGAAGAGCCTGCGCCGCATCTACCTGCGCCACGCCCCGTTGTTCGAGGCGGCGGCGGCGGCAGGGGAGGTCGCCTACAAGACGGACCAGGCGGCCAGCGCCTCCACCATCTCTGCCTTTGACGACGCCATCACCACCGTGACCTACGGCTACGCCAGCGTGGACGACTACTACGCGGCCGCCAGCAGCGACCGCGACGTGGGTGCCGTGTGCGTACCCACGCTCTTTGTGCAGGCGGAGGACGACCCCATAGCGGTCCAGGGCGCCATCCCGAGGGAGGGGCTGCTGGGCAACCCTAATGCCATCCTGGCCCTCACCCCCACAGGGGGGCACCTGGGGTGGTGCGGCGGCAAGGACGGCATCTTCGGTGAGGGTTCCAGGGGAAGAGGAGTTGGAGTTGGGGAAAGGGGGGTATGCTGATGAGAGGATGTGAGGGGTTGGAGAGGTCCCTGGAGATGTGGGGCGGTTGATAGCCACGGCTAAGGATACATGGTGGCACCAGCCAGAACAAATACCTGTATGGCCATGACGGCATGGTCCTTGTGGGAGACAATACTTCCCGGCAGGACGCATCGTCCTGCCTCACCATGCCATTCCCCCTTTACAACAACAGGGGCCCCCTGGTCAAATAGTGTGGTGCTGGAGTGGTTCTCCGCCATCCAGAAAGTGGCGCCGCTGGATTTTGGGAAGGACCAGGGCGGGGCCCTCCCAGAGGACACCACCTACTCGATTGCCAGCGAGACCATCCGCAAGGTGGTGGCCTGAGTATTCTTTTTTGTGTGGAGCATGGTCCCTGGCCGGCGCCTCAAACAAGGCGCACAGGTTGCACCCTCCGACTCACAGATCGGTACCTTTGAAGTAGCTGGAGCTTGGCCAATCGAGCTGGCCTGCTCACTAGAGGCTTTGCAACATTTGTCCACCGTACCTCGACTGCCAAGGCAGTGCTTGAAGCTTGCATAAACCCTTCTAGGAAGTCATTTAGCACTTACAATGATAAGTATGATTATACCTGTGGCATTCCTGGGGTGAGGTTGGACAGGTACGAATCATTCAACAGCCCAGAGGACGGCCTGCAACATGAACACACGAGTCTGTATACAGAGGGATCATCATGCTCCTGAATATGATACGCAAGGATGTACACGAGATGGGGGCAACTGGGGACTCTCTATGGAACATACAAGCACTGATTTCATCTCAAAACTTTCTGGTGCCATGTCGCCTCAATACCGGCCGCCGGCCGCCGCCCCAGCAGGGACCGCCGCCTCGACTTCGTCCAGCTCCTCGCGCGTCAGCCTCACGCCCGCCGCGGCCACGTTCTGCTCCAGATACTTGACGCTCTTTGTCCCCGGGATGGGGACCACGTCATCGCCCTGGGCCAGCAGCCAGGCAAGCGCCAGCTGCCCGGGGGTCACGCCCTTGCGCCCCGCCACGCCCCTCAGCGCCTCGGCCAGCGCCAGATTCTTGGCGAAGTTCTCGCCCTGGAAGCGGGGCTGCGCGGCCGCGCGGAAGTCGCCCTCAGGGATCTCGGCGGTGCTGGAGAAGCGCCCTGCCAGGATGCCGCGACCCAGGGGGCTGTAGGCCAGGAAGCCGATGCCCAGGCCCCGGGCGGTGGGGATGATGTCGTCCTGGGAGGGCAGGACGTGGGTCGATGAATGTGCAAGAAGTGTGCGTTGCAGGCTTCGCTTTGAGGAATGTCAAGGTTTCTCACGAGGGCCTAGGAGGCCCCGCAGGGGCCTGGAAGACCTGGGCAGACCATACATCACCTTGATAGGTCAAGCACACCCAGAGCCCCTCCATCCAAGCACGCAGCTTGCCTCTGCCTCGCGTGAGAAGAGGCTCCACTCGAGTTCGATCAGGGTGATGGGAACTATGGCGTGAGCAGCCTTGATCTGCTCAGCCGTCACCTCTGACAGCCCCACATGCTTTACCAGCCTCTCGTCCACCAGAGCCTGTGGTGCGGTTTGGGAGGTGGCAGAGTCAATGCACAGCAAAGTTGGAACCTCTTCAAGCCCTCAACACATCCAGAAGCAATGGCAACTCCAGTCAACATCCAGCAACGTCTTTGACTATCCTGAAGGAGGAATAGGGTTCCTACCCAGGGACAACCCCAAACCTCTCATCATCACCTTGACTCCCTTGAAGACCAACTCGAGATCATAATCCTCCGGCAGGGGTCCCCGCAGTGTCAATACATCCACAGCTTTCTTGCCTGTCCTCTTCAGGGAGCCCTCCACTGCACGGCGGGCTGCTGCTGGAGAGAAGTCTGTGCTGAAGTCATTCTCCTAAGAGTTAGGGGGTGATGATTGTCCCGGTGGAGAGATGTGGGTCCCAGATCACGAGGATTCAAGCTTCAGCATGGAGAGCCAGCCTGCTCTGTTGTAATAGCTGGAATCCAACGACGTTTCCAGGATGCCAGCTACGTACCAGGCCCCATTTTGTAGCGATAACTAGGCTCTCGATCTTCTCTGGGGGGAAGGCCTTCCCGATCAGGGTCTCGTTGACCCCCGCACCGTAGAACACCGCCGTGTTGATGAGAGTCACCCCCAGCTCGGCGGCACGGTGCAGGACCTGGATGCCGCCCTCCTCGGATACATCAGACTTGTAGAAGCCGTCAGTCAGAGACATGGCCCCAAACCCAATTGCAGAGACCTTCAGTCCCTTGCCGAGAGTGCGGGTTGGGAGGCTCGACATGGTTGCAGTGTGGTTGCCGATTCTGGGTAGGATTGTCAAGAAGATCGGGGTGCAGGACCACCGTGGGTTCCATACTATTCTGTGAGATTGACTTATTACGTGTTGCTGGTGTCACCAATTTTCGCATCGCCCCTTCCCTCCGGGTCCATGTGGTTTGCCTTCGCGCCTTGCATGCAACTGATGCTGTTCCATCATATTCGAAAGCACACCCATTCACAGAAGAATCCCTCTTTAAAGCAACAGTTGTATATTCAGGGTCTTCCGCGGCACACGTAGGTGCTGTCTCGTTAACTTGTTTTCTGCTCAGCCCGAGACGTTTGCTCGAGTGCAAGGACGAAACTAGGGATATCAAGCAGGATCGATCGAAACACCTCCACCGATGGCATCCCGTCATCTCTGGCCTTTGATCACGAGGCTGCGGCAGTCGGGTGCCAGTGCCTCCGCTCGGCCCTGCGCACTTCTTGAAGCCTCTGGCGTTCTGTCCACCGCATTCGACACTCGGTGGATCGGCAGCTCCGCCTCATACAGCGCCAGGGTGCGGCGAACAGGAAGAGATCTGGTTCCCAGGCAAGCAGGAGATGTGGCAGCCGAGCCTGGCACGGCTGTGGAGCCCGCCGCCTCCCCCTCACTCAACCTGCCAGCCATTCAGGCGGTGCTGCAGCACCCAGCGCTGGTGGTCACCCGCCCCATCGAGTGGGGCACGGTCCTGCTGGGGTTCGAGCAGGCCAACCGATACACGGTGTGCGATGAGGCAGGGGCCGTCGTGGCCCAGCTCATGGAGGAGGAGGGCTCCATCGGGCGAGCCATAGGGAGGCAGCTGCTGCGCACGCGCCGGCCATTCACGGCCACCGTGCTCAGCGCCGATGGTGAGGAGCTCCTTGTGGTGGCATTGGCACGTCTCAGCAGGCTCATGACAGGTCAACCTGCGAGACGGGGGACCCCTGAGATGGCGCCCTAATGCCCTGGGCCACACTGCGGCCATGCACGCCTCTTCAATGGTCGTGGCACATTCCCGCAGGGTCTGAGGTGCTGTTCCGCATCCGCCGCCCCTTCTACTTCATCAGCTCGACCATGTACATTGAGGACGGGGCTGGGGAGAAGCTGGGGGAGGTTCAGCAGCAATGGCACCTGTGGCGACGGAACTACGCCCTCTTTGTCGGTAAGCTGTGGGTTTTGCAGATCTGGAGCGTGCATCGGGCTGTGTGAGGAGGGGTACTGAGCACAGCCGAACGCCGTTTTGCGTGTTGACATAGTGGTGAGCGATTGTTCAAATGTGCCATGACGGTGACCCTGCCTGAGTGACGGCAGGCCGCGACCCTGTTCGAGGATGGAGCTGCTCAGCCTCAGGCTCAGCGTGACGTGCCTGGCCAAATCATATCGACAGAGTTTGCCGGTGCACACCGCTCTCCCTTGCTCCGACAGGCAGTCGCCAATTCTCAGCCATTGGCGGGGGCTTCCTCGCCTGGGACTTTGAGCTGAAGGACGAGGCTGGTAACACCATGGCCCTCATCGACCGAAATTTCCAAGGTGCGGAGTGTGATGAATGCGGAGCTGATGGAGAGAGTCCACAGGCATACCACAACATTGTCCCATTCTTGCCGGAAATCGTGCATCTCTCTTGCCTGCAGGCTTTGGGAAGGAGCTGTTCACGGATGCCGGCAAGTATGCCATCCACTTTGGGAGCAGTCCCGCAGATGCGGCCCGTGAGCTTGCCACGGCGATAGAGGTGGGCGGGGTGGGTGGGAGGGGTTGTTTTATATGGGTAATGAGCTCTAGTATGTGGAGTGATTGGGGAGCAAACCCACAATGATTGGTTTTTGGATGCACTATCCGCACCCCTGCATAAAGGCATCGTCGGTCATTTTGGCCTTGGAAAAGAGAGATCTCGTCCCATGGCATCCATCGTCTTGAAGTTACAATCCTCCATGCACAATCCTGCCAGAGGCACCTCTTGAAGAGCACCCCCACCTTCACCTCTCACCCAACAACAGGCACAGCACCCCGACCGGCCGCCGCCTTCGGTCACCGCGCTCGCTCGAGTGCGGACTGATGTCCAGGTCATTCCCACCTCCACCGGGAACCAGCTGGTGGTGCATCGGCCACTCAAGCTCACAGAGCGCATGATTGCCCTCGCAGCTGCCATTACCATAGACTATGGTAAAGAGGGGTTTTGGCAGACTTTTCTGAGATGGTGGTTTGTATGGCAGGGGCTGATGAGCGTTCGGTCTGGACTCAGTACCCCACCGATGGTGCACAGTGCTGGTAGTATGAGAGAAGGCCAGGGATAGTTTGCAGCTTTTGGCAGAGCACCCTGCCCCACAAACCCTGTCTCCAGCGCCTTGGGATGCTGTCCATCCTACAATACGTTGCTGACCGCTTCACTCCACCTTCCCACCACGCGCCGCCCTTGCAGACTACTTCTCCAGACATTCCAGTGGCGGCGGGGGCCTCCTCTCGCCCTTCATCGTGCCGCCCATGATCCCCTACCCCATGCCCGGCGGCGATGGCGGCGCCGGTGCCGAGGGCTCGGCAGAGGGCGACCCCGGCAGTGGCGATGGGCCAGGTGGGCAAATGGCGTCTGGGAGTGGGCCAGACCCCGGCTCAGCTGGCGAACCTTTAGAGAGGGACCTGGGCGGCGGCGGCGATGAGTGGGGCGGAACGGTGAGTTGTGACGGTGGAGCACAGTTGCTGTTGAGGGACGAGGGGGTGGCCTCATGCTGGGCTGGAAGAATCGACCTTACGGTTTGTTTGCCTTACTTCACCGCCGCTTCTGGCAATGTGCCGCAGCACCTCAGCTGTCAAGACCGCAAGCATCTTGACGTTTAACATGCTACTCGTTGGCAAAAAACCATCTTAAGGGCACTGTCTCTCTCAAACATACATACATATGCGGGTCCACCTCCCCCTCATAGGGCGACGACGCCTGGGACGGTGCCGAGTCTTTGGATGAGGAGGGCGGGGGCGGCTTCTTCGACTCCCTGTCCGACTTCTTCGACCCTGACGAGTAGCGGTGCTGTCAAGAGGTGCTGGTCAGAAGCGGCAGGGCGAACAGGCCAGGGGATCAGATCTAGGGTGTGTGCTTGCTTTCATGGGCGCTTTACAGAAGCCGCATGGGGTGCAGCCCAAGGGGGAGTTCCCAGGGGAGGGACAAGGGAGGGCGTACAACACTCGCACTCCATGGCGATTCGGAGGATTGAGTTGAGCAACAGCAGACGGGCAACAACAAGAGTTCAAGGAGCACTGCACACACCATGGCTTTGGCAGGTCATGCTGACCGGTATCATTGGAGGGGGATGGGTCTCCCTTTCTTCAGGCAGCACGGTGGGCGCTGGTGGGCGAGCGCATGCCGATCGACTTGAGCGGCACCGTTTCCGGGATTGGGGGCTCCGGCTTGCTGATGTCCATCGCAGCCTTGGCCTTCATCTGTGCGTCGTGGAGAGGGAGGGCGAGCGGGATCGCATTGTCTGGCTGCTGAGCATATGGTACGTCTTTCCCACCCCTCCCCTGCCTGCACACGGGAACACCCACCGACTGGAACTTGGTGTAGTTGTACCAGCAAACTGCCAGGAAGGCGAGCAGGTAGCCGATGAGGTTGAGCTGAGTCACCGCCGACCTGCAGATGGGCGGGGTATGGAGCGAGGTTGCAGCAGCAGCATCACATCACCTTGAAGCATCATTTGAGCATCACCCATTGGCTACTCCACCGTGCCGCCTCCTTCCTCCTTCCCAAATACGCGACACCACGGACTCACGCGTACACCCAGTAGCTCAGCCCGATCAGCATCCAGTCCTTGACCACACCACCGATGTTCATGGTCAGGGCGGAGGTCTTGCCGATCAGCAGGAAGACGGCCATGTTCAGACCTTTGGGGAAAGGGGTTTGCGGATGCACAGATGGGTGCAGGGCTTGGCAGGAGTGGGAATGCACAGGTCTGGCGGATGCACAGGCGCACGGATCTGGCACCCTCTCCCCGCGCAAGCACAGAACCCCAAACCCGCCAATCAAATCACCACCCACCAAAGGCTGCCGAAGCGTTGGCCAGGAAGAGGAAGGGGTCGACCGACACTGTGGGGTCGGCACGGATGGCATTCTGCGAGGGGAGGCGGGGTTGGGAGCTGGTGATGATTGCCAAGGAGCCGAAGTTCATGATGACTGTCTCGAGTTTGCAGTCCTGTGCATGGCCTCCTGTCCCCACTGACTCCTCCAGCAACAACTCAGAAACGCACCGCCTCCAGGAAGATGAAGGGGAAGAGGAGGAAGAAGAAGCAGCAGGGCGCAACGTAGTAGAGCGTGGTGATGGGGTTGAGCTTGAGGCCGCGCGACTGCAGTGGCATAGTCAAGGGATGGCGAGAAGGACGATCAGGTAAACCCACAACATACATTTCTGGTGCCCATTGATGTCTCGCCCCACTTCCCCTCCCTGTTCCAAGCATCACCAGGCAAGACACCTTTATATAGTACTGTGCTGCATGCAACTGTCCAGGCCCCCCACCCCATGTGAATCATGGCAGGGACAGCCTGGCGCCCTCCTTTCGCCCCCCTCAATAACCGCTCACCTGAAGCAGGATCTGGACCAGGACGAGGCGGACCGATTCGGACATAATGGCCCCCATCTGGAACATGACACCCACGATGTTGAAGTTGATCTCGCCATAGGAGGCCACCGCCACGCCAATGGTCACCAGGACCATGTTGGCGAACACTGGCCAGGAGAAGGACTCGGTGTGGAAGACGCAGCCCACCAGGAACACTGCCACGGGCATCAGCGCCTGTGGGAGTGAGGGTAAGGAGGGGGAGGGGAGGAGGTTGGAGGGTCGGGGGATGGCAGAGGGCCTGCGGCCCTCTGCAGCACGGAATGGCCTCCTGTGTCCCGAACCCCTTCCCCATCAGATGCTCAGCGCACACCTTGAGCATCTGGATGAAGGAGACAGAGAGGTACAGGTACGCGGCGTTGCCCACCCAGAGGCTGAAGGCGTAGCACGCCCCGATGGGGACGATGGCCCTGAGAGGTGATATCGACGGGGGTGAGTGAAGAGCTGGAGGCAGCCGGCCGTACTCGGCGTGCCTGCACGACTCTGCTCGCTGAGTCCTCATGCCTGCATTTGCATGCCTTGGCCAGGTCGAGCTCCCATGCATCGACCTGGCCCCCTGCCTCCCGCCGACGCGCACTTCATGTAGGTGTCACGATCCATGTTGATGGCGGCCACCTTTCCAGACTTGACCAGGCCGATGGCCAGGGTGGCGCAGAAGAACATGTGCCTGTGCCAGGGGTGTTGTGTGGGCTCGAGGTGGGGCTGGGGGACACCCGGCCACCCTGCAGGAAATGCCGCTTGCACCCCCGCGCTCAAGACTGATACCCCCCGGCCCCCCCCCAAGCCCGCGCACCACATGGTCAGCGTGATGGGATAGGGGAACCCGGCGTACGCCAGGAGGTACTTGTTGAACATGATGACCGCCCCGCTGAGGCCAATCCAGAGGCCCACATAGCTGTAGGCTGTGATGATGCGTGCCGCCACCGTAGCACCAGCCGCTTCCGCCATTGCAGCGAGCTGCGTGCGGCGAGGGGGGACGGTTTGGGTCCAGTTCTATCTATGATGAGATGATGGTGCGTGACGGGAGGCGGGGCCGATTCCCGGGGCTGCCACCTACCGGGTATCACGAGGGCACGGCGTCAAAACGGATGGGCACTGCCTGGAGGCTTTCACCCTACGGGGGACCAGGGATGGATCAGGTCACTTTTCTATCGCCCTGTAATGCATTGCACAGGAGAAGTAGGGACTGGACAATCGCTTTGCGTCAACAAGGGGCACAGGGCTGGAGCCCAGCTCCAGTATGGGATCCCGAGGCAAACCGGACACAACGGACTCGTTCAGTCCAGACCGAACCTGGGAGATGCACGGATCCTTCTTGGCGCTTTGGAATGATTTGGGTCAGACAGGCGAGCCTAAAACTAGTTTTCTTGTTTTGAACCGGTGGCAGGAATCGGCGAGGAGGGTGCCGGTCGCTTCCCATCCCTTACTGAGGCGCGTTCGAAGTTCCCACGTATGATCTTTCATCCACCGTCGGGGGGAGGACTGGACAGACAAATGCACCCTCCAAGGGTTATAAAGAGATTTGCATCGAATAATTCCTAGCCTGATGTTATTCTGAGCCAGCCTCAGAGGTAGCAGCGCGATGAAGATCGTGAAGTACTGCTCCCTCGTGCGGGTGTCGGTCCCACTTGTGAAGTAGCACTCCATCAGCGAACGCAGCCTCCCACAAGATGCGACTATAATGTCTCAGCAATGATTCAAGAGGCAATCGGAAATGTGCAGGTTCACCTCGGCATCAGCCCTGCGGTGGGACGCTCCTGTCTTGTCGCACGAGTACCTTGTGCCTTGAAAACGAGGAAAACAAGGGTGGCAAGGGCGCCTGTCAGGCATACACCATCTGGAATCGGTCGATCGTTTCAGCCCCGCCATGCTCACAACGACGACAGGTGCGGGGAAACCATTCCTCGCAAGGTGCACCCGACTGTGGAGCTCCCACTCCAGCAGCCAACCACTCGTGATCGCGTTATCGGTTCCTCCAGGTCAGACGACCTGCTCCGTCAGGCTCAAGATTTGAAGGCCCGAAGCGAGGACGTGGCAAGCGCCACGGCCCAGCTCCTCAGGAAGCTGGAAGACTTGCCTGTGGACCAGAGGGCTTCTGTTCTACAAGCTCTTGGTGCCCACCCTGACACTCAGCAGGTGTTGCTTCTGTGTTTGAACCCTGTGACCATGCAGATCTAGTGTGCAGCTGCGAGGGAGATTCATGAGACCAGTCGTTTGATGGCTTGCACCCGGAGCACACACCTGTGGCCCTTGCTCCAACTCAGGAGGACGCTGGAGTCCAGGCAGCCGCGCTGCCCGTTTCAGAGGACATCCGCTTGCTCTTGGAGCGGGCCAAGCAAGAATTCAAGTACGCAGAATTGGAGACGAGAGAGGGAGAGCAAGAGCCATTCAAGGTGGGCGAGGAGTGTGACTCATCATATCTACATGGAGTGGAGGATCATAGCGTTGGTCTGAATGGAATTGCACCAGCAAGCATGTGCTGGGAAAGGAAGCTCCCTCACAAGCAACCCTGCACACTGACCCTGCGCTCAGATAGGCGAGGGTGTGGACGACTATATTGACAGGATTGTGCGTGGCCTTCCCCTGCCTGCTCCCCCCGAAACTGAGGTGGGTCGGTGTGGGTGGCATGACAGTTTCTAGTTGTGATGTAGTGATTCTTCAGGCTGCACCGGAGTCATCTTGCGTTCAAAGTAGGAGGGAGTCCATGTCTCCGCGCCATTCTGCGCACATGGTGACCGATTCTCAGTCTCTCCTCCTGTCGTCCGCGCGGCATCCATCAGAAGTGCGCTCCCCGAAAACATCCCCTCTCTTTGTAATCCTTCAGGTTGCAAGGGGGCCTGAAAACGCAGAGGACTTCCTCCGCCGCTGGCAGGCGAGCTTTGACGAGACTGAGCATGGCACCAAGGGCATCAAACACGGCGGGCGGAGGGGTGGCCGAGGGGCAGCACCCCCTGGCTCCCCCCCGCTCAGGTGGAAGGGGCCCTTTGATCGGGTGCCCATCTCCGAGCAGGAACCGAGGGGCCATGTTCTGGCGCCAGACCTTCCCCCCCAAGCCGAGGCCGACATGCTGCTGTTCGAGAGGTGTCTGTTCGTGCTGCGACGGTGAGGGTGAGGCGGCCTCGTGGCCTTTGAGAGGGGCGGGATCGCACCTACTTCTGAAGATTCCAAAACGCAACAGCAGGCTGATGAGCAGGAGTGACACGGCCGGGCCAACTCCTCACCCAACCCCTGGCTCAGGGGCCACATGTCCCTCCAGCCTTCGGCGCCGCTGCAGGAGCTGGAGTCTCGGGGTCTCCTGTCGCCCTCGCTCACCTATGAGGACCCCTGGCTGCAGCTCAACGGCAGGGAGGCGGTGCAGCGCCTCATGCATCAGGTGTGCTGTTGGATAGGACGTGGGAGAAAGGGAACACCACTGGGGGTATGCCCCCGGGTGTGGTGGAAAGGCATTCACTTGTGCAATAATGAGGCAGCTGCAATCCACCCCCATCACGCACCACTCACCGCCTCCCAACCACCGCCCGCAGCTGGAGTCGGCGGGGATGGAGCTGGAGCTATGCAAGATCTTTGGCCGCGTGACCTCCTTCGGACCCCCCCGCCCCGCCCAGGAGATCCTTGTTGACGCCTTTCTCCACATCCCCTACCCAGACTGGTACCTGCAGTACCTGTCCTTCCACTGGGCGCCGCCCGCCGGCACGGAGGCCGGGCCCGGGGATGCCCAGGGCCCCTCCCACGCCGTGCCGGAACACACATACCAGGATCCCGGCCAGGACATCCCCATGTACCCGAGGGTGGAGGTGCTGGGGCGCCGACCCCGCCCGCCCCGCCAGGGATCGGCGCCCTCGCCCTGGCTGCGTGGCGGTGCCGGCCCGGCCCGGGCGCCGGCTCGCGTGGTCTCAAACCCGCTGCCGCAGGACGCCGAGCGCGGCGCCTGTGGGGTGTGCCTGGGTCCTGCCGGGGCCCGGCCCCGCTTCGCCCGGCTGGCGTGCGGAGCGCCGGACCCGGCGGCGAGGCCTGACTATGGCGGCCTGCCGCTGCGGGGCATCACCGACCCCGGGCGGCGCGGCGCGTGGGGGAGCGGCGGGTACGCGCCCGTGTCGGCTCCAGCCGACGCCGCGCCGCGGCGGTGGCCGGAGAGGCACGAGACGGACGAGGTGCTGACCCGCGAGGAGGCGGAGGGCATCCTGAGGAGCATGCTGGGCGCCAGGTTTGACAAGACCATGGCCCAGGTGGGAGGCGGCTGGAGACAGGGGGTCCTGTGTTGGCCATGGACCTGTGTGGATGTGTCGAGGGGGGGAATACCTAAGGGCACAGATGAGCGGCTTGCTCCCGCCCGATTTGAGGGATGAGGAAGGCTTGACAGGCTGTTGAATGAGGTCAACAGGTACGCCGCGCCATCCCTCCCGCCCCTCACTGGACAGTTCTCGCGCGAGGGCAAGCGCAAGGGCGCTGCAGGCCGAACCCCGGAGAGGGGCACCCGCTGGATGACGGGGGAGTGCCTGACGGCGAGCGTCACGCTGCGCTATGCAGTCGACCCGGCGGCCTGCCAGGTCAGCGCGATCACCTGCAACTGGGGGTCGGTGCACGGGGCGCTGCACGACGCCATGGCAGCCTACGACATCTACGTGCGCCAGGCGGGAGTGCTCTGGATGGAGGACGAAGGAGCCGAGGAGGAGAGCTGATGCCCTGCAGACTGCTCCATGCAGAGCAGGTTGGTGTCCGGCCCGTTGACGTGACGCACTGTTTCCCAGGCCTAGTAACAATCCAAAGGAACACTGGTAAGTTGCTCTGTACCAGTTCTCATTGCTGCTCGGGCGCCTTTAAACTGTTGACAAAGGCTAGTGGACTGCTGCAGCCGTCCTTTGGGAGATGCGTGGGCACAGATTCTCCTCCAGGCGCGACGACCGAGCGACCCGTGTTCACACTGAAGAAGAGCACAACCCACACGGCAGGGCAATACACGACAGCCATCCACGATCAAAACCAGGCCATGCACTGATCTCGGCTGCCTTGCCTGGGGCGCTGCATCCAGTTTCGGGCCAGGGCTCCCCCGTGTTGTGCCAGCGTCGTGACGACCGGCTCCGCGGCACAGGATGGCCAGCACGGCCCCGGAGGCCCACGATCCGGAAGCTGAGGTGGTGGACTTCAACTCTGTGTTCTCCCTGCGCAAGCCCAAGGATGCCAGAGCCGGTAAGGGGGGTTTTGGGGGCGGGAGGGTCGTGCTCCCCACTTCTCGGACCTGGTCCCACGCAGGTGTCCGCGGCCACGGGGGCCCCTCCCCCATCTCGTCCCGTGCCTTGCCCACAGGTATCCCTCCCTGATTGCCCCTGCCTCACCCAAGCACTCCCTCGCGACCCCTGCCATTGCAGGCCTGTCCAGCGGCCTCAAGTCCGTGGCCAAGGGCGTACTGGCAGGCACGGTAGGCCTGGTGGCCGCGCCCACCATCGGCGCGCAGCAGGACGGCCTGATGGGCTTCGCCAAGGGCGCGGGCGCGGGGCTGATGGGCGCCGTGGTGCTGCCCGTGGCGGGCCTGGTGGTGGGCACCACGCAGCTCGTCCGCGGCCTGGCCAACACGCCGGAGGCCATCTCCGCCGCGCGCGCAGGCAAGGCCTGGGACGAGGAGCGGCGGACTTGGGTGGACGACCCCGGTTCGGCCCTCGCGCTGGAGGACGAGGGAGCCGCGCCCGCGCGCGCCGCGTGGCAGGCCGCTGCCATGGCCGCCCGCGGCGAGGATGACCTGTATGCGCTGCTGGGGGTGCTGCCAGGGGCCAGCATGGAGGAGATCCGGAAGCAGTACTACGTCCTGGCACGCAGGTGAGGAGAGGAGGGGGGTGGGGTTGGGGAAATTGGCGGGGAAGGGTCTGTAGATACTCTATGGGGGTCTTGCGCCCCGCCTGATGGAGTATTCCTGGGTTGAAAGGACTTGAACCTCTAGGGTTCTCAGGAATTCGCGCGGGTCTGCCAATCACTGACTTCTGCCTACTATATCATCATGCATTGTGTTGTTGACAAGACCTCACCCCCACCTACATACCACACCCCCACCTACATACCACACCCCCACCTACATACCCACACCCCCACCCACAACAATTCCACACAACCCCCTCCCACTACACCCCACCCTCCCCAAACCGACAAAATCCCATCACCACGTCCCTATCCATGCAGGAACCACCCCGACAAGAACCCCGGCGACCCAGAGGCCAACGACCGCTTCCAGCGCCTGGGCCAGGCCTACCAGGTGCTGGGCAACCCTGACCTGCGCGCTCGGTACGACGCGCATGGCGCGGAGGGCCTGGACGTGAACTACGTGGACGGCGCGGCCTTCTTCACCGCCCTCTTCGGTTCCGACCGCTTCGAGCACCTGGTGGGCGAGCTGGTGCTGGCCGCCGCCGCGCGCGCGGGCGGCGGCGGCCGCGACCCCGGCGCGGCCGTCGCAGCGCCAGGCCGCGCGCGAGGCGCGGCTGGCCACGCTGCTGGCCGCCCTGCTGCGGCGCTGGGTGGAGGGCGACGAGGCGGGGTTCCGGGAGTCCATGGCCGCCGAGGCGGCGGGCCTGGCCACGGCCTCCTACGGCGACCTCATGCTGGCCACCATCGGTGGGGTGTACGCGCAGCAGGCCGAGATCGCGCTGGGCGGGATCATCGACGGCTCCGTGGCCGCCCTGCGCGCCAAGGGCCAGAACATCAAGAGCCAGGTTGGTGGGGGATTATTTGTCTCTTGGGTGGGAAGAGGGGGAGGTTGGCCTTTCTAGTAGGAGCGCAGGGTGGAGAGGGAAGCACCTCGTGAGGGCCAAGGCGCGAGGGCATCTCGGAGAGCAGAGGCCTGCGCTTCTGTGCGAGTCTGGCCACGCCTCACCCGCACCCTCCTCGAGCACTCACTCAGCTAACCCAACACGCACAACCCCCATCCACGTCCAGTTCGCGGCGGCCAACCTGGCGATGAAGGTGTACAAGGCGCAGGCGGCGCTGGCCAAGCTGGAGGGCAGCGAGGCGGCGGCCAGCGCGGCGGCGAAAGAGCGCACGGCGACCGGCGCTGGCGGCGACGCCCCCGCCGACGAGGCGGCAGTGGATGCGGCCGCGCTGGCGGCGGCCGCGGCAGCCGCGGAGCGCGCGCGCCTGGAGGAGGCCTCGCTGCCGCTGATGCTGGAGGCCATGTGGGCGGCCAACGTGCTGGACGTGCAGAGCACGCTGCGCCACGTCACGCGCGCCGTGCTGCAGGAGCCGGGCGTCGACCGCGCGACGCGCCGCCGGCGCGCGGAGGGCCTGCTGGAGCTGGGCCGTATCTTCGTGGCCGCCGCGCCGGGGTCGACGGGAAGGGGCGGGGCCGCTGGGGAGGATGCCAAGAAGCGCATGGAGGACGCCATGCTGCACGTCATCGAGAAGCGGGCAGGGCAGGTGCCCAGCGAGCCCTGATGGGGGATCACTAGGATGTATGAGATGTAAGGGGGCCCCTCGATCCTGTGGCAGTGAGCGCAGGTGTGACGCTCCATGCCCCCCCCAAAGAACCTTGTCAGTCTCCTACTCCAGCTTGCATCTGAATGTTACACGCACTGCTGCGACAAAAGGGACAGCCCTTCAACCAAAACGGGTGTTGTCGGTGAGGTCTGCACACGCACTGGGCCTGCAGGCGGGAGCACGACAAGGGAGGCATTTCTTGTAGCAAGTATGAACAGGGTGGCGCGCCGACACGTTTTAGAAAAAGCGAATCCTTCCATCCGAGCCCATGCACGCAAGCTATGTCCAGCATGTGAACAAATTTCAAACAGCCTTTTAAAAATACAAACAACCCCACCTCGTCGCCGTGCCACTCGCCCACACTGCCCAGCCCCACCCTGTGCAAGCACCTGTTGGCACCAGGGCCCCCGGCGGCCGCACAGAGGTAGCGGTCCAGGTTCTCAAAGTCCTTGCCCACCGGGACGCCGTTCACGATAACCTGGGAGGCGGGAGGGAGGGGCACAGCGTCTGGCTGTGCAGGGATCGAGCATAAAACACATTGGCAGGAGGGCTCTATGCAGCTGGTGACACGACATCAGTGGCAATATGGGCAGGGTCAAAGGAGCTGCTGCACTAGAAACACAGATCCACAGCATGAGCGATACATTCATCGCCACTACGAGTTCAGAGCACGAACTCCCCTTCCACCTTCCCCCAGCATTGTCCTCACCCAGGGGACATTGGTCAGGGCGGGCTGCAGCTGGGTGGTGGCCTCGCCAGCCTCCTTCCCCAGCGCCTCGCCCCGAGCGCCTGACACCGATGCAGAGGGAGTTGTGGGTCAGCTGGGAGAGCAGCAAGCTCAGCGCAGCAGGCAGGCGTAGTCTGCTCAGGATCATGACAAACCCTTCCCGCAGTCTCACCTCCCGCGCAGGCATCCAGCTCCGAGGCGTCCCACCCCTGGGTCTCTGCGCAGCCAGGTGCATCGGTTGCGATGCTGGTGAGATTCTTGGCCAGGCACTGGACATATGGAAACCTGGACCAAACGGTGGCAGGGTGAGGGGGGTGGAGGGGGCTGCAGAAGTTGCTTGAAATCTGATGCTGTATTTCCAGCACACCAGAGGCATGTGCATGCACCCAAGCCCATGTGCTGGGGTCGCACCAGGAGTCGCCGTGCAGGCTCTGCGCACAGTTAATGTAACGGTTGTACTTGCACTCCACGGTCCCGTGCTGGCACTGGCCATCCTTCACCTTGCCGTAAGCAATATACCTGGGTTATGGATGGGAAAGGGGGAACACATGGTGGATGTGGCCCTGGAACATGGGACGATGCCAACTTAGCATCCCCACTCCAAGTCTGGGCTTGACATGCCCAGACAGTCGCCGGCTGACAACGCCCCACTTACTTGAGGTGCATCAGCTGGGCAACGCCGTTTTCATACAGGGGAGCCAGGACGTCCAATACCATGTGCCGGCAGTCGGGGCACAGCGACTGCGGGTGGGGGTTGAGGTTCCAGGCTCTGGTTCCCACTCCCGCATGTCCAGCGCTGACAGGCTCTAGCATGCGCACTGACAGTCCCGCATGTCCATACACAGTGTATTGCAGGCCTACCTCGCCATAGAACTCGACCAGGGCACTCGAGTTCGCCCTGCTCGCCATTCCGTCAGGGTGTCGGGGCTGGACCACCAGGCATATCAGGCCCACCATGGCCAGGAAACTGACTGCGATTGCGGTTTTCTGGCCAAGCATCCCTTTAGGCCTGTGCCTGGGGATCGCAAGCGGTCTCGAGAGTCGCGTAACGCGCCCAATAATTACTGCAGGCCAGGAGCGCGCACCTGGGGTCGCACTCGGTGACAAGGTACAGTCAATGCCTGTGTTCCTGTTCTAGATAATTGGGATTCTGTTGAAAAGATATTCCTTCTCAACAAGGTGGGCCTTGAGTACAGAGCTCCACGGGAAGGCCATCCACTGAATCCAATGCGCAGGGACAACAGCGCGCCGAGAGATGATGAACGACACCGAGATGGAGCCAGGATGCAGGAAGATTGTCGCCAATTTACATTCATTGGCAAGCTGCAATTTCCCTCAAACAGCTCCCCATGACGATTTCATGACTTCTCAGCCTGAAAGTCACAAGTCTCCATGCTCAAGAACCATGACTATACGTGCCGCTGGATTGCAGCAGTACTCTATCAAGCATTCCTGGCTCAGGTCTGGCAATGTCATGCATCAGCTGGTGGGGTTGACCAGCTCCACAAGCTCCCCGCTGCCACTCAGCTGCTCGAGAATGTCAGCCCCGCCCACAAACTCTCCATTGATGTACACCTGCAAGGCATGGAGGATGCCCTTTATGAGGTAGAGCCGAGTCCACTCACAATCTTCACAATTGTCGACAACAGGACCAGTCTTTACAAAAATAATCGTGGCTGCACCACCCAGGTCACCACACCTGGGGGATTGTTGGCCATTGAGAGAAGGCCTTTATTGTCTCTCTGAGGCCGGGGTTGTGGTGCTCGTCCAGGACATCCACTACCTCATAGTCGACCTTGGCCTGCAGGAGGCAACAGAATCAGGGGTGGCCATGAGGAGGGAGGGCGAGGCTCGTCATCCCATGGGCAAGTGAGCACAGCACAGCGCACATCGCCAGACCAGTAGGAGCGTTGATGCAGCCATCTGCCCATCACTGCACCTTTGACACTGCATCTTGAGCCCATCCCTCCCCGCCATCCTACCTCGTTCAGCAGGGTCAGCACCTTGTAGGAGAACCCACACTGTGGGGAGGTACGCGTGCCTTTGACAAAGGCGACCACCTGCGCGAGGTGGCAAGGGGGAGTTGTGGGCTGGGTCACACGTGTGGCCTCCAGCACACTCTGACATATCCATACCTGTGCACAGGGGCCCATGCTATTCCGGGACCGTCCCCACTTTCACATCACACCCCGCCCACCTTGTGACTCTGCACCACATTCTGCACCAGCTCCTCGAGGCTGACGGTGAGGTCCTGCAGGCCCTTGCCTGGGGTCAAACGCAGCTCGGGCCTGGGCCTCCGAGCCCGGCGGGAGTGCCAGGCGGCCTGGGCGGGACCTGGAGCGTTCCCTGGCGGAATCTTCCCCGTGGCATCCACTGCAATGATTGGTCAGGTGTACGTGGATGACTGAGTCGTTGTCAGCCTGGCTCTCAGGGGTCTGGGAACCGGGTTCCCCGGCATCCTCCTCCAGCATCCCACCCCACCACCCCACCAGACTGCTGCAGCCAGGCCTTCCATGCCTCCGTCAGCTCCTCCCGGCTCGCATCTGGCAGGGGGAGGACCCGCGCCGCGCGCACGACGTCCGGCAGAGACTCCGCGTGGCTATTCAGGCTGATTCCGACCTTCCTGGAGATGCCCACAAATTGCAGGGTGTCAGAGCCATCGTATACCGCGTACACGCCGGGGAGGTCCAGCTGATGTGACTCCTCGGGGCTGGGCGAGTCCAGCTGGATCAGGGGGGTGGACTCCAGAGGCTGCAGTGTCCCCTGGGGGTCCGCATGCACTGCATGGGTTGGCCTGCGCGCGTGAACGTGCCTGCCGAGCCTAGGGTGAGGCGGTTGCGGGGTGCATCTATGGGTCCAGACGGTGGCCCTGCGTGCAACAGCAGCCTGTAGACCCAAGGTGGGGGCGCAGCTCAGGTGCATGGCAATGGTATATGGAATGCGTTCGGACACGGCGCTGCCACCCAGGAACGAAGAGGCTGCTGTCAAGCGATGCCACGAATGATAATTTTATATTAGTATTCGTATAATGCTGCCTCAAGTAATATCGTACAATGGCCGGAAGAGCTCTGATTGCACTCCTTTATGGGGATCGAGCTGGAGGTGATCCGAGAGATGCTCTTGTGACTTTCGGCGCGCAGGTGTTCCCGCTGACCCGGCTGCCTTCATGCTGTCAGATGTCGGGCCTCAAGACACCCAAATTCAGATTTCATCAGCTGTTAGGTGAAAGACAACATTGATCTGGGGGCACCCGCCTTTCTGCGGCTCCTTTCGGAGACTCGGGGTGTCTCACATCTGCGGAGAAGGGAGCTGGCACCTGGTGGTCGACTCTCGACGGCATCCCCCGATGGGGGCTTCCAACAGCAAGTTGGACAGGGTCATACTGGAGCTCCCGGATGACGAGCGCTACTTCGGTCTTGAGAATTTTGGCAACACGTGCTACGCCAACAGCGTGCTGCAGACCCTCTACTTTTGCCGGCCATTCCGAGACCGGGTCCTGCGCTACGCGGCTGAGAACCCGCCAGGGTATGGGAACGAGAATCTGCTGACCTGTCTGGCCGACCTGTTCCTCCAGGTGCGTCCTGGGGTCCGGGCATGTGGGAGCGGAGGCAGTGGAGCACCATGCTGCAACCTGCCACCAGGCAATGGGTCTGTGTTGTCACAGGGCTGACTTTTCGACAGATCAGGCCCATCTCCGTAAACCCCACTCGCCAACAGACCTCTTCTCAGAAGAAAAAAACTGGGTTCTTGAGCCCTAGACGGCTCATCAACAGAATCAAGAGCGAGAATGCGCTGTTCAGCAACTTTATGCACCAGGTTGGCTCTAGGGGACCACGCCTGTTACTCCCTCCTGCTCTGCATCTGCGATTTAGCCATTGCAGCTGAGACTGACTGGGAAGCCAGTGTGCATCCCACCGACGAAGGCTTCACCTCACCATCTGCCACATCCATGGGCCCCCCTTGCTCAGGATGCACATGAGTTCCTTAACTACCTCCTCAATGATGTGTCTGAGATCTTAGCTCGCGAGCAGAAGGCTGCAGCCTCCGCTCCCACCACCCCAAAGTCTATCCTTACGTTTGGGAGGGGCAAGGATGGGCGGAGCCCATCCCTGCAGGAACTGGCCGCTGCCTCGACAGCAAGTGAAGCAGCGAGCGCACAAGCCCAAGAGCCCCGCACATGGCTCCAAGAAATCTTCCAAGGGAGGCTGGTCAATCAGACGCGCTGTCTGTGCTGCGAAACGGGTGACGTGTGGGTTGGTGGTTACAGCTTGTCACTTAGGTGATGCGGTTGCATGTGATTCTGCATGGCATTGACTCTTTCTGGGAGCTTGTGTATACAGAGGGGTGACATCTGTGGGACGACGCCCTTCAACTTTCATCCTCTTTCTCCTGCCAGTCACGAGTCGGGAGGAGGATATGTTTGATCTGAGTCTCGAAATTGAGCCCAATTGCTCGGTGACGAGCTGCCTCAAGAAGTTCAGGTGGGCATGCACGGCCGATGCAAGGCAGTGTGGCTTATACAATGGTGAGGGAATGTAGACCCAGCAGCGACTACATGCATGGGCAGCCCTGTACCTGAGAGACTTTGACCCAGTGTCTTGGGACTGCTGCTGACAAACCTGGTACCAATTCTGCCGCTCAGCGCAACGGAAGTGCTAGATGGTGCCGACAAGTTCTTCTGCGACCAGTGCAACAGCCTACAAGAGGCCCAGGTGTGCCTGGCTCTACCTTTCCGCATCTTGATGCCCATCCCAGGCATCTGTGAAGCAGTGGATTGGGTTTTAGTATGGGCAGCTGATTATCGGGATGATTTAGATCGCCCTTGGGCTTTAAGTTGCATGCTCACATGCAAGCCTGTCAGCAGCTCAGCCGTGTCATGTCAATCACTCTTTGCAGAAATTCATGAGGATGCGTCATCTGCCCCAGGTCCTGTGCCTGCATTTAAAGCGCTTCAAGTACAACGAGCAGCTGGGAAGGTGCGTTTTTAAAAGGGAAAGTCAGGGTGCAATGGTTTGTAGCGGGTCATTTCATGATGACTGAATCAGATCAGATTGACTTCACCAAAACCAGCATCCCACCTTCTCAACTAGTGTAATGGTAACTCGGCTGACCTACACCTTCTTCGCCACGCTTGCTATTCCCCGACACCTTCCCTTCCCCCCCTTCCGGCTCCCACCCTACGCCCTACCAGACTGAGCAAGCTCTCCCACCGGGTGGTCTTCCCCTTTGAGCTCAAGGTGGTCAACACCACCCCGGACTGCCCCGACGCCGACACCTCCTACGACCTCTTTGGCGTGGTCGTGCACATGGGCGCCCAGCCCAACCACGGTAGGGGTGCATTGAACAGCATGCGGGAGATGGGCTCAGGGATTGGGAGCGGGGCCTGTCGCGTGACAACAAAGTCCCTCGGGGCAGGCTGGAACATGTTGTCCATGCACAATCCCCCTGCCACCCTGCATGAAGGGCATTACGTCGCGCTGGTGAAGAGCTGCGGGCAGTGGGTCTGCTTTGACGATGACCAGGTCATCGCCGTGACCGAGGCACAGGTGGGTGATTAGGCATGCCCTGCAGCGCGACATGGTTTGCGCTGCTCCCATCAATTCCAAGGGACTCTCCCCCATCCTCCATCAAAGACCTTCCTTTTGCCACCAAATGCAGGTCCAGAGCACGTTTGGACAGCCCTACGACGGTGGGCTGGTGGGGTCATCAAACGGCGTCGGCGTAGACCATGGGTACATCCTCCTGTACCAGCGGAACAGCCCGGCTAGCGAGGCGCCCCTGCCTATGGACGAGTTGCCCTGATTGGGGCCTGTTGCTCGGCAGGATTCCACGCACAATGGTATTGCTTGGACGGGGCCCGCAAACCACATGCCACCACATTCCCCCTGCTACCGGCGACGGCAGAAGCTGGCGCGGCATCAGGACCTGGACGTGGCAGCAGAGAGCATGGACGCAGGGCCTCTCACAGATTGGGCGGTGACCTGCAGCTGTCCTGCATGGTTTACACACACCTCCCCCCATCTTCTCTGTCGAGCCCCCTGCACTCTGCTGAACCCTTGTTCCTTACAGCGCCTGCAGCCGCAACCACACTCAGAAGATGGCAACGTTGGGGCGGTTGGCCTTGAAGGTGGTCTTGAACCGGGGGTCGCTGGGCCTGCGGGGTGCAGAGGAGAAGCAATTGAGTGAGGGTCGCAGAGTGGGGAGTTCCATTCAGTGACGAGGCTCTGGCCAAGAACACCTGGGCATCCTCCTTTGCCCAGTGCTGTGGGGCCTCAATGCCACGAGTCTCTCCCATACGAAACATACCACTGCCCACCCCCCCTTCCCTTCACCGAGAGGATCACGATGCATCAACGTTCCAACATGCGCTCCTCCTCCTCTATGCAACACGCGCCGACGGATCCGCACACCCCATCCTGCCCCACCACGCAAGCTTCCCCCTTAGTAAACCTGCCGTCACCCCACGCACCGTGCCATGCGGCGCGTCAGCGGGAAGCTGATCTTGGAGTCATGGAACTGCTTGATGTTGGCCCGCTTGGTGTCGGCGGCCTTGATGGTGGCCGTCTTGATGATCTGCAGCGCGGAGGAGCGCACGCGGTGGCGGGAGCCCATCTCCTGGTACATCTGCTCCACGGCGCCATTCAGGGTCACGTCGCGGTACTCCTTGAACATGTTGTGCACGCCGGTACGAGAGGTGTACCGCACCCAGATGCCAAAGTTCTTGATGGTGGTCGGACGGCGCTCGAAGATCTCGTTCACAGCCACGATCTGACCGTTGGCCTTCTTCACCTTGCGCAGCTTGGCCAGGAAGTACCTGAGAGGTGATAGGAGGGGGACCGGAGGTGTCAGCCTCGACAGGCGGAAGTACGGAGCACGCTAGCAGCTGGGCGGGCGCAGAGGGCCCCTCCCCTCGAGCCGAGCGCGGTGTATCCGGAGATCGGATCGAGTACGCCGACGCCTCCTCCCCACCACCATTCTCCGAGCACAGCAGTTTCCTGTGGGCCTTGGGCTCACCAGAACTTGCTCTTGGCGCGGACCGTGTCCTGAGCCCACAACTTCATGCGGAAGATGGGGGGCTCGGCATCCTTCTCAGTCGGCAGATGGCGGCCCACCACCTGGTACTGGTGGTACTTGTATCCTCCCTGCGAGTGAGAGGGGATGGAGGGCTGAGTCGGCACCGCCTCGGACTGCTCCCGGGCCCCGTCGGAGGCGCGCCGAACGGGCCTCAGGCACCGCCCTCCCCGGCTGACCACGCCTGCGTGGCCATACCTGAATCGGCATTGCAGCGGGGCGCCCGTTAAGCCAAATCCACAGCTCGAAAGGAGCGAGCCTGTGCGTTCGAGGTGCAATAGCGAGGGCCGGAGGCTGCTGATGTAGGTGGAAAGGAGGGAGCACTTCCCGCCACGTGTGCAAATTCTCTTGCAACCCCGGGCTTATGGGGACATCGGTCCCAGCCATGCAACGCGATCCACAGTGATTATCATCCCGTGTTGTACGAAATACGCGGTGGTGAGCGCATGGCTGATCCCGTGGCCCCTGAGAAGAGGAGGGCCTGATGGCAGTGCAATGCCTCATGACCAAGGGGCCGGCTCCTGCGGGCCACCACAGAAGTTCATGGCACGCTTGCAAGCCTCACAATGGCCTACTCAGGAATCGTGGAATTGTGAAAGGTCAACCTGACTCCAAACAGCCTGGATTTGGAGGCGCCTTGCTCGATTTCATGGTAAGCTAGAATGGGAACTGTGGTGCTGCCGTGTTGTGCAATCCATCATGTGCGAGGAAATTTCGTGACTTTCTCAACGTGGTGCTCTCAACACTCCATCACAGATTGCCGGGAAGAAGCTGAGAAAATGGTGAGACGCTTGGGTGCCATCGATTGTTTGGAGGCATGACGTGAGGACATGCTCGTCGTGATCTCACTGTGTGACATTCATGCCTATGATGTGCAAGGTATGGCGCAGAAGATTTGAGTCTGGTGAAAGACGAAGAGGAGGGTCCTGAGCCCCAGGACAGGAGCGCTGGCAATGCGCCGCCTCCCTCCATAATACAGCGGCTCAGCCCTGAGACCATCCTGGTGATGGATGTCGACTCGGACCCGGTGGCCGAGCTCTGCCTCCTGCAGCTCATCCTGACGCGGGCGGAGGTGGCGGCCTGCGCCAACGATGAAAGCGCCGCTCGACGCGGGTTCGGCGACTACGTCACGGTGGTGTCCCGGGAGGAGGCGGGCGCCGCGGCGGCGCGCTGTGCGGTGGCGGTGGCGACCTCCGCGACAGCCGTGCAGCGCATGGTCGCCAGCTGCGCTGAATCCGACCGGCTGCCCCACATCATTGCACTGCGGGTGGCGCCAGGCCCCAAGGGGGGTCTGGCGCAGCTCAGACCCTGGCAGAGGGCAGACCGCCGTGATCCAGAGGCCCTCCTGCGGGACGCCGGCGTGGCATCCTTTTCTGTCATGAGCGTGGGGGCCATGAGTGCCTCCATCGGCCCGCAGGCAAGGAACGCAGTGGAGCTGCAGTGGCAACCTGTCACAGGGGATGACGTCATGGGTCCCCTCGCGAATGTCACAGCGATGCAGGCGGCTGCCCTCCTTGCCAAGCTGGCCAGCTCCCGCACCAGAGGCTCGGGGGTGGAGCTTGGTGTGGCTGTGATCCCCTAGACCAGTTTCGTAACGCGTGGACTGGAGAGTGGCTCCTGTATGTATGGCGTCCATGCTCTGGCACTCCTTCACTGGGCAAGCAAGGGGTAGCATGAATGTACCCTCCCCGAACAGCGCGCTGACCGCGACATCTGATTCTGCGCGCCTTCCTCAGCCCACATATCACGGGGACGCCAGGGCAACACCGGCCATTGCACACAGATCTGAAGCCTGTGGCCATGATTTGTGCAAGGCCATGACCCAGGATGGCCCGTAGCCTCACCATGGGCGCAGGGTGGGCATTGCTGGTCTGCCTGGCGCTGACAACCTCCTGTCGTGCCCATGACGGAGATCACGTATCCACCGTGCATGTGGTGTTCGGAAACCACCTGGATGTGGGTTTCGACGGCATCGATCCGGCTGTGGGCACCGACGACAACGTGATCAACGTCTATTTCCACCACCATTTCCCGAAAGCCTTGGCAGTCGCCCGGTTCCTGAGACAGCGGGGCGGAGCTGAGCGCTACATCTACACGACCCACGTGCGTGAAGCTGCAAAGGCCACAAATCCAGTGGCATAACCCCTCGTTGAGCTCGTCCCTCCTCTGATAATGGCTCCCATGATCCGATGCCCACATGACATTGCAGCTTTTCCACGCCCACTCAACCACAGTCTTGGCTGGTGTCCATGTTCCTTGACTGTCCAGCACGCATCGGCATCAAGTGCCCCAGTCCCAGTGCTGTACAGGTGGGTACAGGGGGACTGCTAAGTTTGAGGTGGTGCCGGTGCCTGGTTTTGTTTGCTGGTGCCCTAGTCCCTGGCGTTGCTTCCGCTCAGCCTCAACGCACAACCTGCCCCTGCTTGGCAAGCTTGTGAGCCCACAACCTTTTGATTGTAACAGGCAATACTCACACGCTCTCTAACCCCGCGCAGGAGTTGGAGGAGGGGATACGTGCGGGCGACATCACCTGGCATGCCCTGCCCCACAACAGCCAGATCGAGGCCTTTGACGCTCCCCTGCTGCGATGGGCCGTGGATTTTACACATGCCTTGGATGCCAAGTACGGTCAGTCGCCAAGAATCACCATGAGCCAGGTATGGGTGGCTGGTGGTGGTGCCAGCAGGCTGGCTGCGTCAAACAGGCCTGCCCTGCTGTGTGGGAGGGGGAGCAAAGGAGTAGAGAATCTCAGTCGAGCAACTGTCCGTCACCCGAGGATACATTCTGGGACCCTCCCCGCCCATGACAAGCATGCACCTGTCGGTGCGTTCTCTGTCGGCTAAGCACAATGCCATACTCAACGCTCCCGTTCCTTGCCAACCCCCGTCCCACCTCCCCCCAGATGGATGTCCCGGGCCTGACTCGGGCCGCGATCCCCATCCTCCACGGCGCCGGGGTGAGGGCGCTGAGCGTGGGGGTCAATGGCGGGTCCGCGCCGCCAGACGTCCCGCTGAACACTCCCTTCTGGTGGGAGGACCGCGCCACGGGCACCCGCCTGCTGTCCTTCTGGCACCCGGGCGGGTACTCGGGTGACCCCGTGGACGGCCGGGGCAGCTGCGTCCGCGCGCATGGCCACCACGAGGTGCTGTGCGTGGCGTGGCGGGGGGACAACGCCGGGCCGCACAGCGTCCGTGAGGTGAGCCGGGGGCTGGGGAGTGTGCTCTGTGTTGCCAATCGGAGTCTCATCAGGAGCTGGGGGGGTGTTGCCAAGGTCAGCCGTATGCCCAAGAGTTGCAAGCCTGGGCCACACGCGCCTTTGGAACCTTGCAGAGGCTCATTCACATTCGCACCTACGTCCCCTTCCCCCACCCCCGCAGGTGGACGAGATCTTTGAGCTGGTGCGCAAGGACTGGCCGGGCGCCATGGTCAAGACGTCCACCTTTGACAACTTCACGGGCCCCTTGCTGGAAGCTGCCACGAGGCTCGACCTGCCCAAGGTACCCGGGATGTGGTGTTGCTGGATTGCGGCCTTTGAACTTCAGTCCAGCGGCTCGGCATGACACGCCGCGCTGCGGCGGACAGTGTGTGTGAGCAGGGTGATGCTGGCAGCGGCTGAAGTCATGAGGTTGGTGGGGTGCTCACCTCATTCTCTGGTGGCTGCCCCCTCTTGCCGCTGCAGGTCGCTGCAGAGATAGGTGACACATGGATCCACGGTGAGAGGTCTGAAACTGTGGGAGCTGGGCGCTGTACCCTTTCAGAACTGTCCTGCATGCTCACAGCCAGTCAAGTTTTGGTGTGGGAGGTGCAAGGCGCTGCATGCATGCAGCCCCGGAGAGCACTGCCATGTGTCAGTCCATTCTCAACACAGGCATCGGTTCTGATCCGGGCAAGCTGGCCGAGTTCCGGGCGCTGCTGAGGATGCGGCGTGCCGCCCCCGAGCTGAAGGAGGACCCCGCCTTTGATGCTTTCTCTCGCCTCCTGCTCAAGGCAGGGCTGTGGGTTGTGCATGTCGCATGGGGGTTGAGTGGGGAGTGGGCCAGCTGCAGCTTCCAGGCATGCGCAACAAGGATGGCTGGGCGTAGGGATGTTGCCAGTAGCGGCCCTGACTTCTTGTGTGTTTCCATGTTCCTCTGACCTCCATGCCTGTGCAGGTGCCCGAGCACACCTGGGGCGTGGACATCAAGAAAGCCCTGACGGACTATACACACTGGAGCAACCACAAGTTCCATCAGCAGGTGAGAGGGCTGGGTTGGAGATCAGGGGCAGGCGGAGCAATCAGACACACTGCACGGCTGCAGTCTGCACATGCGAGGAAGCTGCACACTTCTGGCGCCCTGGATGGGGGGCGTGACTCGAGCAAGCTTGTAATCTAAGCCGTCAACATACCCTGCGCCATGACGCGTGCAGCTGAGGAGTAGGGCCCCCAACTTCCTTGCCACGGTCCAATCCTGGCTGCGGCAGCGCGCCTACAACCTCTGGGCTGTGCAGGAATTGGGTGAGTCTCGTTGAAGTGGCAATGGGAAATACAGCCGGGTCCAGACCTTGTATTGTCTGGGGTTGTGCAGAGTTGATCTGCCTGCTGCTTTCACTGGAAGAAATCTCGGGGTCTGCCTGTCCACTGCCTTCTGGCCTGCTGTCAGTGCAGCATCATCCCCCCATCTGACACCACTCTTCCTCCACCCTCTTGCCAAGGAAACTGTCCCATGGGGGTGGCGGCTTGGGCGGCGCTGGGCACGATACAGAGCGGCAAGACGCTGCCTGATCCAGAGGCCCGGCACAGCGGGTTCGTCAAGTGCGACATGGCGTCTGCCTTAGTGTTCGAGGGCGGGGGCTGGAAGTTTGAGATTGATCGCACCACCGGTGGACTGGCGGGGGTGGAGAGGGTGTCCCACGATCCCGTGGGCGGCGCGGCGGGCGACGACTCGAGGAGACTCGAGTCCAGAGGGGGCTGTGGCCAGCAGGCCGCCGTGCAGGGGGCTGGCCCTGGCGGGGCCCTGCGCTGGGCCAACAGCCATTCATCCCTGGCCAGGGTGGTCTACAGTACATACTCAGGTATGTGCATGGTTGTGAAGGATACCCAAGGCTCGTGCTGCGGGGGGGGGGGTGGATTGTACCCTGGGTCGCGGCATGTTCCTGACAAGCATGCAGCACAGCGACCCGACCAGCGCCGGCTTGCAGAGGACGATTACTCCACCATCTGGGACCGGTACGCATACCAGACGAGCCCCGAGCCATGGTGGTTTGCGCTGGATTTTGGGAAGCCCAACGCCACACGTGAGGGAAGATTAGGACGGGATGTCGGGGGGAATGCCCTGTGCCCGGGGGGGCACAGAAGCGTGGACACACAGTCCTGGGAAGTGTGACTGAGACTGCCATCCTGACGTGCCAGAGCTCCTGACCTTCTTCCTTGACCAGTGAGACACCCCTCTCCCGCACACCCATGATCAAAGGGCTTGGAGGGGCTGCCAGGGCGGATGTGGATCCCGTCGCCCAGCGCGTGTGGGCGGCGAGCTCGTCGGAGGCGGGCATCCACGTCGTCACGCGCTCCACCTTCCCAGCGCACTTTGTGGGGCGGGCGGGGGCGCCGGCCGCGGTGTGGACGGAGGTCAGGGCCCTGCCAGGCTCCAATGGCCTGCTGGTGGACATCCTGTGGGAGAACAAGACCGCGACGCGGCTGCCAGAGACCCTGTGGGTCCGGTGGTCGCCCTCTGAGGGTGCGATGGAGAAAGGGGGGGGGGGTTGAAAGCAGCAGGGGTCTGTAAGCCCAGGCCAGCCTGAACAGAGCGCTTTCCTTGAGAGAAGCAGGAAATCCAGCTTCAGGTCCTTGTATAGTTCAGCGTTGCCCGACCAGCGTCACCACTTCCTTGCCATTCACTCGTTCGTCATCCCCACGAGCACACAGTGGATGCCCAGAGCTGGGTCATGTACAAGCTGGGGACGCCTGTGAGCCCCCTGGAGGTCTTGCGGAACGGGAGCCATGCCATGCACGCTGTGGGCGACGAGGGGGTGGCCGTGAGCTCCGCGGATGGCGCTCGCAGGCTGGCCATCAGGTGGGTTCAGGCCCCACGTGTTGCGGGTTTGTGCCAGTGTGAGAGTCCTACTCCTCTTCACAGCATCATACAGTTCAGGCTGTCGGGTTACACACACTTGGCATATGTGCAGAGTTCCCTGCCGTCGCTTCTACTCACCAGGGCCGTCTTGACACGCCGCCGTCCCTCCTGTGCAGGTCCCTGGACGCTGCGTTGGTGAGTCCAGGAGCCCCGACGCCCTTTCCAGTGTTGGACGGGACCCCAGCCATGGAGGAGGGCATGTCCTTTGCACTCACCAATAATATCTGGGGTGAGTGGGTGAGCCTTACAGGGGTTTTGAAAACCCATATGCCCCGCACTGTTGGTGGGACATCCCTGCATGCATCGACGACCCCAACGCCCACGCTCCTCACATCTAAGACATCTCTTCACCCCTGCGGTACGGAGACCTCTCACATCGCCCGTATGCTCAACCCCATGCCCCTCCCGTCCGTCATTGCCAGGGACAAACTACCCCATGTGGGTTCCCTACAAGGACAATGACAGCAACATGCGCTTCAGGTTCATCCTCCAGGAGGAGGTCGGCAATCAACAAGGGCCGATGCAGATTACGCGTGAGCGCATCACTTATGCAGCTTCCTGATCTGTGACAGGCCATGCCTGTGCAGAGAGAGCATCAAGGAGCAGGGCGCACCTTGGCAGCCCTCTTCTACGACTTGTATGTAATGTAAGCGTTGCCGCAACAAAAGAAGGAACAGAAGAGCAAGCGCAGCATCTAGAGCAAGCTCAGAGGCTTGACGTCAAAGCATGGGTCCAAAATTGTGTGAAGTTCTGTGAAGGAGGGTCCAAGAACGCTCACAGGGGGCGCGCAAACGTGGCCAGGTCGTCATGCATTGCCGCCTTTTCCTCCTCGTAAGCCAGCTCCCCCGCCACCAGGGCCTTTTTCGCCGCATCAAACACCGACAGCTTGACGCCTGGAAGAGGGATGAGTGGAGGGCGGTGAATGTCACAATAAGCCCCTCAACCAGAGCTGGAACAGTGAGTGCCCTGACTCCTGGCCAAACAGAAGCAGGCTTGATGTTAGTCTGCTGCTTACCCGCTGCCTTGTATCAGAGGCCATCACACGCCACAGTTGGTCACTGCCAAATACCAGAGGCCTATAGTTCCCACAACCCAGCCAAAGCCGCCGCACCTGTGCCGCCCACCCATCTGCCCCACCTTTGTTCGGCAGGTTCTTCAGCGAGTTTGGGATGAAACCGCGGTACAAACCCACCACGCCGTCGCTCCTCACGATTCCTCCTGCAGCGACGTGCCAGGCGATGGACTTCCCCGCCGACAGCTGGATATGCCGTCGCACGGTGTCCAGGGGGTAGCAGGAAACCGTGGCAATGAGGGCCGCCAGGAACCCCCTCGCGAAGGAGGGCAGCGCTGGTGGCAGAAGATCGTAGCTGGACAGCTCCAGTGCCATGTATGGGGCAATGCCTGCGCAGAGGGGGGAAAGAAAGGGAGAGGTTGTATTTGCAGGGTCTTTGTCTGATAGTTGCAGACGCAGGGGCACTGTTTCACTCCACCCACTCGAACAATCCACCTACCCATCATGGATGCGCCGAGGCCACGGTAAAAGGCCGCGCCGCTCCCCTCCCGCGCCAGCACCGCCACGGCGCCGGCCAAGGTGCGGCAGGCGGGGTCGACCGCGATGCGGAGGCGCAGCGTGTCCAGCGGGTAGGTGAGCAGCGTGGCTGCCATGCCCGCGCAGGCCCCCGCGGCGAGGCGGCGCGGCACGGTCAGCCGCCCCTCCCCGTCCCGGAAGGCGTGCTTGAACACCTCGTAGCTGTACAGCTGGGCTGCGCTGTAGGGCACGACCCGCAGGATCTGGGGCAGATTGCCCTTCCAGTAGCCGCGCAGGCCCTCCTCGCGCCCGATGGCGATGAGGCTCTGCACGACGCTGCCGCGCGCCGCGGCCGCGGCCAAGGCCCCCTTCTGGAACCCGCCCTTCACCTGGAGCAGGATCTTCACGCGGTCCAGGGGGGCGGTCAGGCTCTTGGCGATGGCGCCGGACAGGGCCCCCGCCGTGAAGAGGACCAGGGGCCGGGGCACCAAGGCCAGCAGGGCAAGGGGGCGCCGGGACGCCAGCCGGAGCAGGGGCGGGGAGTCATGCTCCCTCGAATCGCACAGCTCAAACAAGACGCTGGGAGGGGGGTGGAGTAGAGTGGCAGCCTCCAACCGCGGCGGCATGGTGGCAGGGCCAGGTGGTTCCGACACCAACCCGCCGAGTCGCCCCTCACGCCCGAGCCACGGAGGTTAGCCACACAAAGATAATGGAAATTTTCTATTTTGTGTTTTTTGAAAGTCAGGAGGGCTCCTGTTGGGATCGGTGTAATGATGCATGCAGTCCTCGTGGAGCTGTTTCCGACGACCAAATCTTCAACCGGCGGTACCGCGGTACGCCGGAGCCCCCCTCAAAGCCAGGGCTGGGCTGTCGTTCCGGCCGAGGTATCAGCTCCAGACAAACTCTACTTTACAGACGACTGGTTCCGTGTCTGGATACTGAAAGTCGGGTGAGAAGTTGACCAGGGAGCCAAATCTTGGCGGTTCGTGGACCAGATACGTCCCTTCCTCAAGGACTAGCCACTACTTCAAACGCGACAAGATGACGACGCGGGGAATGATGGCGGAGAACATGTTCCAAGGCAAAGGCGTTGTATTGGGATGGCTCAACAGTGTGTTGAGCTTGAGGCTGGAGAAAATCGAGGATGTGAGTCGGGTCGGGGCTCGGGGCGTGGGATGCCTGCTGAGTGGGTCGCCAAAAACCCTGCCTCGCGGGTGACTTACCCTCGCCAAGCGCTTCTCGCAACCCTTCTACCTCCCAGACGTGCAATGGAGCCGTGGCGTGTCAGCTGATGGACTGTCTGCACCCTGGCAGTGTCAACATGAGGAAGGTGCACCAGCAGCGCGGATCAATGCACTGCAGAAATTGGGTCGAGCTCAAGCACTGGCAAGAGACAGGCGCCAACCCCTTCCCGTACCCTTGTTTCCCTCTACAGGTGGACTTCAATGTCCGCAACGACTACGAGTTTGTGGGGAATTACAAGGAGCTACAGCAGGCCTTTAACAAGCATGGCATTGATCGGGTGAGGGCTCGGAGGATGGCTGTGGTCTGGCCAACTTGGGTGTGATTCTTGCTGTTACCCATCAGTCCCAAACACACCGCCCTCTTCCAGGCATTCAATGTGGCGGCGCTGAGCAAGGGGAAGCTGCAAGACAACAATGAATTCATGCAGTGGTTCAAGGGATACTGGGACAGCGTGACGGGTGAGACGGGATTGCAGCGAAAGTGTGCTGCATGGGAATTGCGCGCAATGACAGACAAAGATTCTCTTTTACCCTACGTCACACCATTATTCACTCGATCCACCTGCCCTGGACTCCAGGCGGACTCGAGATAGACGACTACGATGCTCTGGCGCGCCGCCAGAGCTGCAAGACGGGGGACTGGAAAAAGGTGAGCTGACTCGGAGAGGAGTGTGGGTCAGGCCGCCGCCTGCCCTTTAGGCGCAACGACGGATGCCAATTGCATATCTCTGCGCAAATCCCATTGCCAGACCAATCTCCCGCTTCGGGTACTGACCCCTTTGCACCTGGTCACCTTCACTGTGCAGTGGTCGGCCGCGGCGCCGGGTGCGGCTCCCCGCCCTGCCGCCAGGGCTTCCTCCGCCGCCCCCGACACAATCGCAGCCTACCGACGAGGCAGCGCGGCACCCGCCGCGAGGGCCTCCTCCGGCCTCGCCTCAAATGCCAAGGTCTGTGTGCCTGCATTGCTGCTTAACCTCTGGGCACATCAGAACCCTCTCATGCACACTGGTGCGCATGATGCCACCCCGTCTCCAGCCATCCTGTTGCAATCCTGGCAAACCCTCAATCACCATCAACCCCCAAACCCCTGCAGTCCGAGGCCAAGGCCGCACTGCTCACCAAGGCAGAGCTGAGCGGGATGACGGATGAACTGGGAGCCCTGAGGGTCGAGGTGGAGGATCTCAAGGACGAGAACGAGGACCTACGGGCAAAGCTGCACACCCTGGAGCACGAACGCGATTTCTACTTCAACAAGCTGCGGGACGTGGAGATCCTGTGCCAGTGGCCGGAAGTCGCCGCCGCCAAGCCGGTGCGCGCCTGTGTGCCCCTCGGTTTGGCGGTTGAAGACGGCATGGAGGATGACTTCCCCGGGGGGTGAATCAGCGGACGGGGTCATGCCAAGGGCCACGCTGCACACGGTGGCACCTATGGCTGACCTTTCAAATCCCAAGCACACAATTCCATTATCCTCCTCTGCAGGTGGTCGAGGTGATAGAGAACATCCTGTTTGCAGCGGACGCGGAGGAGGGAAAGCAGGTGATGGAGGAGGCTGCCACGCGCTTCGCGGCGACCCCTACCATGGCAGCAGAGGCTTGAGCGGACTGCTTGGTGCGCTGTGATCCCTTCCGTCACCCTGAGGGACTCCTCCTTGTTCGGTCCTAACTGTGTAACAATGAGTCGTGCCTCTACAAGGCCATGCTCAGCGATGATGTTCATGCATCGGCCTCCTGCTGTGAGGCCACGATGTCCTTGAACAGCTTCTGTGGAGTATGACGAAGGTGCGGCAAATGAGACACAAGTCTCAGTGTAACCACTTGCCTCAGGCCCGCCAGCCAAACCTGGTCCCTGTGCCATGACTCACCCCTTTGTTGTTGGACTCCCAGAGGGAGTTGCCGACCTTGTCCACGGCTTGCTCGCCGAAAAAGGCCCCAACCAGGATGAAACCTGTGGAACCGGAGTTGAGGGAGGCTCCATCAGCATCCCAGCCTGGAAACTCTTCAAGAACATCCCAGCTCCCTGTTTCGGTGCCTATAGCTCACCTACGTAGACGCTGTTCCTTCGCACGATGGTCTGCAGTGGGTGAAGAATGAAAGGTTCTGAGGTTGCACCCCCCGACTCCTCCCGCTTATATATTCCCTCAGGTCGGGCTCACCTTGTAGAAGACATCGAGGGCACCCATGGCGTCAGAGCCTCGTCCTCACTAAACCCACGGCAGAGTCCTTCTCTCCTCGGCCAGGCGCGTGACAGCTTCAACTCCCACTGGATACTGAACTTTGGTCGGGTTGAGTGATGCGCGCACAGAATCAGACCCTCCCTCTGACTGATGTGCCAGTCGAGAGCACTCCAGGCTGGTGACCTGGGTCGAACCAAGCCTTAGAGCATGTATCCGCTAGAAAGACCTCTATCTCGGGCGTCTTTGTTGCCGAGACTGATGGTAGAAGCATTGATCCTGTCGTTTTCCATATTCCAAGTCTAGCACAGTGAAGCGAGATGGCGGAACATCTTGCGAGCATCTTTGGGACTGAGAAGGATCGTGTGAATTGCCCCTTTTATTTCAAGATTGGGTGAGTGGGCACGCTGCGTGCTTCCGTGCTGCCAATTGCGTCTGTGCAGTGCTACCTGCAAGGACCCTCGTTGCACCGCTCACCATGCTCACCGCTCCACCCCCACACTCTGCAGGGCATGTCGTCACGGAGACCGGTGCTCCCGCCTGCACAATCGCCCGACCATCAGCCCCACGCTGCTACTCCAGAACATGTATCAGAACCCCATCCTGAACGCTCCCCTGGGCGCGGATGGCTTGCCCCTCCCCGTCGACCCCAAGAAGGTCCAGGAGTTCTTCGAGGTGAGGAGGCGGGGGCAGCCATGGGTGTCTCTGCTTGAGTGTCCCTTGCTGCATCCTGCAGCAGAAAATTCATTCCTTTCCTTTCAAACCCCGCATGCCAGGACTTTTACGAGGACATCTTTGAGGAGCTGGCCAAGGCCGGGGAGATTGAGTACCTGAATGTGTGCGACAACCTGGCAGACCACATGGTGGGCAACTGCTACGTCAAGTTCAGGGACGAGGAGGCCGCGGCGCGCGCCCTCCAGCTCTTCCAGGCCCGCTTCTACGCCGGGAAGCCCATCGTGGCCGAATTCTCGCCCGTCACCGACTTCCGGGAGGCCACCTGCCGGCAGTACGAGGAGGGTACCTGCGGCCGGGGCGGGTACTGCAACTTCATGCACGTCCGCCCCGTGTCCAAGCAGCTGCGCAAGCAGCTCTTCGGGCGCTACAGGGACGGCACGGGCGGCTCCACCAAGTTCCACGACAAGTGAGTCGGTGGCGTATGGTTGGGGCGGCAGTGGGGCAACCGCACACCGTGCTGTGCCTGCGACCCGGGCGCTTAAATATCATGCCCCCTTCGTGGTGCCATGTTGAGGCAGGAGTGGCGGGACTATGCCATGTACTGACTGGACCAGAAGGGCCGCAATCGGCTCACCAAGCACCACTCAAATCCCCTTCCACACACTTGGTCCTTACCTCCAGGCCGCGCGAGCGTGGCTCAGGCGGCGGCTATGGCGGTGGGTATGGCGGCGGGTACGGCGGCGGCGGCCCGAGAAGGTATGGCAACGGCGGATCCTTTGAGGACCGGGGCCGCAACGGCTACCGCGGCTATGGCGGCGGTGGCGGGGGACGGTATGGGGGCGCCCCACGCGACTCTTCGGCGGAGCGCCGCGCGAACATCGCCAAGTGGAATGCCGAGGCGGCCGCGCGGGCGGGGTCCGGCAGAAGCGAGCGGGACGCCGACCACCATGCCCCCCCGCCGCAGCCCCCCGGCAACGGCTACGGGGCGGAGCCCTCAGCGCAGGGCGGCTACGCCGCGCCCCCCCCCATGCTGCCGGCCGCTCAGGCGGGGTATGGCGCGCCGCAGCCCGCAGCCGCCTTTGCGCTGCAGCCCGCAGCCGCCTTTGCGCCGCAGCCCGCCTCCAACTTCGCGCCGCAGCCCGCAGCCGCCTTTGCACAGGCGGCGCAGTTCCAGCAGCAGGCGGCCGTGCAGTATGGCGGTGGGGCCTACGGCCAGCGGCAGGGCGCTTCTGGGCCGGGCGGCAGCGGAGCCAACACGGTGCCCATCGCAAACATGCGCACCTTCCCATACCAGCAGCAGCAATAGCGGCTCTCGACCGTATGCACCCTTCCATTCGCTGACATGTCCTTTGCCTCACCGCACCCCTGCTTGGGCCCTGCCCTGTCTTAAGCATCTGCTTTCAGCCTCCAGGTGGCAGCACCTTGCCATTGCCATAGCAGCGGATGATGGAAGGTTCCTTGAACTTGGGACAGGATGACACTACAGTGGAACCCGGGCATGACACCCGCTGGGATTCGAATCTCATGCTGCACCAGGTGGATGCATCAAATCATCGGGTGTTAGCGTGGGGTTCGCGGCCCCCCAGGTCCCATGCACTCCGAAACGGCACAGCGCATGTCGCGTCGCAATCTGGCGTTCACGGGCGCCTTACTGGTGATTGAGGGGTCCACAAATACATGTCAGGCCTTTGATCGCTGTCCTGTACCCGTCCATGCCCGCGGAACGTTCATGAGGAGCAAGTGCTTGTGACTCCCTCCCGACATCCGACCACCGAGGAGCAGTGTTCCAGCGCTGATCAGGCCGCCCTGCCTCCATGTCACCAGAAGCAGAATCCAATGAGACATGCCCTGGGGGGATGTCTGAACCTCAGGAGCCGCGCGAGGGCAAGCCGGGGCGGTGCCTCATGTATAGCGGCCTGCTGGAGGGCATGCCCTCCAGGACCTGGGCCAACCCCACCTACGACTGGCGCAGGGCCAGTGACGCGGGCACCAGCACCCCCGCCTCTGCTGCAGCCTGGCCACCTCTGGTGTCGGGCGGTGTGGCACAGCCAGTGTCCCCGCCCACCACCTTCAGCAACCTCCTGTTCTGACCACCCGGTGGGTGTAGTTTTCTGTGATTGCATTGCTGCTCAATGTCACGTGCAAGACTGTCACCGAAGCGTCAGACGTCGAGGCAATGCTTCGAGGGAGGCGGGTAGAGTCCTTTGGGAGTGTGCCTCCCCAAGACGACACCTGGATTGCATCACCAATGTTTGCTGCAGTGCACCAGGGATGCGACGTGCCGGCCCAGGAGACTCTCCCCGAGGTGCCGTCTGCTCCACACACATACCGCTGTGCCGCCTCCTCAGTCCTTGATGTCCGGGCCGGGGACGAAGAGGTCCCGCACCATGGCCTTGAAACGCGCGGCGTAGACCTCCGCGCTGGCCACGGAGATGTCGGCGGCGGGGTGGAAGCGGGCCTTCACCGCCCGCTCCACCCGCTTCCTCAGGTTGTAGTCCTGCAGGAAGTCAATGATGGCAAAGTAGAGGAGCACGGGCTGCGGCGTGGCCCCCGCCGCCCCCTCGCCCTCCGTCTGCACCGCCAGCGCCGGCACGGCGGTGCCGGCGCTGCCCATCGCGTCCAGCGCCGCCGGCGCCGCGACAGGGCCGGGGCCGGGGCCGGTGCCGGGCGCCGCCAGCGACTGCATCCGCGTGAGCAGGGAGGCGGAGCGCGCAAAGGTGGCGTCCTGCAGCGGGATGGCGGCGGCCTCCACGCGCGACAGCTGACGCGACAGCGCGCGCTGCGCCACGCCCGGCAGCGGCGGGCGCGAGGGTCCCTGGCCCTGCTTCGACAGCCCCTGTGGCAGGGGGGGGCCATGGGAGGGGCGGCGTATGGGGGCGGGGGCGGGGGGGGGGGGGTCCCTCAGGCGCGGTGTCCCAGCGACAAGTACGCAGCGCACAAGCAGCGCCCTAGCAGTGCCAGGCGCTCAGAACCCACTGCCTGCGCCCCCTCGATCAAGACACCTCGAACCTCGGGAGAGAGGGAGATCCGCCGCGTGCCGAGGACCCCCACCCCATGTCCAGCATCCTTCACCGCGACAGGAACAGGAGCAGCACCCCTGGACACTGCCCCTCCAGAATAGTAGCGCCCCACACTCCCCTCCCAAACAAACCTGGGGTCGTGGTGCAGACGCAGGGCCGTCCCCCTTCGGCAGCGACAAGCGCACCGCCGACTCCCAGGCGGCGACGCTGGTGCGCCCCACGCGCGTCAGCATGCTGGCCGCGCTGCGCACTGCCTCGCCCAGCCCGCTCTCCTCCTCCGCAGAGCGCAGGATGGCGGCCAGGGACCGCGCGTCGCAGCCGCGGCCCCAGGTGTGCCCGTCCGGGGCAGGGGGTTCGGCCTCCGCCGCACCCCAGTCGCCAAAGGGCGGCGACCAGCGCTCGTTGCCCCAGCGCACAAAGTGCACGCCCAGGAGCAAGGAGTAGTCCATCACGTTCAGGCGCTCCAGCAGCGCGCAGTCGGCGTCCAGCTGCCGCATGACCGCCGTGTGTGTGCGCACCGGTAGCACGAACTAGAGGATGTGGTGGGTTGTTTTGGGGGGGGAGGCTGGTCATGTAACCGGTGGAGTTACGACGCTGGTACGGGAAACCCAGCTCCCTCCGAGAAAGGGGCGCTGTTCCGGCAATGAGCCTGGCTCATATATCGCACAGGGCGACACACACACCCCGCCGCACACGCCAGCCCTGTCATACAAAAAATGTGTTCCCTTCCCCCCAATAACCTGACGACCCACCCCCCACCCCCCCTCCCCCAATCCCATCCTCCTCACCCGCACGTCCAGGTCCAAATCCTTCAGCGTCACAAAGGGCTTGGTCTCGCGCTCTGCCCCTGCGGTGCGGCCGTATCGCGACCCTTTGAGGTCGTACCGCCGGTGCAGGCGCAGGTGTGTGGGCAGCGCGTTCTGCATGATCAGGAAGCGCACCTGTTGAGGTGGGGGCGGGGGAGGGGGAAGGGGGGGGGAGCGTAAGATGTCATGCCAGGGTGCAGGAACGAGCCCAGAGACGACCTTGCAAGTTAACCCGAAGGAGATAACTTCAGCCTGGCTGTCTCCTCACTCACCCTCCTGCCCAGCAGCGGCGATACACGGTGCACGCCAAAGAAGCGGACCAGCAGAGTCTTACGCTCGGCCTTAACATGCTTGTAGTACATGGGGATGAAGCGGAGGATGAGCTTCATCTCCTCCTTGCGCACCGTCTTGGCAACAAACCTGCCGGAGAGGGAATGGGATGGGGCTGCGAGGGTGCATGCTGTGTGGGCGATGGGCGGTATGTCTAGAGCGCCAGGCCAAGGCGTTGTGGCCAGCCTTTGTGTGAACCTGCCAGAGAGACCGGACTTTAAACCCCATCCCCCCCCGCCCAGCTTCCCCCAGTGGCCCCCCGCACCGGTCGTCGCCCGATATGAGGAAGATGCTGCCGCTCTTTCCTGGCGATGGCAGCAGTCGCAGTGCCTCGCCGCCGGTGAGGGAGAGCAGGTAGTCGCTGGAGGTCAGGAGGGGATGAGGTTGAAGGAAGTGAGGTTTATTTAGAGCACATGCAAGGCACCCTGATCACCGGTCTGGCTCCCATCAACAAGCAAGTCCACCGACCCTTTGGGGGCCTAAAGCACCGTCTCCTCACCCGTTATCAATGCCGAATGCTTCTCTGAGTGCCTGGAAGAGCGAGGGCAAGTAGTCCTTCCAGACAAAACCGGGTACACTGCCCGTGGCCGGAATGGCAGCCTTCTTCACCTCCTCGCCGTTCAAGGCCGCGTCCCCATTCCCGGAATCCTTCTGTGGATGGAGCAGTTGCTGGAATGCCTCCTGAGCATGCACTTGTGTGGGTGACATGACATTGGAGCGGGATGTGTGTGCTTCCCACTCCGCAGGGCCCAGTCCTGCTTGCAGGGGCAAGGTCAATGCCTGCATGATGCATTTTCCACCCACGATGCAGCCCACCATACCAGACCCTCCCAGACTCCCCACCTGCGATCTGCTCTGGGCTATGCTGTACGTGAGCCCAAGCTGCAGCTGCTGCACAAGGTCAAAACTGGAAAAGGGAGCAGAGAGGGAGTAAGGTGAGAGGTCGGTGCAGGGGGCAGATGCACCTCTCATAAACGCATATCTTGCAAGTCATATGGTACCATTCCTGGACCTGCAGCGACCAAAACCCCCTGTGGCCCCAGCCTCACCTCCGGTGGCCTCGATACACCGCCTCTCCAGGACGTGGCGAGCGATACGTTTCCTTGGCTGCAAGCGGCAAGGGATCGTACAGCAGGCTCAAGAGAAGATGCTTTTCGAGAAATGAGACACTCTAGATGGGTGGGGCATCAGTATTCCTCGGCCCATCTTGAGACCACGCACAAGGCTTGTCGCTCAAAAGTGCTCCAGAACCACCAACAAACAAGCCTTGCTCACCCTTTTTCCTCTCTTTCCGGCTGGCCTTGGTCTTGTGTGAGGGACCCGCCACCTCCAGGATCTCCTCCTTCTCCAGCTTGCCGTTGTCGTACACACGCATGCTCACGGCGGACTTGCCCCTGCGCATAGAGTGGGATGCTGATGAGCTGCTGGCGAGCCCGACGCCAGGGAGTAATTAGGGGCCCAGTCACACACCCAGGTGAATTGCCCATCCTCAGCCAGCGTAGCACAGGGGCGTCAGACTTGTCGAGCACCCGTCTCTCAGCGGCGAGCGAATGAACAAGCTCACTCCGCGACCCGAAACACACGGCCGAATACTCACCCCTCCGACCCCCAGGATACCCGCCCCATTCAGCCAGCTGCCCCTTCTCCAACTCACTTTGCCAGCGTGTGCACCACCTCCCCATGCAGGTGCCCGGCCATCCAGTTGCCAAAGTAGGCGCCGCCCCCCGCCGCCACATACACGCCTGCGCCGTGCGCCTTGCCGCCGCTGAGGGTGCCCTCATAGCGCGAGCCATCGGCCATCATGACCAAGCCCCGGCCCTCCAGCTGGCCGGCCTGCACCTCCCCAAAGTAGGTGGCGCCGTCGGTGAGCTGGATGCGGTGTTCCCCGTCGGGCAGGGGGTAGAGCGGAGGCTCGCAGACCACCATAAGGAGCCCGGCGGGGGTGAGCGGCGCCTCTGGCCCCTGCACGATGGCAAAGGGAGAGTGCCCCTGGGACACCGTGCTCCACTCCGCCGCCGGCTCGGGCTCGGAGGAGGTGGTGGGGGTGGCGTCCGATCCATTCACCCGGGGGGCGGGCATCCCGTGCCCAGCAGGAGGCCTGGTCACCCTCGCCCCAGGATCACCCTGCCGCAGGGCGGAGGCCCGGTTGGGCGGGCAGGGGCCAGCGGAGACGGGGACAAAGTGAAGCAACAGAGAGCAGGGCCGATGGCGACGCTGATCAGAAGGTCAGGTGGCCAATACCAGGCAAAGGGGTGGGCCAGAAGCACTCAAACCTCGGGATTCATTGTTGGGAGCACGCACGGGAGCCGGGAGCCATGCAATCCAGGTACGGCTGTATGTTCAGAGAACGAATAGTCGGGGGATTCCAGGAGCGGAGGCCTGCGCGGTCTGATCACGCCATCCCAGCGCGTACGTTGTCGCGCCCAGGGTGTCCTTTGGGCCCGGCCAGCCAGCGCCCGCTGAGAAGCTTGAACAAGAGCTGCTCGAGTTCAGCTGGCTGACGACGAGGGCGTGCATGCTCCATCCATTCGATCACTGAGGTTCGATTGTTCTTTCGGGAGGGTGGCTCGAAATTGATGCCGTGCAGAGCCTGGCACAACTGAATGGCAGCCCAGTCCTACGACCTCCGCTTCCGGCATATCAACGGAGACATCGGGCCCATACAGTTCCCGCTCGCAGCCTCCGTTTCGGATGTTAAACTGAAATTGTGGCAAGACTGGCCCACAGGTGCGCATGGCGAGGTCCCGGTAGAGTTGGACTGGGTGGCCCTGCCCTCCGTGTTCCAGCACCTCGGTCGCCTCCCCACCACGCAGACGGGCCTGTGTCTCGGGAAAGGCCCGGAAGCCCCGCGGAGGTCAAGCTCATATGCAGCGGCCGGTTTCTGGATGATGCGCAGACGCTTAAGAGTGAGTTGGGGACCACCAGGCTGGCTGGGGAGGTGGCAGCCTGCTGCGGGGAAAGGTGATGGGCATCATGCTGACCTCAGAAACAGCGCCAGCCATTCATCCCCTGCAGGTCTAACCAGCATAGTGGGGCCACCTGTCAAGGACCAGCTTGTCACCATACATGTGGTCCTTCGCCCCGTCGATGCCGAAAAGGGAGCCGTAGGTGCGACACCCCAGGATGGCGCCTTGAGCTGTGTGTGGCTGGTGTCACCCCAGGAGATTGGCCCTGCATGCCAGCACAGCACTCAAGGGCCCATTTCCCTTCTTTCTATGCAGGTCCGGCCCCAGTCAGCCACTCGTCAAGATCCTGCTGCGTCATCTCTTGAGAACAGACCCCTTGCGCTCTGCTGCCAGACCTTGCAGACACTCGACATGCCGCAGGCTACCCAGTACCCGTGCCCTTGTTATTTTCCTCGACTTGCACCGCCTTCATGTCAGGGCGTCTGACACGACAGCCTATGTAAACCTCGATCAGGCCTCACTCTGGATTATGTGCTGAAGTGCATGGGCATGATAAGGAGGGGCGAGGCACCGGCATTCAGCCACATGGGCATCCTTCTCATTCGTCGTCAGAGCCTTCGAGCTCTTCGTCCAGATCCAGGGAGAACTCCTCATCGCCGGGCGCCGCCTCGGCATCGCTGTCCAGCTCGGCAGACGCATCCTGCGGGGCGCAATGTGATAGTTTGGACGATGCCAAGGGAACGAGCTCATGTGATGGCCAGGTAGCAGGCGGCGCTCAGCCGCTGTGTCAAACACAGTCATCAGCCCACCCACCTGGGTTTCTGCCAACTCGTCCTCAAAGTCGGAGGCGGGGGCCGCCTCATCATCCGTTCCCTCGGCCTGGTCAGGCTCGGCAGCCACTGCCAGGTCTCCCTCGAAGTATGAGGGCTTGAGGCCCAGCGAGACGCGACCCTTCTCCAGATCGATCTTGAGCACGCGCGCGAGCACGCCTGCATGTGTGAAGGAGGGGTTGGTAGGCTGGAGTCAAGCTTGAGGTCGGATGCATCCCCCAGCAGCACTCAGGCAGTAGCGCCAGGTGAGGGCTATTCACCAATCCCTTGGTCACCCACTTTGACCAGGAGAGAAGAGCGACCCTGGGTTCTTGACCCGGGTATCCGCCAGCTGGGATATGTGGGCCAGACCTGGACGGAGGGGGTGGAGAAGGGTAAGGCAGAGCTCAGGCCTCGATGGGTGGGGTTGGGGGTACGCAACGCAGCCTCAGGGTTTGGCAGCGGCAGAGCGCAGCGCACAGGTGCCGGGAGCTCATGCCAATGGCCGCATACAGCACCCGGGCGCCCGCTGCTGCTCCCCAGGGGCCATGAGTTCACAATCAGGCTCGATCATGACCAGCTGTTCACTGGGCCCTCGGTTCTCATGCTGTGGGTCCACTGCACAGTCGTCTGCCAGCATGCATGGCCTCCCTGTGCCTTGTCAGACTTCACCGTTTCCCAGATCCACCAGCTGGAACCCCCTTCCCCCCCCCAATCAATGCACCCAGCCCACCAGGCACGGCCAACCACCCACCCGAGGCGCCGCCCTCCAGATCCAGGATCAGGCCGTAATTCTCCACCCTGCGGACCAGGGCCTTGACCGCGTCGCCCACCGCCAGCCGGCCCAGCGCGGCGACGTCCCGCTCCGGCCGCGTTTTCCTCGCCTTGCGTGTAAGCTCCACCTTCCCATCCTGCACGCGGATGACGGAGGCGAGCACCAGCCGCCCCACAGGGAAGGCGGCCTGCACGTCCTCCACGCGGCTGCCCTCCGCGTTCAGCTTGGACAGGCGCAGCCGCCCGTCCAGCGCGCGGCCCAGCGCCAGGAAGACGCCCGCGGGACCCGCGCCACGCACGTACCCCGCCACGCGCTGGTTGGGCAGCAGGCTGGCGGGCGTGGCGCCGCGCGGCAGCGGCGCCGGCAGCTCCTCGCCGGCCGGCAGCTCCTCGCCGGCCGGCAGCATGGGCGGCCGAGCCGCGGCGTGCGCGGCGCACTCTCCGCCCGAAGCGGGGCGCAGACTGAGCGTGGCCAGGCCGCCGGCCTCGGGCGACGCGCCGGTCACCCGCGCACGCACCCACTGCCCCGCCTCGAGCCCGGCGGTTGCGTCGGCCACGAGCTCGTCGTGCACGTCGGCGAGGGGCACGCGGCCGCGCGCCCCCGCGCCCAGGCTCAGCTGCACCGCGCCGCCGGAGACGCCGAGGACCCGCGCGACCACCAGCGCGCCAGCGGGGCAGGCGGCGGGGGGATGCCGTTCAGGCTCAGGTCAAGGCGCGTTCGGGGCGCGTCGACGCGCGCCACCGTGGCGCGGACCGGCTGACCTGGTTTGAAAGCGTCGCCCAGCTTGGCCGCGGCGGCGGGCGAGGCCGCCGCCAGCGCAGGGTCCGCAAGGCCGCGCAGCGCGGGCGACAGCGTCACCCACACGCCGGCGGGGCCGACCTCGGCCACGTAGCCGGGCAGGGTCTGGCCGGGGCGCAGGGAGCGCCAGGTGGGCGGTGCAGGGCCGGAGGCCGCCTCGCCGGCCAGTGCGGCCGCACGCGTGGACACCTCCACCACGCCCGCGCGCCGCGCCTCCCGCCCCGCCGCGCGGCCCAGCACCACGACGCGCAGGCTGTCGCCGGGCTTCAGGTTGGACAGCGGTGAGAGGGCGCCGGCAGGGACGTCGACGCCGGCGGCCGACGGCTCGGGGCCGGCGTCGGAGGTCCCCACCTCGACGATTGTCGGCTCGGCGTTTGTGATGTGCAGGCGCGCGGCAAAGTCCCCATCCAGCGCCAGGTCGGCGTGCAGGGCGTGCACGGCCTCGACGTGCGCGGTGAGAATTGTCCCCGGCTTGGGCAGGGCTGCCAGGCGCGCGCGCTTGGCCTCGGCCTCGGGGTTCTCGGCCTGCTCGCCGGCGGGGGCCGGGGTTGATGTCGTTGTGGCCAGAGGGACGGAGAGCAGGAGGCGGGGGGCGCTGGGGTGTGGCAGAGCGGCCACCTTCGCGACGATGCTGTCGCCTGTTGGGAGGGGGAGGTGTCGCATGGCAACGAGAGAATTAGCGTATGTGGCAACCGTCCAGTCATGCAGGGCGAGGACAGGAGCTCGCCTAAACCCTCAAACTCGTCAAGCACCATGCCACCACCCCCTCGCCCGTGGCCCTACACTGCACCTGGCGTTCGGGACACAGCCTCCGCTCGGGAATTGAAGTCGTGGCTGGGGACGAAGCCGATTCGCGGCTGGCAGCCGGCTGGCAGGGAGACCACGCAGTACCCTTCCCTCTCCTTCACCTGTGTTTTGGGTGGGGCGGCGGGGGGATTACATGTCTGTTGATCAAGACGCCCCTCTGCGCATCCCTTGCACGCCCAGCCCTCCGAGCAAAACCCAACCATAACCACCTCCTCCCCGCCCTTGCACTCACCAGCTCAATGACGCACTCCAGCTGGTCGCCGAGCTTGGGCTGCTTGGGGCTGGCAGCCTCCACACCCTTCCGCTTTCCCTTCTTTGCCGAGGGTTCGGACTTTGCCGCTGCCTCAGCCTCGGTCAGCCTGGGAAGCAGGCTGAGGTCCACGATGCCGTCGGCGGGGTTGCGATCGAGGACGAGGGCCGAGATGCGGGTGCCAGGCGCCGGGCCCTGGGCAGCCTCACCTTCCACCTGCAGGGATCATGGGGCACGACAGATCGATGGGTTTCTGTTGCGGGCAGGGTGGGGGGCTGCCGAGGCCTTGCACAGCACCCTCTTCGCAGAAGCCCTCACACCTGGTGGGGTGCTGCTACGCCCACAATGTCGGGGTGCACGTCCAGATCGCACAGCGTGCCGTAGTCCTTGACCTCGTGCACGCTGCCTTGCACTGCGGTGTGGGGCAAGGAGGAGAGGGTGGGGGGAGATTCGTGGTCGAAAACATGGCATTCCTGGGACACAGCACAGCTTCTGATGCGTGATGTCTATCCAAGTCTGGTGCTGTGCACTGCGAGCCCCATTGTATGTCTCACCTGCTCCCCCAATGGGGACCTGCTCCTCCCAGGCGACGTCGGTGGGGTCCTCTGCCCACGAACTGGCCATCTCAATGTCCCTGACGAGGTTTTAGCATGGGTGAGGGTTTAAGAGGGGGGGACTGAGGGGAGGGAATTTGCCACATGCAAGTGGAGAACAGAAAGGGACAGGCGTCAGTAAGCTTGACCTTCGTGTCATAACCCAGACCTATCCACCCAAACACACCACGATGCAAGGGGCAGCGGCAACCATGCTTACTTGAAGTAGCTGGCCAGGTACTCTGCGTGGGCGCTCGCACAGGTCGACTGCTTCAGCTCCGCCGAGACGTGCCCGCTCGCCGCGTCCACGCCCACCACCTTTGCACGGATGGTTTGACCCGGGGAGTAGACGGCGGCGGGGTCGGACACATGCCCATCGCTGAGCTGTATGAGGCCCACTCGAGCCGTCAATGCCCCAAGGAATCTGCAGGGAAGCAGGGATTGCAATGTATCATGAGAGAGTCTGAAGGATTGAGTGGCAGACTTAAGATGTAGCTTCCCGGTGAGCCGCACACAGGTACCGTCCAGGCAGGGGAGCTCAGGATTGGTGGGTGGTTGGGTCAACATGATGGGGACTTTTGCCTCCGTGCAGAGATGGCAGACATTCCCCCCCTCCACCAAGGCAACAAAGTCCCACCTGACAAACACGGCGTCCTTGGTGATGCTGGCAATGTAGCCGGGCATCACCCTGCCCTTCTTGGCCGCCTCCAGGGTGGCCGGCAGCTTGCCAGCTGCAGCAGCCTCAACCAGAGCTGCTTTGCGGGTCAGCGTCAGGGCCTTGTGCTCCGTACCAGCCTGCAGGGGGTGGGTGAAAAGGGTTATGCGATGTTTGCACAAAGATAAAGCTTCGACTGGGATGCTGTTCCCACAGCAGCGTCAGTGCCCCACAGACTCTCTGAGGCGTCTCAGAGGCACATGACCCCCCGCAGCCAGCGCCAGCCGCACCTCGGGCGCGCGCAGGACCAGCAGCCTGCCGAGATCGAGCCCCACTCGCAGGTTCTCCACCAGCGCGGCCGCCGCGCACGGGTGATCGGCGAGGTGCGCAATCTCCAGCCGACCATATATGCCCCTCAGCACTGAGCTGTCGACATCAGCCTCAGCACGCAGCTCGATGGCTAGTGTTTTGAGCGGAGCCTCTGCACCCTCCTGGGCGGACTGTGATGGGTGAGGTGGGAGGATGGATGGGTGAGGAGATTTCGCATGGGCCAGTGCGGCTGGCTGGCCGTCCATCTGAGGCAGAGGAAGGACATACTGATGCACCAGGGTCCTGGAACGCGACACCGTCCCGGCCACATCTCTTATCCCGAGGCTCCAAACTACCCTTCCCCAGAAGAAGCCTACCTCGCCGGTGATGAGTTTCCGGACCTTGCCGTACACAAAGGTGCCTGCCGCAGGGATGGGGCTGGCCTCCCCTGCACCACCCGCCCCGGCCTTCTCGCCGTCTGCCAGCTTCTTGGTGGATGCAAGGCTTAGCTTCAGGCCACGCCCCTTGGCATCGACGCCCAGGACTCGCGCTTTGACCACTGCACGCGAGGGGAGAATGGGCTGCATCCACGACGGCGAAGGCTTTTGTCTGTGCCAATTCCCATGCATCCCCAGGGAATGGGCAGGCTCAAACAAACTTCAAACGAGTCCACCGACATTCCTAGCGTCCAACCCTGCGTGGACCATGGGGCGGGCGTTCCACATCGGCCCAAACATATCACTCACCCTGGCCCACGACGTAGGCATCGCTCGGCTTCTGCTCCGGGGTCAGGGCGCACTCCTTGAGCGGGACCATGCCCCGCACGCCGTTGAAGAACTCGACAAACACGGCCTTCTCCGTCATGCCGCTGATGGTCCCGTGGCTGCGCATGCCCGCCACCACATCCTGGGGAAGGCGGCAGATGTGGAGGGGAGGGTGAGGGTGATCATGGGAGCACCAGCCACCCATGATAATGATAGAGCCCATTGTTCAGCGTGACCCAAATACCCCCACAAGATCCTTCCCAGCTCCCCCCTATCACTCCATGCCCTGGCACTCCATCCCCTTGCATCGGGCCCCACCTGTTGGCTGGTGATGCGCCGCAGCTTGCTCCCCAACAGACTGGGCTTCAGCGTGATGGACAGCTTCTTCGCACCTGCGCAAGAGTCGGGGATGAGCACAGGATTGGGAGGCTCTGTGTCTCGACGCACGGCACCAGCAGGTTGAAACTCCATTCTGTCAGAACCCCAAGGGTCACCACGGCCTGGCAGTGTGGAGATATAGGGGATCGGGAACCCCACGTACCTGGCTGCACCGAAAGCACGATGCCGGACACTGACTGCCCCAGCTTGTGCTTGCGCAGGCCCTTCTTGGTGCCCACATCCGAGCCGTGAATGAGAGGCACAAGGGCCCTGCGGGGTGGAAGGTATGCAGCGCGGTTGAGGCCGGCTGGAATGCCGCAAGTGTATGGGCATGACTCGACAGGAGACACATCCATCCCTTGGTCCCAGTCAGTACCCAAAGGAGAAAGCCTGGCTAAAAAAACCTGCGCAAGTCACTGCCACGGTACCTGACGCTGGGGGTGATCTCCAGGAGCAGACCGAAATCTTCTACGGCCGCCACCTTCCCAGTCACCGGCATCCCCGGGTGCAGGTCTGCAAGCAATGTGGGGTCACGGTGGGTTATGCCCGGATGCGCAATCGAAGGGTCGCACCAGGCCTCTCGGGCGATCCCCTGGGGGCCTGGGAGCTCTTCCCAATAGCCTTCACCACCCATGATTCACCCAAGATGCGCCCTCCAGCCCCAAGAAAGCAGGCCCCCGGCGCACCTGCATGGCTGAGGATCAACTGCTCGACCACAGAGGGACGCAGGGTGAGCACCGCAAGACCGTCCAGGGGCCTGAACCCAATGACCCTGGCCCTGACCTTCTGGCCGACGGTGAAGGCCTGCGTTTGGGAGGGTTTTGGTAGCAGCAATGGGCATGGCAAGTTGGTGCAGCAGGGTGTGCTGCCGCCTTGTGCAGGAACTATGCCGGCACCTACCCAGGCCTGCCGCTCCTTGGGAATCCCACAACAACATCAAGCAAAGGCAGCCCAGACAAATGTCCTGCAAGCAAACCCACCAAATCCCATATCCCTACCTTCTCCAGGCTCTTCACCCTGCCCTCCGACGTGTTGCTGATGTGGGCAAAGCCCGGGGGATAGGTGACCTGGCCCGCCGCGGAGGGCAGGCTGCACAGCAGGCCTAGCCCGGGGTCGATCCGCAAGACCGTGGCCTCGGCAAACACCTGTCCCATGGCCGGGAAGTCGGGCGGAAGCAGCCCGGCCACCAGCCCGCGCTGCATCGTGAGCACGATCTTCTTGGACTCCGGGTCCACATACAAGATCCTGGCCTTTACCCGCTGGTTCTTGCTGTAGGGGTGTTGGGGGGGAGGTGGGAAAGGGGCGCTGACTGCCAAGGATGTTGGACTGCAGGAGGAGAGAGGGAGTTGCAGGACAGCCATGCTCCCGATCAGAATCGATTAAATTCACAGGCTGCCGCATGGAACCAGTATGGCCTCAGCCACGACCTCAGCATGGCGCCTCCCGACCTCCTCCCGCACACCTGTGGGGACGTTTCTTATCGGACCCCGGCTCGTTCAGGTGGAAGGGGTCCACCGTGCCGGAGAAGAAGGTGAGGAAGGAGAGCACCACGCCGTCTGACAGCACGTCCCTCACTGTGGCGGCCACCAGTGAGCCGGGGAGCAGGGCGCCTGGAGGGGGCATGGGAGGCTTTGTGATGGATGCCGACATGGCCCTTCTGGGGTGCACTGCATGAGGGGTCCCCGGCAGACCTCCCTGTCCCCACAGCCCACCCCCGAATGCACCGCCCCTCCAGCAGCCGCCTCACCGATGTGCATGCCGATCCACTCCTCGGTCTTGGCGGCCGCGACGGCCTCGGATCCGGCGTCCACGGTGATGCGGCCTCCCGCTTTCTTGGAGGTGACAACCACGTCCAGCAGAGCCCCAGGGATCAGGGGTCGCTCGGGGAACGCCGCGGCGGGGAGGAACCCCGTGGTGCCCTGCCATGAGTTGGAAAGGAGGGGGAGTTGAGAGACAAGGGCAAAGAGCGTCATGCACATGCAGTATTACATCCCTTCGCAATACCCCACCAAGGCTTGGCCCTGTGCAACTACACCTTGATGCCAAAGGAAAGCACGGCACCATGATCCTCCATGCTCTGCACGCTGGCAGAGAGGCAGAATCCCGGCACGAGTGCGCCTAGGTCTGCGCGGCGGTATCGTGGGGGGGAAGCGGGGGATAAGCTCACTGAGTTCAGGGCCTGAGAACTGGGGCAGGCAGGGTGCATGGTCACCTGGACATCAGATTGCCAGCGAGGGGAACTCGCACGCCTGCTTGCTGGCCAGACCTAGCCAGTGTGAGGGCCAGGGCGTGCTCAACAAGCTGGATTATAGTTCCTCCACCCTCTCCCCCAACCTCCCTACAATTCCTTGTACAAAACCCCGATCTCCACCCACCCAGTCCTGCATTCACGGCCGAGGGTGCCAGGGTCAGGTAGACCTTCTTCCTCCGTTTCTTCCCGTCTTCGGGGGGCACGGCGCCATCCTCGCCAGCCTCTGCTCCCGTCAGCTGCGTGATCTGTCTTATCGGACCCCGGCTCGTTCAGGTGGAAGGGGTCCACCGTGCCGGAGAAGAAGGTGAGGAAGGAGAGCACCACGCCGTCTGACAGCACGTCCCTCACTGTGGCGGCCACCAGTGAGCCGGGGAGCAGGGCGCCTGGAGGGGGCATGGGAGGCTTTGTGATGGATGCCGACATGGCCCTTCTGGGGTGCACTGCATGAGGGGTCCCCGGCAGACCTCCCTGTCCCCACAGCCCACCCCCGAATGCACCGCCCCTCCAGCAGCCGCCTCACCGATGTGCATGCCGATCCACTCCTCGGTCTTGGCGGCCGCGACGGCCTCGGATCCGGCGTCCACGGTGATGCGGCCTCCCGCTTTCTTGGAGGTGACAACCACGTCCAGCAGAGCCCCAGGGATCAGGGGTCGCTCGGGGAACGCCGCGGCGGGGAGGAACCCCGTGGTGCCCTGCCATGAGTTGGAAAGGAGGGGGAGTTGAGAGACAAGGGCAAAGAGCGTCATGCACATGCAGTATTACATCCCTTCGCAATACCCCACCAAGGCTTGGCCCTGTGCAACTACACCTTGATGCCAAAGGAAAGCACGGCACCATGATCCTCCATGCTCTGCACGCTGGCAGAGAGGCAGAATCCCGGCACGAGTGCGCCTAGGTCTGCGCGGCGGTATCGTGTGGGGGAAGCGGGGGATAAGCTCACTGAGTTCAGGGCCTGAGAACTGGGGCAGGCAGGGTGCATGGTTACCTGGACATCAGATTGCCAGCGAGGGGAACTCGCACGCCTGCTTGCTGGCCAGACCTAGCCAGTGTGAGGGCCAGGGCGTGCTCAACAAGCTGGATTATAGCTCCTCCACCCTCTCCCCCAACCTCCCTACAATTCCTTGTACAAAACCCCGATCTCCACCCACCCAGTCCTGCATTCACGGCCGAGGGTGCCAGGGTCAGGTAGACCTTCTTCCTCCGTTTCTTCCCGTCTTCGGGGGGCACGGCGCCATCCTCGCCAGCCTCTGCTCCCGTCAGCTGCGTGATCTGGGCCCGGACCAGCTGCCCGATGTTGAAGGCTGCCAGCAGGTCGACGCCCACGCCTGGCTCGCCCGCGGCCGCCGCCGGCACGTGGCCTCGCAAGCCGTGGGGCATGGAGACCACGAGCTCGCGCTCAGACACCTCGATGATCGCTCCCCAGACGCGTGCGCCGACGCCCAGGATCTGCGTCAGCGAGGGCAGTGGAGTGAGATCATGACGGAGGGGCAAGGACTGTAACTCTGAGGAAAAGGTGAGGAGGACACAAAGGTAAAGGAGCGTGGTGGAAGAACTATCCTGAGAACAATTCTGGTTCAGACGAGAGATGCTTGTTGCTCCCAGACACCATGCCTGTGGCACTCAGCACGCAAACATTTTGTTGAGGATTACCTTTCCTCATGCGCTCACCTTGAACTTGAGGAGCTCGGCGTACTTTGGGAGGTTCTCCGCTGCTGACAGCGTCTCAAAGAATGCATCCTCGTTCTCATGAGCCTGAAGGGATGATGGGAGGACAGCTTACTGGCCTCTGGGTGGTACGAGACAGAATCATATACCTCAGACAAGATCTCTAACAAGGCAAAAAGTTAGTATGTGCCGATTTGTGGCGACTTGCTGCCCTCCTGTTGCCACATCCCAAATCACCTCCTTGGTGGGCCTTGACTTCTTGGATTTCTGGCCTGCCAGCTCCAGCTCAGCCTCAGCAAATGCATCCTGTGAATTTTAGAGAGATATTTTGCTACACTCGTAGCGGCCGCACCTGCGTTACATCCGGAGACTTATTCTGGAGCAGTGCTTCTGACCAACCCTGCAGACTCCCTCACCCGCTTCAGCTTCTTCTGTTCGATGGGGTCCATGCCAAAGCCGCCTCCACGAGGGAAGCTTTCCTCATCCATCGCAGCCTTTATTTTACCCAACTTCGACATGGTTGGGGCGGCAAGTGGTGGGTTGCCGGCGGGCACTCAGCGCTGCATCCCGGTGGAACACTCAATGCCACTTGGACAGCAATCTGAGCAGTCAGGGGTGTCAATGGTTGTCATTCACGGCACTGAGCAAGCTAACATGTGGATAGCGTGCTGGAAACTCGGTACAGGCCCCGCTGCTCGCATCGCTGAGTGCTCGGTGGAAACAGGTCACCACCCACGTGATCACCGCATGTAAGAGAGCGCGCGGTGGTGCCTGGAAAGATGGAAAACCGCCCGCTTCCACCGGGTCCTCCGTGGTCGGGAAGCTGCCTCAATACAACTCCATTACAGACTTTTGAGGGATGAGCAGCTGCTTTTGAACGGTAGGAAATTCTTCTTTGGCCAGGGCAGTGACCTTGGCGGTTCCTTTTCGCTGAATGGGGAGCCCTACCCCCCATCATGCTGGCGGTCTTCGTCTCTGGACGAGGCTTTCATTGATATGCGCGGGCCTGGTCTACCAGGCTTCATGTGAGTATAATGGGGTTGACGTGTATCTTCGTTGTACAGCAGGCGCCGCGCTGCCCGGAGTCTGCATATTCCGAGTACGGATTCCTAGACTGTGCGCGGCCCTGCCCCCCCTTGACGACAGGTTCCTGCGTTCGAAACACCACTGCTCAGATCAGTTCGAGTGTTTTTCTTGCTGGAAACTGGGACTACATGGATTGGTACAAGAATGGGAGCAGCAACTGCATCAGCATGGTGGACAAGTGCGTGGTCCTGGGCGATTTTCGAATGTGCTTGGGTCAACTGGGGGGGGGGACGATGCCCAGTCTGCGCGTGTTCCCCGGGATGCTACGAAGATACCAATCTCCTGTCGAGCGACCCGGATTTAGGGTCGCATGCCCTTCCGCAGCGCCATCGGCTGTTCGAAACCCCATTCCCTGTGCCACCACAGAATTGCCAAGCAGAATGTGAGACAGATCCAGTTCCTGCCCACTTTCTACTGGTATGACGTGGGTCCCCTGGACCCACCTGCGGGGTTTGACGAGACCTGCAGCACCAGCGACCTCGGAGGTGAGCAGCAGTTGGCCAGGCCGATGCCGGCTTGCCATGATGATGGGGTGTGGCTGCATGGTACCAGGCCCAGCTGCTCGCTCACCCACTCGGCATCCTGGCTGTGCATGGTCGTCATGCGGTACCCTTGAAAGCGGGCCAGTCCGGGTCAGAGAGGCACGAGGGAAGTTCATTGCCCAGACCTTCTTGTTCACCATCCCTTGCGCCCAGGCTACTACTGCTTCAACCGCTTCAATGCTACCAGAGTGCAGCACTGGTGCTATGACCGACAGGGCCTGTCCTGCCAGGAGGTCACCCAGCAGAATATCACAGACCTGATTGAGAACCTTGGGGGCTGCATGAAGGTGGGTCGCTCGGCCTCTGCATGCGGGGATGTGGCCTGTACCTGTGTGTCGCAGTGACTCAGCATTTGGTACAGTGTGGCGGCCCATGGGCTCTGGCCCTGTCATGCAAAGCGCAGTGTAGCTCGCCACACCATTTCCCAGGGTTCACCACTCTCATCACAGCCATGATCTCCAACGCTCATCCACAGCATGCTGTGGACCTAGGCTTTGACATTGCAATCAATTCGCGCGTCGACGACGGGCGAGCTCTGGGAGGTGAGGCGCTCAGAGCGCCGCGGCGACAGGCTTGGTCTCAGACTGCATCGTTGGGAATGGGATTGCAAAGGCTGCAAGGTAAAATGCAGCTGCCACATGCTTTTCCGGCTTCGATTTTTACGCCAAAATCTCCTCCTTCCACCATGCGCAGGCTGGCGCAATACACTCGACTTTGATCCGCTGGAGATTTCGGAAAACTGGTCGTACCTGGAGGCTGTGCTCTACCCCCTAGCCGATGCTGTGCGGCTGGCTGCCAAGCCCTCGACCAGGGTGGGCACCATCAAGGGGGGGGAAGAGGACAATGCATGCTCCAAAGCCTGGGCCTGGCATGGACACGGGTGTATCAGCATGGATCCCCTTACCATTTCATTTTCCTGCCATCACGACTCCCAAGGATTACTCGTCACAACCTCCTGTGCAGGTCGACTTTGTGCTTCAGGGTGAGATGGGAGCTACCATTTTCATGCACCCAGTAGAGTGGATGGAGGTAAAGGATGCGGTCCTGGAGCGGGTGACTGCCCCTCGGCCCGGCCAGCCTGACATCGAGCCCGCCCAGGTGTTTTTCGGCATGGCTGTGAACAACAACAAGCTGTGCGGGTGAGCAGTCGTGTGTTTGGGAGGGGGGAGGAGGGGTGTCCGTGTGTCTGCTGGGGAAGGAGTGGCAGGCTGGGTTGAAATGCTCGACACATGTACGTTGAGAGAACTCGAGCACCTGCTTCCGCTGACGCTGACTTAACTCCCCTCCAAACAACTCATGCACAGATGCATCGGGATTGGAATTGAGGACGCAACCGAGTACCTCGCTGCCTTCCCAGCTAGCTTTAACGCTGTGAAAGCAGGTGGGTTGGGAGTCGAGTATGGCCTTGGGACATTGTTCTCAACGGAATACACGCTTGCAACAGATGCAGTAGACCACATCTCATACGCGACGTCTGAGCACTGCACCATCCCGCACCTCGACACTGGCAGAGTTTGATCTGCCTGCACTCAAGGCCCTGTTCTACGACTATGACTTCATTGGTAAGCGGTGTGAGCTTGCAAAGTCATCTTACGCATGGGTCTGGACAGCTACTCATGCCCTCGTAAACGCTGGCATTCAAGAAACATCCCCATCCCCTCAAACAAACGACAATCTTGCAGGCATCTCAGCCTATGTGCCCATGCGATCCCCCAAGTGAGCGCTGGCTTGGGTCGTGAGTCTCCTTGGTCTCCTGCAGGACCAGGGGCCATGCAACTCATCCTGCACCAGCAACCTTTCACCAATGTCCGCTCTCCGGCCTCTCCTGTGCAGCTTCTCCATCTGCGACTTTGAGGGACTGATGGAGCGCCTGGATGAAGAGCTGTCCTACTACGATTTGTCCCTGGAGGACCTAGGAGATGACGGTGCGGAGCTAGACACACCTGGCTCGTACACCATCATGGCAGATGCCCTATGTTCTGTGCGTGATTGTCCTGCAGCAGCATCCCCCCTCCCTCCCTTGGCTGATTGCCAGTCCCTTTCTGCACCCCTTCCCAGGCAAAGAAATACACTTTGTGGAGTTTGGGATCGGCGGCGGCACCAACCAGGCCGGCGTCGGGGTGGCCAGGACTGCTGAACAGGCAGCATACTACCCCTTCTACGGCATCTACGGCGCCTACAGGTGGGCACAAGCGCCCTGCCGTCCCTTTGTGATGCTGCGCCCGCCTGCACGTCATCACTCTGGCAGGTCAGGTCGCCACCCCAGCCTCGTGTTGCTCCCCCCTCTCCCGTCGCGCAGTTGCCAGGCAGACCCCTTCAACATGTGCGACCTGGCGACGCCCTCCCCGGTCCGAGACTACCGGCGCAAGTACTTTGAAGGCATCTCGCAGGTGACCCGACTGGCATGGGTGGGGCCTGGTCCTTGCACAGAAGATGCCACACGTGGAAGCCATCCATGTATACCCAGCCCCCCTCGGTCCTGTCCCTAAACATTTCGCCCTCCGCCATGCCTGCCTGCAGTACCTACTCCAGGGCGGTTGTAGATACCGCGTGTCCACCGTCTACCTCTGGAACCTGCAGTCTTGGGACCCGCAAGCCATCTATCCCCTTCCCTTTGCCGATGCTGCCTCGCAAGCCGCCAATCCAACCGCCTACTACGACCCCGTCGTAGTCGCCACCATCAACGCCCACAACGCCGAGGCTGCGGCCCGTGCCGACGGCTGCGCAGCACGAGCCCCCGAGGCCGAACTCGAGGCGGAGCTAGGTGTTGCATCTATCGTCCCGCCAGCGTGCTGAGCGCCATGCGTCACCCCGTGCTACCCTTCCGTCTCACTTGAATTCTGCGCATGCAGCGTCTGCCAGGAGTTTCACTCCCCTCACGTTCCCCCTCTCTCACTTTGTGCCCCCCGTCCGATGCTACATCCCTCTCAATCAGCCATGTCTCAAGCTTCTGCCGTTGCCTGGAGTCCCCAGCACCACCGAGCACTCTCACCATCCCTGCTCTGCTTTCTCCTGATCTGCTCGTCCTCCTGCCCCACACTGCCGCAGCACTTCCTGACGATTCACCCATCCCATGCCTCCCTCCGATCCCGGTATCTGAGTCTTGGCAGCGACAGCCCTGCGATTGAATGGGCCTGTTGTCTCACCCATCCCACTCACCGCAAGGTGAGTGGGTTTTGTCAGCCCTGCCCACACTTGATTGCGTCCTGCCATCCCTGATTCTTGGCTCCCTTCCTGTGCACCCCGCTGTTCCTCAGTCGCTGCGTGTGTAAAGCGCACGACACCAGCCACCAAAGGCACGTCGCAGGGTCAGCGCCGCCGGCGCAGCGTGTCACCGCTTCCTGGCCAGGAGGGGGACATCGTCGTCGCTCGGGGACTCCTCCCCCAGCCCACCGTCCTGGAAAGCGACGTCCCGCGTGGAAGCCTTGGGCTTCCTCGGCGCAGGCGCGGGCCGGGTCGGCCGACGGGCCAGTATGATGTCGTCGTCCGAGTCTGAGCCGGCCGGGGGCTTTGGGGGCCGGGGTACGCCGCCCCGCCGCTGCTTGGAGGGCAGGACCTCCTGCTCGCTCCCGTCGTCGCTCCACTCCACATCCTCCTCCTCCTTCTTGTGCTTTGCCCCGGGTGCAGTCTTGGCTGCAGGGTGGGGGGTTGGTGGCAGAGGGGTCGTTGTCAGGAGGGGAGGGTGAATGAGGTACCCTGCAGGCGCTCAGGTCGATGACGCGTCCCGCACCAGCATGTAATGCGCCCACCCCGACCCACGACCTCTGCGTGCCTGATCCCGTGGACTTGCGCTTGGGGGCCTGCCCGGATGCCGCTCGCTTCGGTGCCGGACTAGCGCTCCCCGCCGCCTGTCGGGACGGCGGGCGTGCCGCCAGCTTCTTGGCGGCTACCTCGTCCACGTAGGCGGCGGCCTCGGCCTCGCTCAACAGGCCGTGCATGACACACCACTTGCGGGCCATGTCGCTGGCCGGCCGCTGGACGAGCAGGGAGGTGTAGAACTTGCGGAGGGGGTCAGCCTGCGGCAGCAGCGGGATGGTGATGGTGGCATGAGTCAGCAGAGGGAGGGCCGATGGTGATGCACGCGCCTGCATCTGCCTCCCTGGGCCCTCGCCCGGCCGAAAGAGCCGACATACTCTCGCTGGCTGAAGCCTAGGTCTCCTGGCCATTCCCAAGCCCATCTTCAAGCAGGGCGCCACTTAAACTCCCCACCCCTCCCATCCCCCACGACCCACCTCATCTGGAGTATCCCGGGTCTGACCTGGCAGCCCATACTCCTTCTTCACCCGGATTTTTGAGGGAGAGGAGCTGATCTGAGAGGCAGTGGGCTTGCCGTTGCTGGCAGCGGGGATGGTCTCCTTCTTGAGGGGGCCCTGCTCCTTCTTGACCTTGGCAGGCTCCTTCGGCGTGGCCTTGGGGGGGACAGTCTTTGTCTCAGGTGCAGGGGCGGGCTTTTTGACTGGGCTAGGATCCTGTGGGAATAGGTGGATGCGGGAGAAGTTTTGCATGATCACATAAGAGCAGCTGGGAGGTACACATGTCCCTCCCCCACCAAGATCACTCACTGGCTTCACTTGCGATGTCACTGTGGCTGTGGCTGCTGCCTGGAGGAGTACAGGGTATGGGAAGGGTGAGGGGATGCACCAATAGCCACACTGAACCTTGCAAATACCGGGAGAGCCGATAGGCGTTTTTGTCATTGACTCTGCCAGAACGCACCTGAGCTGGCACAGGTGCATGCTTCTCAACTGTGGGACCTGCACTTGGACCGAGATACTGACCTGTGACTCCGGGAAGACACACTCTCTTCACGTAAAAATCAACATTCACAAGACTCACCGAGCAGTGCTGCCTTCTTCTGAGCCAGAGGGACGTCGTCGTCGCTGCTGCTGTCCAACATCGGTGACATCCTGACCCTGCTCCCGGCGATGCAACTCTAGCTAAAGTACCCGCGAGTCCAACCAGGTGTAGTGCATCCGCTTGAACCTTGTGTTCAGTACGGTGACGGAGATTCTAGGCTTAGACCAACAGTGTTTCGGTGCTCTGTCACCCACCCGCAGCTGGCGCACAGGGAAAAGAGCACGCGAACAATCGCCACACGGAGCAAAACTTCGGTTACTCTGGTTGATAGAATGTAAAATTTCTATGTCGGTGCTGTTGCCGGGGTGGTACTCGGGCCTCATCTCGACTGACACCTGCGCGAACATCCCCAAACATCGGCATGTGCGTTCGCGCCCGGGCAGCTCCGTTCCGAACGCGAACGCGTCATTTGGTGGTCGATTGAAATTCATTACCTCTACATTCGACATTGCAGGATATCCTGCACAAACCTGCGTAATTAATCTTCATACACAAGCCACTTCATGCCCAGTTGTGCGGCATGAGGATTCGTCTGAAGCAGCTGCCGGGTCTGCTTCTGGCGCTGGGCGTAGCCTTGGCAGCATGGCCTACAGACGCCCAGAGCACCCTCATTCGATTAAAGACGGGCCAAATTGCAGCCCATGGGCCTAGTTCTCGGTGCGTCGCATGCACAGGACCCCCCTCAGGCCATCATAGATCCACGAATGCGCCTGCTATACTGCCCACACGCCCGTTGTACCACAGAGACCAAGTGCACCGCCTCCTCCTGACCAATTCGGGGCCTCAGTCGCTGTCTCCTCATTGGGGCCCCCTCAGTCAGAAGCAGCAGTGGCTGGTCACTCCCCAACAAGGAGAATCCCTCACGAGTGCAGCTGGTGCTGTGGAGGCAGCTGGGGGTGTGATCCTGGGACATGTTCCCGACAACACCCTGCTAGTCATGGGTCCTCCTGGTTTGGAGCAGGCCCTTTGCGCCCGCTCCAGAATTTTCCTTGTGAGTGGAGTGCATGGGTGTTGGGGAGGCTGTCTTGCAGGTTTTGGCTGAAGCAAATGTGCTTGGCATTCCCCTGCAAGCCAGCCCTCTCCAATCACAGCCAATCCCTCGGCATGCCTTGAAACTTCTGCATGCAACGCCCTGTGAACACTCTCCTTCCGTACCTCCCCGGGCCCGCAGCTCCCATATGAACCCCAGCACAAGCTGAGTCCCGAGTGGGCCCCCATCCTTCGGACCCTGGAGGCCGCCGCGCAGGCAAGCCCGGCGCAGCAGCAGAGCGTCCTGTCGTCGCTGCCGATGGCCACCAGCGGCGCTGGCCCTGCCCTGCGGCTGCTCATCACCGCCATATTCCCTCCTCGGCCGGCTGGAGGGGCAGGCGCCGCGGCGCCCGACCCAGGGCGGGCAGCGGTGGCCGACTGGGCTGCCCCATTGCGGACCGCCTTTGGGGGTGGAGTGGATGTCGTGAGGGGTGGCAGCGGGGCGGCGGTGGTGTTGTGCCCACCCTTCCTCCTGCAGGCAAGTGGAAGATTGGAGAGGAAGGGATGGACTCCTAGCCATGCAGCTGCACACATCCAGAAGCCCTAGGGCTTGCATGGATCTGGGCCTGCGTGTTAGAATTCAGGTCCTTGTGCAGGCAGCTGGTGCCCTGTGTCAATACCCTGTCTGCACAACGGTTGATGCACAGCTTTGCTTCCCCCCTTTGCTGCTGCAGGATGTTCTGACATGGCTGGCAGCCCAGCCCATGGTCCACTGGATTTCGCCCCTGCCCAGGATGCAGCTGCAGAACAACCAGGCCTCGGCCATCACCCAGGCGGGGACAGGTGCGCTTTCTACGAGCCAGAATTCGTTTGATAACCCAGAGGTCCACCCCATCTGGGCGGCGGGCATCACTGGCACGGGTCAGGTCATCGGCGGGGGAGACTCGGGAGTAGGTGAGGCGGCACCATGGGATGTGGGCAAGGAGGGGGGCCCTGTCTACAGCCGCCTTACTCAGAAAGATGTTGGCGGCTGTCTGGGTGTCCAGCGAGAGAGTGTGATGGCAGATGCAGGTCAGTGATCCACCGAACTAGTCCGCGCCTGCGCAGAGCCTCGCCACCCTCCACCTGAGCCACCCTCCACATCCCATATTCTCTGCGCAGATCGCTTCCACTGCTTCTTCTACGACCCATCGGTGGATTGGGATGCACAGGTCACGACCCAGGGTGGAGTGCAAGTGTTCGAGAGCGAGACGCATCGCAAGATCCGGTGAGCAGCTGGCGCATCGGTCCCTAGGGCTGCCTGCAAGGCGCTGACGCCGCGAGCTTTACCTGAGAGGGCGTTCTGTGTTGTGTGCATTGGACTGCGCGTCCTGATTGAGTAGTCAGTTCGCAATGTTTCCACCGGCATGCCCAAAGCTGAGACCCTGCCCGGCCCCGCAGGTATTATCGAGCCTTTGGCGACTTTGCGGATGCCAATGGGCATGGTACGCATGTGATGGGGACGCTGCTGGGCTCCACGACTGGCGCCAATCTCAGCAGGAGCACCGATGCTGCCTACATCGGCATGGCCCCCGACGCCAAGTTGGCCTTCATAGGTGGGCCAGGCTGTGGGTGAAGGGTCCATGAGGGACTGCAAGAACAAGGTACTGCCATTGAAGCTTGTTTGGCGATTGTCGCACCGTGGCACTCAGTACACAGTTCCTTATCCCACAGATTTGGCAGAGGGCAGCCAGAGCATCTACACGCCAGCCGACATTCAGAACCAGTACTTTGCGTACACCACTGCAGTGGTGGGTGGGCGGGCATGAGCTATGAGAACTTGGCTTTGGTGGGGCCGATGGTAGAGCGCTGTACGCCCTTGCGAGCACACGCCGTCTAGGGCATACATCGCGGACCCTCGACTGTGGATGACCCATTGCTGGCATTGGAGGACACACGCTGCATGCACACATGCTCTGCGTGCCACTCCCCAAGCACTCACGCACAGTGATCGTCGCCTCCTCAATTGCACAGGGCGCAATGCTGCACTCCGATTCCTGGGGTGTCAGCGCCATCAGCTACGACTACCTGGCCTCCCAGATTGACTGGTACCACTGGGACAACCCCGACTTCCTGGCCATGTTTGCCGCCGGGAACGATGGCGAGTCCACCACCGCCGGCAACCCCATCGGTGAGCCACGGCGGTGCCGGCTGCTCGGTCGCTGACTTTGTGGGAGTGTCCCTGGCACCCCTGCTGTACATGCAGCGCCTGCACACCCACCCTCCCCCCCTCCCTCCCGCAGGCGAGATGACGGTGACCAGCCCCGCCACGGCCAAGAACCTGATTGCGGTGGGGGCTACACAGACCACGGGGCAGGGCCTGGGCAGCGTGGGGTCCCAGTATGTGGTTTACGAGGCCACCGTGAAGCGCGGCGACCTGAACCTCCTGGCCTTCAAAGTCCTGCAGGTCGGTGCGGGGGAGCATGTTTCAGGGATGGCGAGCGGGGATGCGAGCAGCCTGGTTGGCGGGGCTGGGGCGCGCAAGCAGCAGCAGCGCAAGCAGCAGGAGGGTCGGCACCCTGTCTGCAGACTAGCACACCACCCAAGCCGTGCTGCAGGGCTCGTTCGGCGACGGGCTGAGCACGCTGGGCACCACGAGCTACCCCTTGGTGGCTGCTGACCCGCTGCTGGCCTGCGAAGCCATGGTGAATGCAACAGCCGTGGCGAGGGCCATCGTTCTCGTGGAACGAGGTGTGAGGCAGGGACGAGGGTGGGTGGTGGGATCCTGGAGAATTGAAAAGGGGAGGCTGTTTGGCGTCGTCAGCTTGACTCGGCCAAGTCTGTCCTCCCGTCTGCTCTGCAACCTCCAATGGCCTCAGCCCAGTGCCCTGTTCACTCCGCACCATGCAGGCACCTGCGCCCTGGCCTCCAAGGTGCAAAACGCGCAGACGGCCGGGGCCGCAGCAGCGCTCATATTCGACAACGTCCTGGGCGGCTACTTTGTTTCGGCCGCCAATGGCTCGCTCGCCAACAGTGAGTGTTTGGGAAAGGGAGTGTGGGTGAGGAGGGGCCCACCAAGGGGTGGATTGCTGTATGGCACAAGCGTGTTGTCCTACAGGGTCCATAGGGAGCCGGCGATGAAGGCGGAGGTGGTCCACATGTGTCCCTTCCCAGACTCTCTATCCATTTCATGAACCTTCAACTCCATTCATGCGCAGGCGTCACCCTGCCCAACATGTCCATCACGCGGCGCCTGGGTCAAACCCTGCTGGCCTCCTTCTCCTCCGGGCTGGCACTCACCATCACCCTCTCCCCCGCGTCAGCCCCGGCCAACGCCTTTGAGAACCTGGCCTCGTACTCTTCCCAAGGTGGGCCGAGAGAGCGTCCCTGCGCACGCTCGTGCCCAGTGACTGCCATGGCACCCGCTGAGCTTTCTGGGAGTGTGGTAATTCATCTGAGGGCGGCAGGTTTGCCGTTCCATCCTGAGAACCCACCCTCTTCACCCACACCCTAACACACAGGTCCGACTCCGGATGGCAGGGTCAAGCCGGACCTGGTGGCGCCCGGCTCCCTGTTCTCAGCCAAGTCCTCGACCTCGGGAACGGAGACCTGCGAGCTCCAGGGCCTCGTGGTGAGTGAGAGTGGGGTGTTGGTTTCGCCGTGTTGCGGCAAGGGATACATTCAGGCAGCCCTGAGCGGCATGAGGCGCCGACCGCTCCATGGATCCCCTCCAGCTACTCAGAGCTTCCTTCTTATACCGTTAGGGCACTTCGATGGCGACCCCGGTGGTGGCTGGCTCGGCGGCCCTGGTGCGGCAGTATTTCATGGACGGCTGGTACCCCTTCGGGGTCAAGAACGCCAGCGCGGGCTTCACCCCCTCTGGCTCACTCACCAAGGCCACACTGATCTCAGGGGCGGCATCCATGACTGGTTTTGAGGCTCTGACGGGCCTCCCCATCGACCCGCCCCCCTCCTTCCGACAGGGTTTTGGGCGTGTGCTCCTTGGTGAGCAGGGCTTGTCAGCTTTGGTGTGAGGGTGCCCGAGTGCAGGCGGAGGTATTGGGAGGCGGGCACCCACACATGTGTTGTTTGCTGGCTGGGATGGGGAAGGTCTGCCCCACGCGGAACATGGGCGTGGGATGACATCGTTCTTCAAACGTAGCCTGCCCAAGCCCAGCGATCAGTGGGCAGGCACTGGATGTGTGCACATGCACTAGGAAGGCTGACTCTCACTCACTGCACCGCACGCAGACACGACGCTGCCCCTGCCGAACTCAGAACGCAACTTCACGCTGCAAGTGGTGGACAGGGTGGAGGTTGCCACCGGCGACACCCACCGCTACTGCGTGCGTTCTACGGGGGGCCCGCTCACCGTGACCCTGGTGTGTGGAGTAGGAAGGGGGGGAGTGTGTTCATCAAGCATGTGACGAGAGCCACTGGTGCCCTGTCGCGAGCCCACTCAATTCGTGCATGGCCAGCCAAGGACCCGATTGGCTGCCTGCCTCACCCGGTGGCAGGCCTAGCTGAGATACCTTCCCCACCCTTCTCCCCTCCATCTCCACAACCCCTGAAGGTCTGGACGGACTACCCTGCCCTGCCCTCGGTGTCCAAGGTCCTGGTGAATGACCTGGACCTCACAGTGCGTGCCTCGGGCCTGGGTGGCATCCCGCTGCTGGGCAACGGCGGGTCCATCGCCAACGAGACGCAGCCGGACCGGGAGAACAACGTGGAGCAGGTTAGCATGTCCTTCCTGCCCGTGGGGCCCGTCGCCATCCAGGTCGACGCCCACTTTGTCCACGCCTCGGCGGGCCGCCAGCCCTACGCGCTCGCCGTGAATGGGGCCTTTGCCGGGACGCTGGTCGTGCCGGGGGACGGCGAGCAGGGCCCAGCCTGCACCATCGTGGTCCCCAGTGAGTCTGAGATGGCGGAGGAGCGTCGGGAGGCTGATTCGCTGAGAGCGTGCAGACCTGACAAGGAGGAACACACGTGGCTGGCGAAGCAGCGGGGGATGCGCGTCGCTTGCCCACCGCCCATCGTCATCCCCAACCATGTTCCTCAACCACCTTTTCTTGCAGGCATCACCAAAGGCCCGTCTGGCCCCACAAACGCCACGCCCATCGTGTTTGAGTTTGCTGCTGCCGGCAACGCAGCGTACGGCGGCCTGGCGTGGGAGTGTCTTCTGGCCGACGGCAACGGCGCCGTCGGATCCACCGGGACCCAGGACTGGAAGGTGCGGGCGCGGGGGGCAGGCATGGGGCCGAGCGAGGGCAGGTGGCTGGAGTATTCTGTTAGACACGAGCGCCTGCGCAATGGGTGCTACAGCTTGGCATCCTCTTGCTGACTGAGGGTCGACAGCACTGGGAACCCACTCCTCTGGGATATCAGAGCTGTGCGTCGCATCAAGTATGGCGCACGGCATCTCAGAACGGGGCGCGCTCCACCTTCAAACCTCGATCCGCAGGCCTGCTCCTCCCCGGCCTCCTTTGCGGGCCTGCCGGACGGGACGTACGAGTTCTCTGTGCGGGCGCAGGGGGAAACCACGCAGGCAAACCAAACCTTTGTGCTGGTGAGTGACCCCTGTTGCTGGGGCGTCGGGCTCTCGTGGCTCAGAGCACCACCACCCCGACACAGCTCCATGTGTGCACCAAAGGGAGCACCTTGCTTGCCTGGCGCGGCAGCCGAGCTCTGCATAGTTGTGCTCGATCCAGTCTTTAGGATGCCCTGGCTCTCTGCATGCTCAAGTGCTCCGGCCCCTCCTCTCCACCTGCTCTACAGGACACAATGCCCCCGGTGCTGGCCTTCAACGGAGGGACCCCCGCCTCTGGGTCGACCTCCGACGCCCCCATGGTCAACGTCAGCTTCGCCGGCCAGGACCCCCTGCCCGTGAACTACACCTGCGCCCTGGCCGTGGAGGACGCTGCGTTCATGCAGGGCCCGGTCTTCGCAGGGGCCATCGCGCCTGCCATCTGGCCCCTGCAGTCTCGGGCCGCTTGTGAGAGTCCGGCCATATTCCACTGGCTGCTGCCGGGCGCCTGGAGCCTGTCCGTTGTCGCCGAGGATGCTGCTGGGAACCAGGTGAGGGGGACTGGGGTGGGGAGCAGGGAGGCAAAGTAAAGAATCAGGGCCATGGTATAAACATTAAGCGGTCACGGCTCGGGTGTCCCCAACTGCCTGCAAGCTTGCAAATGAATCCCCCAGGCCAATCCCAATTCACCAACACTGCCCTGCCTCCCATGAGCAGGCAAGCCCTGCTGTGTACAGCTGGGCGGTCGCTTTCTCTGCTGGCCAGCAGTACGCGCGTCTGACCAGGTGGGCTCAAACCGGCGTGGGGAGGCCTGGAGCTGGGATGGGGTGCATTTCGGATGTGCCAGCGTCGCAACAGATTGAGTTCCGCGCCGCACCTGGGGCACCTGTGCTTCCTGGTGCCAATCCATTGAGAATGGCATTTCCTACAACACCCCCCCGCCCCCCATGACGTCCCTGCAGCGGCCCTTTTGGTCTCTCCAGACTACTGGAGAGTGCGAGCTTCGAGTTTGGCGTGTTTGCGGTGGAGTCCAGTGGCGCGTCGCTCACCCAGATGGCGCAGCCATCGACGAGGTGCTGGCTGGCGGGGCCGGGGACGAGCGGCAGCAGCCCCTCCTGGACACCCTGCACCTCCCCGCACATCTACGCCAACTTGAGCGAGGGCGCCTACACGTGAGCTGGAGCTGGGGATGTGGAGATTGTGTGGGGAGAGGGCGAGGAAAGCCAGATGCATGGATGCTGATGCAATGCAGCTTGCGTGCCAGGTCCCCAAGCGTGGTGCACCTCGGAGTGCCAGCGGCAAAGATGGGCTGATCTTGAACCCATCCACATCCCCGCGCAGGTTCTACGTCCAGCCGACAGAGGCGGCCACTCTGTCGCTCATGGGGGCCGGGGCTGTGCCCATGGGCGGCGTGACCGCACTCTCTGCATTTGCACTTGATGGGACTCCCCCTGTGGCGAACCTCACCGCCAGCCCAGCTGCCATCCTGGCATCCAACTCCACCGTGGCAAACTTCACGTCCAGCGAGGCGGGGTCGACGTTCACCTGCACGTACGTTTGGAGAGGGGGGCCAGGCAGGGATTCCCCGCACATGTTTGGATCTGAATGGAGTGTGGGCGCAGATTCCTACTCATGAGTGCCCCCGAATCTCGGAATGGGGAGCAGCCATCCATGGCGATCAGGGTCTGGCTCTGCAGACTTGCTGAGTCTAATTGACAATGCGAGCAGAAAGCAGGGGGCACAGAATCCTTCCCCTTACACAGTGCCTGAGCATATCAGCCTCCCACCACGGCCCCCCTGTACAGACTGACTGCGCCAGACGGAAGCAGCAGGACCAGCAACTGCAACTCGCCCTATGTGATGACTGGGCTGGAGGATGGAAAGTTCGAGCTGGCGGTCACCCCCACCGATGTGGTGAGGTTTGTGGCCGGGCAGGAATGTGAGATCCCATGGGGTTCATACACCATGCATGCCCTTGGGCAAGTCGGACTGACAGTGCGCTCGCCGCACCTGCCTGAGCGCTTGCCAGCCCTCTGACCCGCACTCGTGCGGCCTGCTCCCTCGTCCGCAGGTCGGCAATGTGGGGAGCCAGGTGCGCACCTCCTTCCTCGTCGACACCACCCCTCCCACCCTGTCGGACGTCAGCTTCCCTGTGGCCACCAGGCAGACCCAGTTCGCCGTCTCCTTCAAAGCATCCGATGGCAACGGGTGGGTGGGATAGACTTGGAATGTGTGACAAGATCGTCAAGTATGAAGTAGCCTGCTGCACCACCTCCATATTCTGAGTGGCTATCCAGCATCGCCTCGGCACTCTCCACCCGCGCCCTTCTGCTCAAAAACCTGTCGCAGGAGTGGGATTGCATACACGCAGTGCCGCCTGCAGGCTGCCACCCTGGTTTCGGGGTCGGCCACTCAGATGGACGCTGCGTGGACAAACTGCACGAGCCCACAGACCTACACTGGCCTGGAGGTGAGGCTGCAGGATTGTTTTCTTGTGTTACCCCTTGGGAAGGGTGTACTCCCCTCTCCAGGTGCCCGGCTTGCCTGTGAGGCCGGCAGACGACCCCTGCCTTGGACACCAGCCTGCTCAGGCCTACCCCTCACTCCTCACCCACATTGCAGGAGGGTCACTGGCTGCTGAACATTCAGGCCATCGACAAGGCTGGCAACGTTGCGACCCTAGGAGACCAGGACGTCTGGATCGACCAGACCCCCCCCAGCATCTCCGTCACGAGCGGCCCCGCCAGGTGAGCAGAGGTTGGTGCACTCGAGGAATCGGTCGCAGGATGTGCCTGGCTACTCTTCTCGGATGTCATTTCCTCATGGTGGTCCCCTGTCACAAACAACACACGCACAGCTTTGCCTCGGTAGAGGGCGCCCTGTCGTTCTCCTTCTCGGAGACCGCCGGCGCCGGCGCGCTGGCCCCAATCGCGACCTTCCAGCTGCGCCTGGCCCCGATCTCCCGCGACCTTTTTGACTCGCTGCGCAATGGCAGCACCTCGGAGGGCACCAGCTCCACGTTGGGCACGCTGCTGGGCGGCGCCGGGCGGCGCCTGCTGGAAGATGATGCCGAGACCGTGCAGGCCGGCGACGCGCTGGCGAGCTGGACCAACTGCTCCGCCAGCTGCAGCGTGGAGGGTTTGGCTTCGGGCACCTACACCCACTCTGCCCGCGGCATTGACCTGGCCGGGAACGTGGGCAACGCCACGGCCGCGGTGCCCTTTACCTACACCCAGCCTCCGGGGCCGGGGTTCCCGGTGTGGGCCATCGCCGTGGCGGCGGGGGGTGGCGCCCTGCTCTTGATCATTTTGGTGCGCCGGCTGGTTGTACTCTCGGTGTGTTTGTTTGGGGAGCGGGTTTGGGAGGTGGGGAGGAGGCAAGGGTCCTGCATGAACGCAATGCCCCTCCTCCTGCACTGTTTGGGGAAAGGATGGTGGCAAAGAACGGCCGCAAGCCGCTCTTGGACCACACAATGTCAGACCTGGCTCAGGCCGAGGCTCAAGGTAGAATGTGATCGTGGTTCCTGCCATGACTCATCTATGTCACCCTCCCTGCCCCCCAGGCACTGCTGGGCTGCATGTGCTGGAGGCGGCGCAACAGCAGGAAAGCGGCTGCCACCCCCGCCGGTGCCAGCCTGGGCGCCCACCCGCACGCGCCGGCGGGGTACGCCACCCAGCCAGCCTGGCCAGGACCCCATCCCAGCGGCCAGGCGTACCAGTATCCCCCGCAGGGGCAGACGTACATCTACTCCTCGGGCAGGATGCACGACGAGAGGGCGAGGGAGGAGCAAGAGCTGGCACTGGCGCTGGCTGCCTCCAAGCAGGAGGCTGAGCTGGCAGCGCAGCGTGCGCAGCAGGCGCCCGCGTGGGGGCGGCCCGTGGGCGCGCTCCCCGACCCAGCCCCGCCGATTGCTCCACGCCGGGCGTACCCGGTGAGAGGGAGTGCGTAGTGCAGCGAGAGCATGGGGCATGCAGTGAGCGGCGTGCCAGAAATCTGGCTAGCTGGCCCAGGATGCACACCGCCAGCCTGGAACCCATGTCATTTTCCGTCCCCCCCATCATTCCACAGGCGACCGCACCGCATCCGCAGGATGAGGAGGATGCGCAGCTGCGTGCGGCCATTGCTGAGTCACTGCGTTTGCAGCAGCAGACGCAGCAGTGGAACCCTTGGAGAGGCTGACCACGCAGCGTGTGCCTCGTCCAGTGTCTGCCCCGGCGTCGGTGTCTGTGCCCTTGCCTGTTGCCCCATTCTTTATCACAGATGCTGGCCCCTAGCTCATGCATACCTTCTGGACAGGATGACCATGGACACGCAGGGACAGGGCAGGGCAGCAATACGGGAGTAGGCATGACTGCTAGCTCATTTCCTGTGCATGCCTAGCCGACAGCACAGCGCATACTTGTGGTGCAGAGCAGGCTCATGCAGAGGAGCATAGTGTGGTAGGGGCTCCATGCTTCAGGCGCAGGATGAGAACCAGGCCTCACTCCTCGTCGCTGTCCTCCTCGCTGGACTCGGCCTGCTCCAGCCACTCCACAAAGGGCCTGGAGGCGGCGCGTACGGCAGAGGCAGCGGAGGCAGGGACCTCCAGGACACTGGCGGCGTCGGCGCGCTTGTACCTGCCGTGGCAGCAAGGGGGGATGAGTTTGCTGCTATGGGGAGGGCCGAGGAGGTAGGCAGCACGCAGGAGAAAAGGATTCAACTCGAGCACGTAGCCACTTGGACGAGACTCACAACTACCCTCTGCCACATGTGACGTCCATTCTCTTCTCCCATTCACCAAGAGAGCCTGCTCCCCTGTTCCTAGCACTCACCAGGCCAAGATGAGATCCTCCTCCACCAGGTCGAGGTCGTAGAGGGCCTTGATGACCAGGGGCGCCTCCCTCACGCGGGCAGGCAGGGTGACACCGACCAGCTTCTCCACGGCTACCAGCTGCCCCAGCTGCCCGGCAGCATCCTGCACAGAAGGGGGTACAGAAACAGCGCTGTGAGCAGCGAGACAGGGCTGCCCGCCTGTCCTTTGCATGCACAGGGACACTCTTCAAGGGCCATGGCAGGGCCGCCCAAACAAAGCGTGCACCAGCCAGCAGGACACCTCAGCCACACAGACCCAGGGGCGAGGACATGCCTCCTTGGATAACCAAGAGGGCATGCTTGCCGTGCCACCGTGGCTTCTCACAACCCCATCCCGAGCTCCGGGCGCCGTCCCTGCTCAACGCCCCACCTTGGAGAAGGGTGCCAGATACGCCTTGCGGCCCTCCACCTCGGCGGACAGCTTGGCGCCAGCCTCCACGTCGCCAAAGAGGACCTGGTAGAGCGCGGAGGCCCGGGCCGCAGGCCCGCCCGGCAGCTCCAGGCTGCGCAGCGTGGCCGCCAGCTCGGCGGGCGCCGTCCCGGAGGCCAGCAGCTGACGCAGCGTGGACATCGCGGCGACCTCGGGGCTGGCCAGAGCCAGCTTTGCGGCGGCCTCCTCCGCCAGCCTGGCATCCTCCTCAGCCTGCAGTGGAGTTGGGCACAACGGTGAGAGAGGAGATGCGAGCCTTGCCATGAGCCAGCGGCGGCACGCTCAGCGCGCTATGTCATGGCACTCCAGCAGGCATAGGAGGGCAGGCGACACTGCTGCACCCACGCAGGCTGCAAAAGAGCACCTTTTTGGCAGCTGCAGCGTCAGCCTCGGCCTGGGCGGCGGCTGCAGCTGCGGCCTCCTCCTCCGCCGCCTTCTTGGCGGCCTCCTCCGCCTTCTTGGCGGCCGCCATCTCCGCCTCCAGGTTTCCCTGTGAGGAGGGCAGACCCAGTGTCAAGAGCACTGCATTGCAACGTTTCCAAACAAATAAGCACCAATGTGCTCGAAGCACACATTGCTAAACAAGTGAGCCCTACCCACCCCCACCTGAGTGACCATGGCTGCGGTGGCACCGGAAAGCTGCTCGGCAGCGCGCCGAGCCATGGCGGCCTCAGAGGTGTCGGTCATCCACACGACCTCATCCTCATCCTCATCCTCATCCTCGTCATCGCCGTCCCCAGACCCTGCCTCATCCTGAGCATTAAGAATGGAGGTTAGAGGAGTCTCAGGCGGTGTTGCAACTCATCCCAATATGGCCAGCAGTGGGCCCAGACCCCATAATGTCACAAATTTACAGGAGTCAGCCATCGAAACCCAGCATGCCTTCCCCATCCCACTCCCTCATCCTCCCGCGGTGGTATCGTGGCGGAAGTGGTGACCCAACCCTCACCTCAGGCCCGTCTCCATTTGCGCTGGCATCTGCCTCCTCCTTCTTGGACCTGGACACAGGAGGGCGCATGGAGCGGATAAGCAAGGACTGCACCAGAGCCTGGACGGCATGTCATCACAGACAACCCAAGGCTTGTAGCAATGCAGGCCCGGGCCCGGCAAGGAAGCCCCAGACCCCTGACAGACAGTCCGACATTGTCATCCTTTTCCGCCCACCCACTACTTACTTGCTACTCTTCTTCTTCTTCTTTTTCTTGTCCTCCTTCTCGGGCTCAGCAACCTCCAGGCCCTTCATCCGCTCCTTCTCCAGTTTCTTGACCCTGGCAACCAAGCATTAGGACAGGGTCCACGGCGTCAGCGCAGCACACGTGAAAGTTGCTCCTCCTGCCCGTATTTCTGCCTCTCACACCTGGCCCAATCCCTCCCCCTCCTACTTCGCCCTTTCCGCACCCCTCTCACAAACCAAGCTCGCGCTCACTTCTTCTCGGCCTTGCTCAGCTTGTTGTCGGGCGGGTTCTTCAGGATGAAGGTGTTCAACTTCAGCCGAGCATCTACCTCCGACACGAAGCCGCAGGCCTGCAAGATGAGGCAAGGCGGCCGGGCCTGAGGCTGCAGCAACGCACTGACCATTACAATGCTGGCTCAACATGGTCAGGGCTGATACGACAACTTCACACAGCTGCCTCCTCTCCCCCCTCACCTTGCACTTCAAAAAGATGTTCTCCCGCTTGATCTTCACAACAGTCTCTGGGTTGCCACAGGAGTAGCACTGCACGTACCTGCAGATGGAGGAGGGGAGAGGGCGAGGCATTAGGTGCGGAGTAGCTCGCGATGTCAAAGAGCTGGCACAGCATGGTTGGAATACCTCCCAGGGCCATGCCTCCAGAACACCGGAAGAATATCGTTCAAACCGGCCAACACATCAGTGGCTTACTTTTTGATGAAGGACTCGAGCAGCTCCGACAGGCGGCTAGCGTCGTGCGCCCCGTTCACGATGCTGGTGCCAGATGCCTTCTCGAACTTGGTCTGAGCTCCCAGCTCACACCCAAAGAATTTGAGGGTATCTGTGGGATGAGTGGGGTTGTGTGCAGCTCGGCAAGGCCCGGGTCTGGCACTGCCCATGGACGGCGTCGCGACCCACATAGGAGCGCTCGGCCGTGACACCAATACTCCAGGATCATGTGTCCCATCGTACATTCAGGAGGGCGCTCGAGGGCCTTGGCAATGTCAACATTGTTCTCCACATTGGTTTTGATGCCATTTCCTCGGCCTTCAATCTGTGTGGAGGGGAGAGGCTGGCCGTGAATGCTGTCCCCAATGCTCCGACTCCCATGCAGTTCTACTGATACTACGCTCGTACTCCAGGACGCACTCTGGCCTTCAGCTTGGGCATTTTGTAGCGGTAGAACGCATCCCCCGCGTTCTCCCCTCCGATGTTGATAGACGCCATTGTGTATGTTCACACTCTGTGGAGCCCGCGCGGCATATACCGGTCCCTTCAGAACCAGTTCTCAATCGAGTTCTATGTTCACGGCAGGTGCCTCGCGGCATAAGCAGTCCCACGGCCACCCGGTGGAGGACTGGAGGCGCTCGGGGCTGGGACGAGGGTGAGCGATTGCCCGTTGACTGCTTCCCAGACCTGGATAGTCTTGGGCTGCCGCTTGAAATGTGTGGGAATGCACCGTGCATGGCCGAGGCTCCTGCATTGAGGGCTCCATGGGGGTGCGGCCGGGATCGAAGTCGACGTGGGCGTGTTATCCAAATTCGTGCATGCGTGGAGGGGCAGGGACCCCACCCCCCTGCCGAGTCCCTCCTTTCAAACTTTACGCCCCACATTCAGTCGTGCGATCCCAGGGTGCCAAAGACCTCGGCATCGATGGCTTCATCCCATCCCTGCCTGCTGGCGCAACAAGAGCTCTTGCTTCAGGTTTACACATGAGTGGGAGAGCCGCAGGGATGCAATTGTCAGGCCCTCCTGTATCCATAGTAGAGCCAGAGCGCCGTTCGTGTGGGGTTGAACCTCCCCAGTATGGCAAGGGGGAGTGCCACAGCCATTGCACCCACGGGCAGGAGCAGGAGCTGGGAGGAGGGGGGGATGGGAGGGAGTTGGGCCCAGCACACTGGCAGTTGAGGGAAGAACTTTGCTCCCCAAAGACATTGCAAGGGAGGGGTGCCGCACCATAAGCCTATATTACTGAAGCAGAGTCTCATTGCCACAATGATTCAGGCCAGCAAGGCCTTTCCCAATGAGCTCAGGGATCCCCCACTCCACGCACCACGGTGTGATTGAGCCCTGGCAGGACGCTGTAGCCCAGGAAGGTGATGTACAGGTAGGAGGAGGCGCCTGCGACGTACAGCGTGCACGATACCGCGGCCGCCAGGTAGGACTGGGAGACCAGGAGCGGCGAGAGCACCAGCTGCAGGACTGCATGGGGCGGGGGGTGCAGTGCTGAGCGGTGGAGTACCACTTCAAGGGATGCACCCGGGCACAATGCCTGTTCTTCCCCAGCCGCGTGCATGGCAATCAGGGTGGGGGCAGACGTCCAGGCTTCCCCGCCCCACCCTGGCACTTGGCACGCCAACCCACCGTTCACTATCAGCAGCCACGGGAGCAAGGAGTTGCAGTGCACATCAAATGCGTACATCCTGCGGCATGAATGGCGGAGGCGGAAGCTGTGGAGTGGCAAGCGACTCGGCACATAAGGAGTCAGGGTACCTCACAGCTGCCTTGCAAGGTCCCCACCCCACTGTACTCACAGCTCCATGCGCTGCTCGATGGCGTGCTCCTGGCCCGATGGGGAGTACAGGAAGCGCGTCGCCAGCAGCCAGCCGCCGAGGGATATCAGTGCTCCCACGATGAGGAAGTCCCTGATCACCGCAGCCAGGATGATCAGCAGGGAGCCGCCTAACCCTGGCCCAAACCTTTGGCAGAGTCATAGGGTTGCGGAGAGGAGGACTTGCATCACAGGCAAGCACCCTTAAACCTGCTGATACCCCCACTCTGCCTTGCTGACCACAAAGTGTGCGCGAGGCAGGCACATGCAAGGATGCTGCTGCCATCCACAGTCTGCATGCCATCCACTGGGCCTCACGCTATGCAATAGGCTGCTGTGATCAGTGCGATGATGCCGGCGAGGAGGACCACAAAGGCAGGGTCGTCTCTCGCCCAGTGGTCTTTTGTTTGCCGGTGGTACGAGGTGTGTCGGTACCTGTAAGGGGGCATGGGCCTGATTATCAGGGACGTCCTTACCATCCAGCTCTGGGACTGTCTCACACGTGAGGCTTTGCAGTGTGCTGAGCCAGCCCAGTGGCATGAGCATTGCAGGCACAGCCCTCTGCCCTGAACAGCCCCACCTTCCCTAGCACCCATCACAGGAGCCAGCTACCCACGCACGCTGTCTTGGGAGAGATCAGGAGCTGCAGCATCGTCCATCCAGTGTACCTGTTGGGGAATTTGAAGGATTTATCAGCAGCTGGAGCCTATCACTGGCGGGTGCCCCACGGACATGCATGCAGCAACTCACTGGAAGTCCATTTGCGAAGGTTTGAAGAACCTCCTTAGGTATATCCATATGTATTGGGAGACCCTGCTGCGCCCGAGGCCTCCGCGTCGGCCGGCGGGTCCGGGTACAGTGGTGGGCAACATTTTTATTTGGGAGGGCCTGCAAGGCCCCGATGGCGTAGCAGGGGGCTGTTCGGGTGCGTCTGTCTATCTCAACAGGGTACTGGTGGGTTAATTATGGTTACTATCCTCTTGAATGGAGGTTGATGCGAACAAGGACAAAGTCTTTCGCAGTCTTCAGAGGCGATCCCCGCAGGACAGATGCCGTGAGCCTCGGTGGCGAGGTGGACTCGATAACAAACAAAGTCGAAGATCTCGAGGTTGACGGTGATCAGACCGGGAGCTCGTTGTCCTGGCCGGTGCGCCCGATCAACGAAGGCTGTTCTGCGGAGCGTGCTGGGCCGAGTCAGGGATTAAGGCAATGCGAATTGCCAGTAGAGATCGACGATCATGGTGTCGTCTTCGCGATGACACGGGTGATCCACAGGGATATGGCGCTGATTACCACCTGAGAGGCGTACAGCTGCGCATAGGATGCTGCATTCTACGAGTTGGAGTTGAAGGGTGCACTGCGGTGCCTCCCGGCGCCTGACAGCGGCCATGCTTGTGGGGAGCCTGGACTGCTTCCCAGACTTGGAGCTTCTGGATCCAACAGTCGACATCCATGCCATGTTCCTTCACTACAATAAACTATATTTTGAAGACAGCCTGGGGGCCTGCTCTGTAGAGTGGAGCTCGAAACGCATGACGTCATGCGGGGGTGTATGCGAGTTCCGTGGTGGCGGGTGCACCATCAAGCTCTCTGAGCCTCTGCTCAAGGTGAGCTGCACAGGGAGTCTATGTGGAGAGGTTCATGGTGGAAAATTGACGGTGCTGTGCTGAAGATGTCGGGCCTGCTACATTTGTGGTGGCGGTGGCACCGGCCTGGGCCTTGCTCTGGAGCTGAGGCCCTAGTGCGGTGAGCTCACATTCTGCGGCACTCCAAGGACATCCCTTTCCTTGCGCGACACAGTTCCGGCCAGTGGCTGACATAAAAGCAGTCCTGCTGCACGAAATGATACATGCACACAATTTCCTTGTGGGATCCAAGGATGATGGCAGGGATGGTGAGCAGGCCTCGGTCCCTGAGGGGGGCTGATTAAGGCAGCACTCCCCCTGCTTCCTGCAGAAGACCCGCCAGGACTGGCTGCCATGCATAAATCGATGCTCTGATGGGCTTGTTCGCAGTGCCTGTGGTCCCTCCGGCAGCCTGGGAAACCCTGGAAGCCACATACACCCCTCACGTCCCACACAGGCCACGGCTCTGTGTTCCAAGCACACATGCGGCGCATCAACGCCTGTCGAGATCCTGACCCCCTGCGGCCCCTGGAGGGGTACAACATCACGGTGAGTCACCCCCGTGGGCGTCGCATGAGGCCTGAGGCGCCAGCACTCGATCCCCGTGCTCGATCCTCGCTTGGGGTCCAGCCATTGTGGCCACGATCTCCACGCCCCAGTCGATGCTCCACAGGCTCGGCCCAAGCTCATCGCTGCCTCTGCCTCACTGCCTTATTGCAGATCAGGCACAGCATGCTGGATGAGGTGGCGTACTACCAGAATCATCACTGGAGCTGCCCGCGGTGTGGGCACCTGGTGAGACGAGCCATGAACCGGCCCCCACAGGAGGCCGACTGCTGGCGCAGGGCCGGCCCGGCGTGCGCCGATCCACGGTGCGGGTGGCATGTCCATCTGCGGCACTGTGGGGGGACATACGTCAAGGTCAAGGAACCTGAGGGGTACAAGCCCAAGACGCTGAGGCGGGAGGAGGCTGGCAAGCAGCAGGCTGGTGAGGCAGTGTGTTTGTGGGTGGGAGAAGAGGCGGAAGCGCTGCAGCATCCCACGGATTACTTGCCCTGTGTGCATTTGGGGCTCTGAGCTTTCACCTCTAGATGAATCTTGCACCGAGCATGCCTGGAGATGCCCATCCTGTGCCATGGCAATCCTCCCTTGATGCTATTCTATTAGGTTTGTATCACCACGAATCACATTTGACCCTGTCACACGTGCAGGGCCCTCATCAGCAGCCCTGCCTGGGCCAACACCGGCTGCCACGCCCCCAGCTGGTCACAGACCGATCACTGGGTACTTCCAGCCGGCTCCATCCCATGGGGCCACCGCTGGATCCTCCAGTCACAGGAACCCAGACAGTATCGTATCTGCAGCATCAAACAATACGGCAGCAAATGTGCAGGGGCAACATAATCCCAGAGGTGCGTGCTGTCATCTTGAGATGGCGTCGAGGGGTGGTTAAACAAGGAGCAATGGTGGTTTGGAAGGGGTCATCACGAAGATGCGCCCTTGAGGCATGTGCGACTCAACTGTGCTATGACCGTACATGCAACAACCCGCCATGCAGGTGGCAGCAAATTGAGATCAAGAACTCCGGATGGATGTGAGGAGGACATTCACAGTAGGAGGGCAAAACTTGCTGCAGCTGCACTGGCTCGATTTCAGGCAGTCCCTCCTCGGCCCCCTTCTCGACCACCAGCCAGTCCCCACCCTGGACAGGAAACTATCATAGATTTAACTTGAAAGCGAAGCAATGTTTTTGGTGTACGAATGTACCTGTAGACTAATCGACCTGGTATATTGGAGGTGCTCCAACCAAGCGATGTTATGCGGAGGGACAGATGGTCGGTCATGGAAAACCGCCAGGAAGAACGCATGGCTGCTGATTCAAACCATGGTGCGTCATAGGCCGTTCTCTGCATTAATGCTCACCCCCCATATTACAGATTCCAGTTCTTCTCTCGCAAAATATCAACACTGTGATCTGCAAGGCGAATTGTGAACGCAGAACTCGACAAATGCTCACTGCGCAAAGGATGGCATCGGAAGTCATGGTCACTGAACTCGAGAGGTACGCCCTCCAGGGCAGCAATTCTTTTTCAAAGGACATGCATAGACATGTCATGTATAAGTTGTGTTGTTTAGATCCTTATCACCGTCCCTCGCACCCTCCACAGACCTGTCGAAGATCTGGTTGCGGCGGAGGAGGATGTCGAGGAGGTGGGGCATGGAGGTCGGACTGGTCGAGATCTAGGCAACACGATGGATTCACTGTGGAGAAATAAGGATTGCCAACTCTCCCTTTCTATCCTCAGTTCCAATCACTCGACAAGTTGGAGGCCCTCGGAGTCAATAAGGGTAACAATGGGATTCTTGTCTCATACAGACCGGGCGACGATCTCCTCGCGCGAGACATGTGAATGCCATGAAACGCCATCCTCGCCAACTACAACACAGGCGACATCAAAAAGGCCAAGGACGCGGGTTTCCACACTTGTGAATCGATGCTCATGCAGCCCAAGAAGGTGCGCATGTGCCTTGGGCGCCCTAGAATACAATGACACTCATGCTGGTGCCCTTTCAACTGATTCATAAAGGTCCCAACCCAAACCTTCCTCTTAAATAGCGGCTTGTGGAGATCAAGGGTCTATCTGAGGCCAAGATAGACAAACTGGTGGAGGCATCAAGAAACGCCTGCCCCAACTTCGGCATAATGAGCGCCAGAGATTTTGAGGGACAGGTAGGCTTCTCCGTGTAGCAGTCATCAGCGACATGCAAATGACAGCATGGCCTAGCATCCTCTCACCAAGACTTCTCACTCATACCCACCACATAACGAGCAGAGACAGCGCCAGATCGTGCACATTTCTACTGGCTGCCAAGCATTGGATGAGCTGCTCGGAGGCGGCATCGAAAGCAAAGCAGTAGGTTTTGGGGAAGGCTTCTGTGTATGTTTCTCGTGTCAATCCCTGATTGTAGACACAGCCCTTTCCGCCATCTTTGCGGTGCCCACAGATTACAGAGATCTTTGGAGAGTGGCGAACGGGCAAGACTCAGCTCTGCCACACGCTCTGCGTGACAACTCAGATGGGAGAGGGACTGGGTGAGTCAGTGATGGGGAAGGTGACATTGGGCAGCTGTTCAAAGCTTGCCATGGCGTGACTGCCCCCACCAAGCCCGGCGTTAAAGCTCTCCCACTTGCTTCACCACCCGCCTGCAGCGGCCGGACGTGTGGCGTACTTTGACACGGAAGGAACCTTCCGTCCTGAGCGCATCCGGCCCATCGCCGAGCGTTTTAACCTGGATGGCGACGCTGTGCTGAGCAATGTTCTGTATGCACGGGCCTATACCTTTGAGCAGCAGTACGGTGAGCTGTTGGGGATGATAGAGCCTGCAGATGGTGATGGGGTGAGGGACGATTGATGCGGTTTGGTGCAGGAATTTGGTGAGCCTGGTGATGCCATCAGGATCACCACCACCAACCTCAGCCTGGCACCATCTTCATGCAGACCTGCTGGAGCCGCTGGCGGCGAAGATGGCGGAGGAGCCCTTCAAGCTCCTCATCATGGATTCCATTGCGGCCAACATGCGTGTCGACTACTCAGGGCGTGAGCACTAGTTGAGGTGGCGTTGTGGCCTGCTGCCAGGATCCTGGCAGGGACTCAAATTCTAAACGCAGCACTGGCATCCCCATGCCGTCCAGTTTCTGAATCAAATCACCCTTGCTGGCACGTTCACCACAGGAGGTGAGCTGGCTGAGCGACAGCAGAAGCTGGGCTTGCTGATGAACAGGATGCGCAAGGTGGGTGGGGTGCAGGCAGTGCTCCCTGCATGGTTGCAGGATGTAGACCCATGCGTGTGTCCAGCATTACAAGCGTAGGGTGCATGTTGGAGCAGAGCATCCACAATTCCATAGCCCACGGATGACACCAATGACCTCACTGTGCCAATTTACAGCTTGCGGATGAGTTCAACATTGCCATACTCATCACCAACCAAGGTGGGGAGAAGAGTCATGCATCAAGGTGCTCAACTTCATCCTCTGACTAAAATTGGGGCATGCATGCTCAGTATGCTGCCCCAATACCGCCAGCATGGCCAAGGAACGAACCTCACCCTATGCGCAGTCATCTCTGACCCCTCTGGAGGAGCAATGTTTGTGGTTGACCCCAAGAAGGTGGGCGGTGTTGCAGAGGGATTTGTATCTCCCAATACCTACATTTCTGACTCATTGCCGCTGCTTGCCGATGCACAATCCCCCTCCTCCTATTGCTGTCATCCACTGCATTTCCCATCTCCATTTGGCAGCCCGTGGGTGGGCACGTGATGGCGCACGCCTCCACCATCCGCTTGTCTGTGCGCAAGGGCAAAGCCGAGCAGAGGTGGGCCTCCAGGGCGGGTTGACCCTGAAGGTGGTTATCATGCGGGGCGCTACCCCAGGTACTTGGGGTTTTGAGAGTCAGAAGACTGTTTGACCACACCTCTGCACCCACGAGACACAGGCTGATGAAGGTGGTGGATGCCCCGAATCTGGCCGAAGCCGAGGCTTCCTACGCCATCAGTGGCCAGGGCATCATCGACTACAAGTGCGAGGGCTGCTAGGTGCTGTACCAGTCTCGTGCACAGTGTTGGTACCTTGGTGACGGGGGCGCGTTGCACCAGTGACTCAAGGATGGCAATGGTCCGGCCCCTGATGTGGTCCCCATCTCACACTGCGCCTCCAATTGTATGCACAGGGACTGAGGGGAAGTGTGGCGACAGCAATGACAACAACACTGGAACATCAGCCGAGAAAACGAACCATGGGCTGTCCCGAAGCCGGCGCCATTCTTCGCTGGGGGCACCGTGGTGCAAAAACAAACCGCCCTCCAGACCCAGGCACGCACTTGTCACTGCCTTTATGCAGCACCACCGCCAGTCACAAGACTGAGAACGCACCCACCCGCCTGCTGTGTCCAGCCATGCTGTGCTGCTTGTATTTGCAAGTTCATGACGACACATAGGGGCTGCAGAATGCTTGGCAGCAGGCAGGGAGGGGGCACACTGCCATGGCTGCAACTGCGCATGCGCGTTCCCTACTTGATGCTGAGGGCAGCCACGCCGTCTGCCAGGGAGGAGGGGGAAAACAGGTTGGAAAGCGGGAACTCTGCCGCGCACGCCTCCCTCCAGCTCTCCGCGGCTTGAGAGACGGACAGGCGCCGGGACAGCAGCGCATGCACCGCCGCCGCGGCGTCGTGGCCGGCCCCCGCAGGGGAGGCCGCCGCCACAAACGCGGCCGCTGCCTCCTCGACGCCCGCGGGGCGGAGCAGCGCCGCCGCCTCCAGCGCCGCCGCCGCCTGGGCCAGGGAGCCGCCGGCGTGCGCGGCCCGCCACCGCTCCGCGTATGCCGCGGCGTCAGGCGCGCCCTCGCCCCGCAGTGCCGCCACGCCCTCCCGCAGCAGCTCCGCCACGTGCGCCTCGGCGCCCTCCCCCGCCGCCGGCCCTGCCGCCGCCTGCGCCTCCTGCGCCAGCGCCAGGCGCAGCACCAGCAGGTGCACGCTCGCGTCGCCGGGCCCGGCCAGACGCTCAGCACGCTGCACGGCCTGCAGCGCCAGGAGCAGGCGGCCGCGCAGAAGCTGCACCTCCGCTGCCAGCGCCTGCGTCTGCAGCCGGTCGCCCGCGCACTGCGTCAGGCGCTGCACCAAGGCCGCGGCCTCCCCCAGGGGGTCTGCCGCGGCGGCCAGCTGCACGCCGTCCGGGTCGGGGTCCCTGTGAGGCAGGAAGGGGGTGGGAGTTGAGCGCGCGGGGTGAGGCGTGGCGGCAAGGTTGTATCTTCCTGCAGGCGCTCGAGGGCCTCACGACCATCTGAGGTGCCACGCCACCGTCCCAACATCCAAGGCCACTGCACACCCACTCACTTCTTGCCCTTGGCGGCGGGCTTGCCATCCTTCTTGGCAGCCTCCTGTTCCGCTGCAGCGGCAGCGGCGGCCTCCTTGGCTCGCCGCTGCTCCTCTTTCCTGGCCTTCTGTCGCGCCCTAGATGGTCGTCATAAGGGGATTGATTGGGTGGGCACATCATGGTGGTGCAGGGTGGATGTTCACGCAGCACATCAGTGAGATGCAATACTAATCAGTGCTGGGCGGGGAGCACACGCATCTCCGGGGAACTGACCCTTCCCCCAAGCCCACCAATCTGCATCCTCACTTCTTGGCATCCTCTGCCGAAGCGCCATTGGCTGCCTCCGCCTTTGCTGCGGCCGCCTTTGTCGCAGCCTCATGGAGTTGAATGTAGGTTTCTATTGCGCCGTAGGCGCCCTGAATGAGGGATGGTGGGGGCGTACAGGGGCTGAGCGGTGTGATAAGCACCACTTGTGCTTCATAGCTCATCCTCGAACATGCCTTGAAGCACTGGGTCTCCTGCAGACATCACCCCTCCCGGCCCTGCATCCAGCCCTCCCCACCTCGGCGTAGGCTGGGTGAGAGTACAGCTCGTCCTCAAATCGGAGGAGATCCATATATGCCCGCAGCGTCTGCAGCAGTGGATAATTTGGAGGGAACGACTGGGTGTGAGAGGCGGGCATGTTCGGCTGAGGGCCGTTTGCCAGCAATCCGCTGGTCCAAGCCACGAGGGTTGTGGCCGGTGACCTTTGTTCACACCCCTGGCATGCTTCCAGATGGCACACAGGCTCGCTCCCAGAGCATGCCGGCCCCCCCGTTCCCAAGGCCCACACGTACGTGCTTGCGCAGGCAGTAGTTGTGGAAGTCAAACTGGTCGTCCCGGAACTCCTTGAAGTGGGACACCACCTTCAGGAACCGCTTCAGGGCCTGCACCGGCGAGCGTTGATGTCCTGAGGGAGCTGACGCCGGAAGCTGCGGCACATTGCTTGTGGACTGCAGGGGTCGATTGCTATTGACAATGACAGCGCCCTGCATCAATCCCGCCTCTGCCTCCCAGGTGCTCTTCCACACCTCCTCCCCCCCCCCCCCAAACAAAAAGACTCAGCACTTCACCTTTATCAGCATCCGTCCCCGTCTCACCTTGCCGTGGTCACCGCGGGCCAGGTAGGCCCGGCCCGCCGCCACCTCGTACCACGTCGCCTGCATGTCGTACAGGTTGTTGGTGTGCTCGCCCTCCCGCGTGAACAGCGCCGCGGTCTCCTCCGCGTCGGCGCAGCGTCCCGCGGCAAACATGGCGGCCACCGCCGCGCAGTTGACAAAGCGGTCAGCCAGGTCGGCGCGACGCGCTGCGTCGGCGGCCTCGGCCGCGCCCGCCAGGTTGCCGGCGCGCGCCAGAACCCCCGCCCGCACGGTCAGCGCGTCTGGCAGGCCCGGGCAGTCGGCCAGGCAGGCGTCCACCGCCGCCAGCGCCTCGCGGCTGCGCCCCGCCACGTTCGCCACCTGCGCCCGGAATAGGCGCACCCACACCAGGGGGTTGTCCTCGGGGGAGGGGGGTCCGGTGGTGGAGGGAGCCATGGCAGAGGCTGGGGATGCAGTCTCCAGCGGCGGGAGGCCCCGCCCTTCGACCAGCGATGCCTCCAGCCCCTCGAACAGCGCATCCAGGGCTGCAGACTTTGCAGGGTCGGCAAGCAGCGGCCGCAGGTCTGTGAGTGAATGGATGGGGAAAGGGGGTGGTGGGAAAATGATGGGTGGAGTTTCCATTTTGTGTAAATGCAAGCACTGACTTGCTTGGAACAGTATGTGTGCGATCTGCTGATAGCAGATGTAAGCCCCGCATTCTTCCAAGTCCTCTACCACCTCACCAGAGAAGAGAGATGGGACGCCGCGCACGAGGTATGGCCGTACATAGGCGCCGATTGCCGTCTTAAAGTCCTCCCCGGTCTGGATAGTGTGGCGGCATGGCCAGTGAGCTTGCCAGGAACTATTCAAACACAACCAACTCCCTTAAAAGGCAAACGACATACGGCCCTTGCCCAAGAGCACAACGGAACAGCCAGTCCATGGCACCCACCAGAAAGTCGAGGGGGATGCGCTTGGCTGCAGTGCTCTTTGGGAACTTGCGCTGCAGGCGGGCGTAGATGTCAGACAGCCTCTGCCGCTGCTCCGCGGTGAGCTGGGCATCAGGGGTGTCGAGGCCCAGCGCCGTCCGCAACCCAGCATGGTACTGGTGGTTCTCCGGGTTGATTCCCAGCAGCTCCCTGGCACGAGGTGGGGACCGCACAGGTGAGGGTTGGGGTAGGTCAGGCAGGAGCTTGCCTCGGATCAGCAATCCCATCCTGTGAGCCACGGCTGTGCTCTCAGGCACTGCTCACCAGTACACGCCCTCGGCCTCCTCAGTCCGCCCCAGCTTGGTGAGCAGGCGTGCCCGGCCGGTCAGCACCCCCAGCCTGTCCTTGAGCAGGCGCTTGCCGACCGCCGCATCGATGGCCGCCAGTGCCTCCTCTGCCTGGCCGCCTGCGCGACGGAAAACGAGACTGCTGAAATGACCAGGCATGTGCTCCACTTTGCCCAGCGGGTTGGTCGATGCACAGGCCCCACCTCCTTGGCATGCAGAGAGGGGAAAGACCACCCCACCCACCACATCACCAGAAGAAGTCCGCAATTCTTCTGACGGGACATACGCCTAGCTTCACTTTGTGACCTTCTCCCTCCCTCGCACATACCCATTACCCCCCACCCCAACCCCACCCCCCCAGAAAGGAGAAACTCCCACCCACCTTCCTCCAGGATCTGCGCCTTGTACAGGAGCACCTCACTAGTCTCGTAGGGTTCATGCGCCGCGGCTTCCTCGTCCATGGTGGCCCCATAGCTGTCCAGCACCTTGACTGCCACATCGTGGTTGCCATTCAGGTGGTGCGCCACGGCAAAGGCCAGCCAATTCTGTCGGTTGGTGGCCTTGAGCTCCAGCAGCGTTTGGCGCGTCTCCAGGAAGCCGGGTAGGTCGCGCATCTGGATCTGCGAGAGGGCGATCATGTTTGGGAGGGGATGGGGTATGGAGCGGTTGAGCGCCTTTGGGAGGCATGGCCATCACGAAGAGGAGCAGAACGAGAGTGCAAACTGGACCTCCCAATCGCCGGTTGAGCGTCATAGGGACAGATGAGGTGCTGCAGCCACACCCTGGCCGCACCGCTGACCGTTGCTGCAACTTGCAGAGCCTGACCCACAGCACCCCAGGCCCCCCCCCCAACTCTCTGGGCACCTGCAGCACCGACAGGTCTCTGAGGATGGTCAGATTCTCGCGGTCGATGCGCAGGGCGTTCTTGTAGCACTTCATGGCCTCGTCAAAGTTCTCATCCGATTGCTGGATGAGGCTGGGTGTGGGGAGGGGAGGGATGTGCTTGTTCAGGTGGTGGGAGTGGTCCTGCAGGCAGGGGGAAGCCGTGGAGCCCCAGATCCCCTGCATGCAGGGAAACAATGTGTGGGACCTTCTTCCACGCCACCTCACATGCGTCGCACGTATCAAGCCCACAGCGTACTCACCCAAAGACATGCCAGCACACGTGGCTCCTCAGGTTGTTCTTCACGCCCCGTTTGACGAGGTCCAGGGCGACCTCCTTGTGTCCCAGGCAATTCTGGAGCAGCCCTTTCATGGCCAGCGTCTCCCCATGCTCGGAAAAGCGCTTGAGGATGGCGTCTGCCGTCTTCAGCCCCTTCTTGTACTGCTTGGTCTGCAGAGACGACGGAGGGGGTAATTGAAATCAGGCCAAGAGATGCTTGGTCTCGGCGCAAGGACCTCTTGATGTACGTCGGATTTTGCCAGCGAGGTGCCGCTGTGCGTTCCATCATCGAATACCTCAGGGCAGCGGCGTCATCGCCGTCAGGCGCCTGCTCGGTGTGGAGCCTCATCCCTCCCGGGCTGATATGCAGATCAAACAATTTAGGCATATTATTCATCAACCATCCACCGGCCCCACCTCGTACTGCTTCACCAGCTGGCGGAACAGGCCGGCCTCCTTGCCGGGCAGCACGTTGATATCCACCGACCCAGGCGCCATGGCGATGCGCTGGTCAGCAGGGCAACCCAACCCTCACCAGTGAGTGGGACACTTTTGCTATGGAAATAGCTAGGGCACCCACGGCCTGCGCATGATGCACTGCGCGCTGGTGTCAGAAGGGCTCACAATCCGACGTCGCCGGGGGCGCCACGCTGGCATCTGATCTGACGCCGATGTGCGTCGCCAGGTCACCTCGATACCTTGCATTTCTCGTCTTATAGCTCCCGCCCGTCCAATGCTCGTGTACTTCAGCGCTTGTTCCATCCAGTGACAATGCAGCGGATCAGATCGATGCAGCTAGTCTGCGCCTGCCGTTCAGACGGCGAGACCGTCTCGCCGTGCTGGTTTATGTTTGAAGAAAGATGAGTGTCTGGACCCCTGTCTCATTGTTCCAATCCACAGAGATAGAATGTAGCTGTTGCGATATCCCTCAAGGCTCCGTGACTGGCGTTTGCCCTCAGAAGATCGCACATTATTGAGTCCTCCCATCAATGGTAGCAACAACCATCGATTCGTCCTGGCAACCAGAGCCGCCCAACTCGTGCCTCAAAAGATTGGAATGTGTTCTTGGATCTTTCAAGGGGTGCGAAAGGTCGTTATGGGGAGTCTTGCTCACACACACCGGGAAGCCTTACTTGCCATAGTTTGACTTGCGGTACACACCTTGCTCAAGGGAGCTCTACCCTGGTCAATGGGAGTGTTGCTGCACGGAATGGCTGACATTCTCCTCTCTGAATCATGCACCTCCCCCTGAGTGAGAGCAGTCACCCTTTAACACACAGACATCTTGCAGCTCAGCATAGGGCCGCACCGTCCAGAAGGCTCAAATCTCGACCGCTCGACTGCAGGCTCATGGGGACATAGCACCGTGACGGTGTTCTATTCCTTGCCTGTTCGTCCACGTCTGCATACAAATCTCGACCTCCAGGAGCCGTACCGTACTCAGCCCATCCTGTCTGCTTCTCCATTTCTACGAAGTACGGCACCCATGGGTCCGCCATTACACATGAACCAGGCAAACTTCCTTTAAATTCGAGCAATAAACCACCCGGAGATGTATCGCTGTGCTGAGTGGTCGATATCAGGCCAATAAACCTGTGAAGGACTACAGCCTTTGCAGCGCCCACTGCACCTATGCCGCCGAATCTCGCATGCAGAGACAAAATTTAGGGTAATAGAACATGTATACAAGGACTTGGTGCCTCGTACTCCACATGGTATGGGACGGGCGGGCTGAGTTTCGACATGGGGGGCACTCCGCGGAGTTTGTCCCCGACTCCCAGCTTATCGACTTGACGACACGTCAGTCATGGCCGGAAGTAACACCCAGTCTGGGCAACTTCGCGCACAGTGAGAGGCGCGGAGCCTTCTCCAATCCACACCCTAGTTATCTTTGGGCACATTGTTCGGTTTATCGCACGCTTGGTGTGGCGAGATTGTGCGAATCGGGGCTTCTCGCACGGACCCCCATCGCAAGGCCACGATTCGCGATGTGCATCACCCCCACGTCGCCTCCCCGCCTCCCTTCGATGTGGTAGAATGGCAACGCCTGCCACGCTACAGATGTCTCTCCCGACTTCCAGCCTTGATCGTGATCAGGCAGGGAGGGAGACAGGGGCCACCTCCCCCTCTCCCGGCCCTGTGGACGTCCCCGTCCTGCGCGCCCCGCCGGGGAAAACCCTGCTCCCCCAGGATGCCTTCCCGAACGGCCTGCCCCCCGCATTGCCCCGTGCCGCGCTCCAGGTGCACCCCCTGGCCCTGCAGCGCAAGGCGCGGCACCCCCCCGGCCCCTCCACCTGCAGCGCCGCCACGAGCACCTCCAACTCCCTGAGCGGGGGCGGGAGCAGCCTGGGCCTGGGGCGGGGCCCCCTGTCCAGCAGCGAGTCGCCCTGCGCGCCAGGGGTGTCCTCGCCCGTGTCCACCGCCGACATCCAGCTGGTCCAGAACCTGATTGAGCGCTGCCTGCAGGTCTACCTGGCGCAGGGCGAGGTGGTGAAGATTCTGTCGGCGCAGGCCACCATAGAGCCGGGCTTTACGCAGCTGGTGTGGCAGAAGCTGGAGGAACAGAACCCCGACTTCTTCGCCGCCTACAACCTGCGCCTGAAGCTCAAAGGCCAGATCATCATGTTCAACCACCTGCTGGAGCAGCAGGTCCAAGTGGTGCAGGTGGGTATGTGTGGGGTGTTGCAGATTAGGACAGATCGACTGCAAGAGGACAGCGGGGGACCCCTGTGCGGTGCCTATGTGCAGCCAAATGCAGGCGGTTGGCGCCTTGCGGCTGTCTGATGCTGTGGGATGGGGCTGTCTCGGAGGCCATCATAGCTGGGAAGGAGCAGGTGGCCATGCTCAGTCTGCAACCCCCAGACCCTCCATGTTCCCCCCCCCGCAGCGCATGCAGCATGGGTGGGTGCCAACGCAGCAGGCCCAGCAGTTTGGAGCAGGCAGGCTGGGGAGCGGAGGCAGCGGGCCCACCACATCTGCCACCGCCTCCGGCATCCCCCTCTTCCAGTCGGGGCCCCTGCACTCAGGGGGGCCGGGAAGAGAGGGGGGTGGCCTGGCATCTGGGCTGGGCGACACCGACACGAGATCAGGTGCGGGCAGGGATCGGGTCCCCATGTTCCTTGGGAAGGGATGTGCGTCTTATGCCGTGGACTACTGGGAGAGGACCAGGCGGCCAGTCATTGACCGAAGCCCGGCCCCATGAACCTGTAATGCTCGCCCGGGGTACCGCAATTTATCTCACACACACACACACACACACACACGCACACACACACCGCCCTCGCCCCATGGTTCCCATTCCACAGCCAATGGCTTCCTGTACCCAAACCTGGGACCCTCCTTGCTGGAGTCTGGGGCACAGGCCCAAGTCCCACTCTTCCCGGGCATGCGCTTGTGCCCCTCGGAACCAGACCTGGTGTCGGCCCTGGCGCAGGTAGGGATGGCAGGGGGGATCTGCTGCGGGTGTGGGACAGTATTTTAGTGCAGGTGCCTTTGATATGGAGGGAAGGACTCTGCTGTTGCATGCTTTGTTTGCACCTTGGAAGGGAGGTCTGGACTCTGTGCGTCCGCTCGGCGCCCAGTTGGCATCTGGGCTGGGCGACACCGACACGAGATCAGGTGCGGGCAGGGATCGGGTCCCCATGTTCCTTGGGAAGGGATGTGCGTCTTATGCCGTGGACTACTGGGAGAGGACCAGGCGGCCAGTCATTGACCGAAGCCCGGCCCCATGAACCTGTAATGCTCGCCCGGGGTACCGCAATTTATCTCACACACACACACACACACACACACGCACACACACACCGCCCTCGCCCCATGGTTCCCATTCCACAGCCAATGGCTTCCTGTACCCAAACCTGGGACCCTCCTTGCTGGAGTCTGGGGCACAGGCCCAAGTCCCACTCTTCCCGGGCATGCGCTTGTGCCCCTCGGAACCAGACCTGGTGTCGGCCCTGGCGCAGGTAGGGATGGCAGGGGGGATCTGCTGCGAGTGTGGGAAAGTATTTTAGTGCAGGTGCCTTTGATATGGAGGGAAGGACTCTGCTGTTGCATGCTTTGTTTGCACCTTGGAAGGGAGGTCTGGACTCTGTGCGTCCGCTCGGCGCCCAGTTGCCCCCTCTCCTACCTTTACCCCCTCTGTTGATTCAGAACCCTCTGTCCATCCTGGGCCACACCGGCCACGCGGGCGGAGGTGGCGCTGACTTGTCCATGCCGCCGCGCAACTTCTCGCTCTCAGACCTGACCCTGGACCAGCTGCACGCCGACGGGCTGGACATGGACATGCAGTGAGGGCCTGGCCTCAGCACACGTAACCACTGGCATGCTTTGTTTGCACCTTGGAAGGGAGGTCTGGACTCTGTGCGTCCGCTCGGCGCCCAGTTGCCCCCTCTCCTACCTTTACCCCCTCTGTTGATTCAGAACCCTCTGTCCATCCTGGGCCACACCGGCCACGCGGGCGGAGGTGGCGCTGACTTGTCCATGCCGCCGCGCAACTTCTCGCTCTCAGACCTGACCCTGGACCAGCTGCACGCCGACGGGCTGGACATGGACATGCAGTGAGGGCCTGGCCTCAGCACACGTAACCACTGCCCACGCGAATTGGGGGGCGGCAACCCAGAATCTGGGAAGATCACCAAGATGGAATGCTCAGCAGCCTCGGCCTTGCAGCGTCTGGCACAGGAGAAGGGCCGCCCACCTGCCTGGGGCCGAGACGGCATGGCGAGATAATATCCCCCCCCGGCTTGCGGGGAGAGGGCTCCACTGTGCCAACTCAGGCCCGGGTATGAGCACCCTCCCCGGCACTGCAGCGCCCACCGATGAGCGGCACCCCTCATGCAGCAGCTTGACCTGGACTTGTGGTTGGTAAGGCCCCGTAACGACGGTTGCCTGCCCGCGAGTCCAGGGTTCCCCCCTTCCCCAAGTATCGCCCGTTCCCAGCAGTCATCATGTAATCCCCGCATCCAGTCTGCAGGCAGACCCGCCCCACCACCATGGCAGCATTTGAGGCTGGTTGTACAGTTGCCGCCCCCTGGCAGGGGGACTCTATCGGCTCAGTCGGGCGGGGGAGGGGCATGAACATAGCAGCAGACACACCCAGCGGGAAGGCAGAGGAGCACGGAGGGAGGGAGGAAGAAGTCACAAGCATTGTAGAGGAGCGGCGCCAAGCGTACAGGGCCGCTGGACACTTCCAGGACTTGAAGCCGGCGCCGGCGTGTAGGGAAACATCTGCACGTGACAGCAAGGGGACAGAGGACGCAACGTTTTGAGAAGTAGCAGCAGGATGAGCGCAAGGCGTGCCATTCCCACGGCCTCAACACTCCCCCCCGACACCCACTGCCCTCACCTCGACCTGGGCAGGCCTGGAGACCGGGCCCTCCGCCACCTGCCTACAGCCCATCTGACCAGGTGCTTCGCCCTACAGAGCGGGGCGGGGGCTCCTCCCTCCCCCACACATCCCTTCTCTCCAGCGCAGGGCGGCCGTCGGCATCCAGCGTCAGCACCTCCCACATCCCCGTCAGCTCCTCCTGGCGCGGCGGCATGCTGGCGGCGGCACCGCTCCCCGTGAAGGGTGGCGGCTGGGCCGACCTGGTCCGACCCAGAGCTTGCGCGCCGTACCCCCTCTGCCCCCCGCCGATGGGCGAGCCGCCGGCGGTGGGGCCGCTGGCGGCGGCACTGTGGGGGGGAGGGGCCCGGTCCAGCCTGACCCCGGGCTTCAGCGCCGCCAGCTCCTCCTCCGTGGGCACGCTGAGCTGGCGGTTGGGGCCGGGCTGCCAGGCAACAATGGCCATCTGCTTGGTGATGTGCTGGACGTCCGGGGGGGAGGGTCTCTGGCTCCATACGGTATGAGTACTGCACCCGCCCCTCTGCGGCCTCGTTCACCTGCAAGACGGCGGGGTGGGAGGCATGCAGTGCCCTTCAGACTTTTCCATATGTGCGAGGGCATGCATGGGCTGTTGCATGGGGCTACCGCCCCCCGGGCTGGCCGGGCGGCAGCCGGCACCTCAAGCAGCGGAGGTTCCTGGGAGACCAGGGCTGACCCCGAGTGCGCGATCCATGCCGGAGCTCCCGCCGATGCATGGCACCTTCCCCGAAACCCAAGAGATCTTCCCACCTGCTGCGTCCAGTCCTGTTCCTCCAGGATGACATACTTGTAGTCGAGCTTCGTCCCCGGCAGGAGCTCCACCTCCACGCCCCACAGGTCGTCCGGCGCCCAGGACATGGGCACCTTGGCGATGGAGAGGAAGGACCAGCCAAAGGGGATGGCGGAGCCTGCCACGCACAGCATCTGGCGGGAGTGGACGCGGTAGTGGACGTGCAGCCGGACCCGGACGAGGGGAGGCTCCGCCCGGCGGGGCTCCACCTCCTCCTCCCTGCGAGTGTAGTGGTCGAGGGGTGCAGTGTGACGCCAGGAAGCCGGTCCGCGCGTGCTCCTGAGGCATTCGAACTTCTCAGATGGGACCAGGGCAAGCTGCAATGCAATCAGGGGGCCATTGGGGGGCAGCAGGGACCGAGAGCACCACCTCAAATCCTTTGACCTGGATGGAAACTGCAGGAATGATTGGTTGGGCAGCAATCGAGGGGGAGTCAACCCAGAAAGGCGATCCCTGTCGAAGGATGCCGTGATGTACAAGGGCCCTGGCACGGCATAGGCCTCGATGATGACACCCCGGGGGCTGGGTCGGGTGCTCTGCCTGGCGTCGACCCGCCTGGGCCGGGGGGACCAAAGGGTCCTCGGGAGCGTCCAGATGGGTCGTTGCAGCGCTGCAGTCATAGCCCCTGACCCCAGAGCCATTTGGCGAGCACTCCCCTGCCTAGGTGCGACCCGTCGCTGACACCGTGGTGGCTTGGGCTGGCATTTCGCAGACTACGATGCCCAATTGCCGCCGGCCAATCCCCAAGTGTCTTGCCTGCAGGGGCGGATGATGGGGTGTCGAGTCGATCCGGCCCTGCTCGGGGCCTGGACCGTGGTTGCCATGCCACCACACAGGAGTGCCAAACCCTGCTCGCGCGCTGTGTGTCCCATTCCAGCTTTCCTCGTTCGTCCTGTGGGAGGTGCGACAGCCTGCGCGACTGCTCATAGGGTCCAGTAGGCACCTTACCCATTCGCCAAAAGTTACTCTTATAATGTTGCGAACTCGGGACTCGGCAGCCAGCGCCGCACGCGAAAATCCATGGTCACATCGCTGCCGCAGCAAGGCCACGTGATTCTGCTCAAAGTACATGGTCGACATGGAGACCCACCGGCGTCAGCCTCTGGATAAGGCAATTCTTTCCTTCAGCAAGAGCATGGGCGCTTGCCTCGACAAGGTGGGTGGCTTGGCTGGACGCATCCGCCAGTACCGGGCGCGCCCGAGCTCGGTGAGTACCCGAGTATCTCCCAAGATATCTTTTAGACCCCAAAGAACCCTTATCCAATGGGCATGGCATTCACAGGCCGAGATGCAGCTAGCAGCCGATCTGAGCGCTGCATTCCTGATTTTCTGTAATAGCCATGCAACGTGTCCATGCAGCGCATCAGCGCAGACAGTGCTGGGAGAGGCACTGTACCTCTCGGTGAGTGGTGGATGAAGCAGGAGTACCCAGGCTGACCTTCCCTCGTGTCCTATATAATACCAGACACACACACCGGGCCCAACCTCGTCCACCACAGGCACTCGCCCTTCTCCAGGGAGGTGTCGTTGGGCCAGCTGACTGCATCCTGACTGCTCTGGGTTGCCGCCTTCGCCTCTCCCGTTCCATGCTTCAGGCCTCATCCTCGCAACCTCCCGTGGAGGCACCGCCTGGCTGCCAGTCCCCCAGGCTGGCATGCCTCCCTGCGCTGCTTCCCCCTCCCCTGGCAGCCTCTCTGTGCAAGGGCTTGTCGCCTGCGAGCCCCTACTGGGCTGCGCATGGAGGCAGGGGTATGCCTTTTTCCTCCCACCTCTTCCCGATCCCACGGCACGGTCCCGATGAGGCCGCGATGTATGGCCATCCGCTGGAGGAGACTGTCTCGGCCCTGGCGCGGTGCATAGCCTCATCCCCTCACCCGTTGGCGGGGGCACTGCAGCAGGCCACGCATGCAGAGGTTTGGGCCCACTGCAGGGCGAGCAACGAGGCTCACCAGCTCCATTATGATGTCGGTGAGATCCAGGCGTGTGACCGCTCATGGGGATTGTGCTGTGTCAGGAATGGAGAATCATGTGCATGCGCCTGTGACCAGATCTCGTGGCGTGGCCTTGTCACAAGGCGGCAGCCGTAGACCCGCACCACCCTCCCCATTCCTGCCCGCCCGCAGATGAGCGGTGGCTGGGGCACGGCAAGAGCGAGTATCGCGTGCAGCACCCGCTGCTGAGCAGCGTCCTGTTCCTGGCGGGGGAGGGGGCCGGTGCGACGCTGGTGCTGGAGGAGTGGCTGGGGAAACCCACATCAGCGACGCGAGCGTGGCTGGTGCCTCCCTTTCCTGGCTCCCTACTCCTCTTTGAGGGCAGGCTGCTGCACGGCGTCCTCCCAAAACCAGGTCGGTCAGGTGGCTGGCATGCAGAGGGGACAGGGGTGTGGCCTGTGGGCTCGAACATCGACCGCTTGTCTCTCCCTGCCACTCTACACGGGATCAGCGTGCCGGTATGCAAAAAGGATACGATGCCCCAGATTTGGTGCCTGACAGCCACAGGAACGATTCTGCTCATGCACGCAGGCAGAGGGTCCTCGCATGTTGAGCCACGCATCACCCTCATGGTGGCATGGTGGGGCGAGGAGGTGGTGGGGCATCGGGCCAGGCAGAGGGACGCATCAGCCCCTGGACCAATGATGACGCCTCCCTGGAGGCTTCCTGACGGCCACCTCTCCAGGCATGCCTGGGCTGATAAAGAAAACTGGAGCGGCAGTGAGGATGCGCCATCCATAAGAGCACTGCCGTCACAAGGACCGCACCCAGTGGAACCTGTGTGGGAGAAGGTTCCCGGCCAGGTCTCTGCACGCCAGGCGAGCCCTGTATGGCTAACCCAGCTCCCGCTGCCCCCACTGAGATTCTTCTTGCGGAGTGAGACGGAAATCGAACGTTTGTATGGGGACCCTGAGTTGTTTTGTGGTCCATAGTACCCGCCGACCCTTGCTGTGGAGGTGCAAGTTTGGGAGCTTCGTTATCGCTACTTGTGGTCGCCGGGACGCGCGCGAAAACCGATTACCCAACGAATTACCATAGGAAATTGTGCATTCGCAGCATCACTCACCCCCCCCTCGAAGGAATATAGAACCTCACATCATCCACACAAACCTTGTATATCTCTATAGTTTCTTGCAAAAATCATCAAGTTCCTGTAGAACCTCCTTTGCAGTCAGTTTCCGCTCGAAGTGCGAGACATCCATACGAGCAAGTATGGGTTTCGCCGTCGGTCCGGCTGAGGCCAAGCAGCACTCGCGTGCATTTGCCATCTACAGGACCGAGGCCACTGCGAAGAACCTTACCTCCGATGTGGGTGCTCCTTGTTGGTCGTGGGATGATGTAAGGGTCGTCGGGTGGGGAGGGATGTTGTCGGGAAGGTGTGAGGGTGCTCCTTCACCTTCGATGCCTGGATCAAATACCTATGGCTTTGCTCTGGAATCATGCAGGATGTTGTTGAGCTGATCAGCAAGTACGGCGGGGAGAAGTCCAAGAGTGAGTTTTCCGAAGCGGTCGGGGGGTGTCCGGTTGCCGGCTGGCGCGGCTGGGCATGTGATCAAGATCGTGATTAGGCTCACCCCAATCCAGCGATCACGGCTTCTCACGCGCACATCCTTCCAATCTCCCCTTCATCCCAGGTCCCTCCTCCTTTGACGAGTTCACCAAGGCGGTGTCCAAGGCCCCCACCCACCCCGACGCCGAGGGCTCTGGAGACTGCCTAGGCTTCGCCGCCAAGGACAAGTCTGGCCATCTGGCGCCCATGCGCTTCGAGCGCCGGGCGGTGGGCCCCAAGGACGTGGCCTTCGCAATCACCCACTGCGGCGTCTGCCACTCCGACCTGCACCAGATCAAGAACGACTGGGGCGGGTCCACCTTCCCCATGGTCCCCGGCCACGAGCTGGTGGGCATCGTGACCGAGGTGGGTGCCGAGGTGACCAAGGTCAAGGTCGGCGACCGCGCGGCGGTGGGATGCATGGTGGACTCCTGCCGCTCCTGCGACGCCTGCCAGCAGGACCTGGAGCAGTTCTGCGACAACGTCACCTGGACTTACAACTCCACGGGCAAGGATGGGCGCGCCACCCAGGGCGGCTACTCCACCCACACCGTGACGGACGAGAAGTTCATCGTCAAGTTCCCAGACACCCTGGACCTGGCCGCAGGGGCGCCCCTGCTCTGCGCCGGGATCACCACCTACTCCCCCCTGCGCCACTGGGGCCTGGACAAGCCCGGCACCAAGCTGGGTGTGGTGGGCCTGGGCGGCCTGGGCCACATGGCGGTCAAGTTTGGCAAGGCCTTTGGCGCGGAGGTCACCGTCATCTCCACCTCTCCCGCCAAGGAGAAGGAGGCGCTGGAGGAGTTTGGCGCCGACCACTTTGTGGTGAGCAGCAGCGAGGAGGACATGAAAAGGCACGCCACCACGCTGGACGGCATCATCGACACCGTGTCGGCCAAGCACGACCTGAACCAGTACCTGAGCCTGCTCAAGCTCAACGGCGCGCTGGTCATGGTGGGCCTGCCCAACATGCCCCTGCCCATCGCCGCCGGCAGCCTGATCTTCAAGCGCAGGACCCTGGGGGGCAGCGCCATCGGCTCCATCAAGGAGACCCAGGTGGGATGTGCAGGGGGCTGGTTGGGGGGGGGGGAGGGGGGCGGAGAATGGGATCATGGACGCTGCTTCCTGCCATGGAATCTGATTTGAACATGCAGTGGAGGGGGATGGTGGCCAGAGCCTGGCGCCTGGTTCCAACAGATGCCACGCCCCCTCGTGCAGGAAATGATTGACTTCTGCGCTGAGAAGCAGATCACGTGCAAGATCGAGCTGATCGACATCAACTACATCAATGAGGCCATGGAGCGTCTGGAAAAGAACGACGTCAAGTACAGGTGAGTGGGTTGACCAGGGGACGGGACCTTTTATGCATGTGGGAGATTCCTCGGTGTCAGGCCTGCATCCTGAACAGATGTGGCTTGCCCTTGAGATAAGTATTGCTGGAATGTCGCATGATTGTTGTGCACTCCACACCCTCTTGGCAGGTTTGTCATCGATGTCGCTGGAAGCCTGGTTGTGTGAACTTGCAGCCAGGACAGGCTGTGATACTTTGTCTTGCCAATGCATCTTCGCCAGTGTACAGACCTTCCGTGCACCAAAGCTGTGTATGATTCTCTGAGATTGCGGTCACTTGAACATCAGTGCACTCTGTCAGGACAATGCAGGGGGAAAGTTGAGGGTGACCAACCCTCTGTTGAAGACGGGTCTGGAGGTTTGCGCAGTTATCAATGTTGTCACTGCAGTTTGTTGTGCCAGAGGGTGAGTCAGGTGGATGGGTGTCAACTCTAGGAGGGTATAGCGGTTTGACAATGGTTTTAATACAGTGATCAATGTTTGGTGGGGTTAAACCAATGGTAAACTACACCCTCGTCTTGAGCACAAGGTTCGATGGGAAAGTGTTGAGGAAGGGCAGGGCCTCACGGCGTGGATCATTCCTGATCGCACCCTTGTGTATGGAAAAGTGGTGATGGTTCTGGTTGTAAATGATGATGAGGGGCCGGGGTTAGTGGGTTGAACGTGGGTGCGTGGAAGGTGATCATATTGTCCGAGAGATCGGTGGACTCTTCGTAGCTGATTGGGAACTCTACTTTGTTGGAGGTGGGGGCCTCTTCTTGGTGGGAGAAGGCGATTTCTTGTTAGGTGGTGGAGGCGACTTCTTCGTGGGTGTCGGCGGGGACTTCTTCTTGGACGGTGGTGGTGGGGACTTTTGGGAGGTTGAGGGGGGACTCTTCCTGCTTGAGGGTGGCGGGCTCTTCTTAGATGGGGGGAGGGGGGCTCTTCTTGGGAGGGGGCGGGGGGCTCTTCTTGGGAGGGGGCGGTGGGGCGTCGTTCTTGGGAGGCGGGGGGCGTCGTTCGTT